CTCGATCTGTCGGGTCGGCCAACGAGTCATCAATCTTACGACACCGCCATCGTACACCCTGTGCATGTCCCGTCGTGCAGCACGTTATAATTGTATCGCCGTTATTGTATACCGTTTATTCGTCGTCGTCCGATGATTTTTTTTTTTTTCAATCCTTTTACCTCGCCCGAGTATGGACCGCACTTATTTTCGTCTCATGTGCACATCTACCCGGTGTGCTTATTTTTATTTTTATTTTATAACAATACAGGCCGAAGCCCGAAAAACATCAAGTGATCTATATAAATATAATACAAAGAAAAAAAATTGTACAGATACTTAAGATATATTTAAGTATATATCATTATGTACTGCATATCGACATTATTGTGCGACTGCTATTGTACAAGTCGTATTGTATTGTATCATTTTTCCTCCCCCATCAACTGTTATTATCGTACCAAATGGCAAATTATCACAAACATCGTGTTCGATATTATACTTATAGGTGTTGTGTTGTACCGAGTGGCATAATAATAATATTATTATCTATTCCACTGTCGTGCTCAATGTTCAACGGCAGCGTGACGCGGCGTAGAGTATATGCAATTTTGCTACACGAGCGCGTTCAGGTGCGTTCACGAGCACAGTGTTAAAATGTAATATAATATAACACTTATGATTGGCCTTTGTAAAAGAAAATACTGGGAAAAAAAGAACCGATACTATTGATGGGTGTATCAATGTGGTAGGTGGAAAGCTGAGAAGAAAGAATATATAGCGATATTAGTTCCTGCACGAATCGATACAATTTATCATCGTTAACGAAACGCAATTATGAACCATGGTTTAATACGTTTTGAAATGCAGTGATTTTCTTCAAAATTTGAACTTAATGTCGCTTGAATAAAATTTTCCGTCACATTTAATTTGTATTAAATTTTCAAGCATTTCTATATGGTCAAATAATTGTATTCACGTAGAAGTAATTAGAAATTAAAAAAAAAAAAAAAAATGAAAATATCGAATGCATAAAAGTAATTCGTAAATCACCAGAATGTTATAACTACGTTTTGTAAATTTGAATAAAAGTATATTGTGGAAATTTCAGGTCTCTATGATATTTTTTAATTGAATTAAAAACAAAATTGTAAATCTAAAATCTTGAAAATATTAATATTGTGAATTTCCATGTTTTTAAAAATTTTTTTTCTGGTTTTCTTCAGCTTTATGAAAATGATAAGGGAAAAACCCGTACTTACCACCAAACCGGGCTTCGTGGTTTAACCCTGTTTAACTAATCACTGAAAAATTCTATTATAATTGCTTGGAAACTGACCTCAAAAATGATAACCTTTGCTTTTGGAATGAAGAAAAAAAGCGACAGGCTGAATAACGAGGATCAAGTTGAGCAATACTACTGGCATAACTAAGAAAAAAAAACAATCCAAAATAAATTCGTCGGTAGCAATCAAAGTAACAAATTTATAAAACATATTCTTTATGAAACTATCAAAATTTTCTTTAAAATTTCATACCTGAAATTGCTCTGTGCAAGGCGCAAAGTATTTATAACACTATGAATTTTACGACGAGCCAAGACAAAATAAGAATAATAATATGTCAAATAAGCCCCAAACGCTGAAGCAAAAACAAATCTGACATTTTTTTGAAATCGTTATCTTTCCCATTTTCAATGATAAATTAAGCATTTAATATTGATGACTACGAATGCGCAGATTTATCGCTAAAACGAAAAAAAAAATGTCGCTATACTATTCCAGTGAGTATTTGAATTAACGACGACGACAAGTTTACTTCGGAAGTCATATAATTACGTTGTTTGGACCTTTTGTTTAAAGCAACGACTAACTCGCTTAATGACTATGCCATTTTTCAACGGTCCCGAAGCGCCTTCCCGTGTCAAACGGTAGTGCGTTTTATCAGATATAAAAAAAACCACCTTCTTTTATTTACTTACAGAAAAAAAGTCGAAATCTCCCTCGAAGAGCGGGAACTTTTTCGTAACGAGCCCCCGAGCAGTTTTTTCGATATACGGCGGACAAAGATTTTTCGAGTGTCTCTTTGGTCCTGAGGACATTTTAACGTTTGAGCGTTTCTAGTAAGTATATCGTGCGAGTGATGTAGGTATGAGAGGTGGTGTTAAAACTTTTCATGGTTCGGCGACGACGGAAAAATTCCCGTGACCGACTCGACTATATTATCGTATTACTTATATTCGATGTGCGACACATAAGTTTGGGAGCCGACTTGATAGTTTTCGTTTTCTTTGCAGCCGTACACGTGAATATTCTTTCAAAGACTGGTAGAAAACTATACGTTCATCCATCGTGTAGTAAAATTGACCGAGATCGAACGCAAATCAAGTTCTAAATAACGCTAAAAGGTTGAGTGCGAATACTAGGAATGACAGAGATTCTAAACGTCTAGATTCGAAATTCCCCATCTTTGCAAAAATTAATTGCATTATTACGAAATCTGTAGTTTCGGCGTATTTATATCAACTTATTGTTTGATAAAAATAACCAATCAACAGACATGTAGATAAACTAATTCCAAATTTAGATGTAAATAAATACAGTTTATTTGTTTTTTACACTTTTGTCCCGTTTTTTTTAAAAAAAATTTCTGAACTACTGTGCAATGCGCGCTGTATTGATTTTTTCCAAAATGTTTGCTAGAGAAAATTAGAAAGTATTTTCCCACTGCCACGCCACTCCACCCCGAGATTCATCGGCGTATTTCAAGGTACGGTGTTACTTTATATTTCTAATCCTACTATTTATATATATGTATATAAACATAAATGTCTGTCTGTATGTCTCTAATATCTTCCTAAACCCTTCATTTGATCGCCATGAAACATTGGGAAGTGGTTGAGTACACTCATATGAAAGTTTCTGGCACAGTGGATCTATGAAATTCTTCGATAACTTCACTATCACCCATAAAACCGGGTTTTAGGTACTTTATTGGTACGAAGATAAAATTATTATTTTTTTACATACAGGTTAACTTGGTAATAAACGGATGAAAAAACAAATATTGTTAGTTAACTGAGTTGTCATGGGCAAATTATTATTATGACTATGGTATGTATTCTATGAGTCTGATGTACATAAGTAACTCCGAATTTTTCGTCACGATTGTAGAGAAAATGTTTAATTTAAATTGTCGACGAATAAATCAATATAGTGTATAATTTAGTTTATAGGTGATATAAGACATACGTAAAACATACGATATTGTAAAATATAGATAGACATGTATAATACATACATACTATTGACATACATAGGACATATCAATAAAACCTAAATATCTTCTTTAATTTTCCGAACACTGCATTGTCGACAGTTATGCCGTGCAAACGGAAATCGATTGGTCGATCTACACCTGAAGCACGAAAAAAAAGGCATTACGAATAACGGAAAGTAAAATAATAAGAAAATAATATAATAGATAAAAAAAAAATACATCCTAGAATAATGGGGATGGGTGCAGCCACTGTTATGGATAATTAAATGCAGTGGCCTTCAACCGATGGGTCGTGACCCATTTTTGGGTCGCGTAAGCTTACGAATTGGGACGCGATAGGTATTCTTTTTGAAATTAAGTTTATACAATTATATATGGTATACAAATAATTTTTTATTTATTAAACTTAAAAATTAATAAATGGAAGTACAGTTTGAAAATTATTGTAATATATTATTTATAAACAATATTATATAATTTATATTCAATAATATAATAGTATAATGGATTTCAAATCACAATATATATTTCATATACTAATATGATTCTACGTAGTATGACATTAAATATAACAATTTACGAGTAAACCGGGCTAGTAATAAAATAAATTTATTATATTATTAGCGTTATAGAGTCCCATAATCTACAAACATTGTCGATGTTGCCGCTGTGTTTGAAGACGAATAAATGATAGTCACGTTATTATTCTAGTCATATTTACGAAGCCGTTAAAAAGTTTTTTATTTTTATTTATTCAGTTACAACAGTATTACTACAAAGGATTAAGTAATTTTAGACTTTTTGTTTTTTTACAAACGTTTTTCTTTATGTATGCCTTACATGAGTCACGAACAATGTACGCCTAAAATAACGGGTCATGAGTCCAAAAAGATTGAAGTCCACTGATTTAATGTATACCCGTAAGCAACGATAAACCATTGCTTACGAAAAAACTATTCTGAGTAGAGTTCAATTGATTGTGATTGTTTTTCAACAATATATCATATAAATATTATTTATTTTGACACTAGTAACGCCCGGCGGCGGGACAGCTAGTCAATTTTATAAGTTAAGATTTCAAACGATTTAATCTAGACGAATTGATCGGGATGATTCAATTATTTATCTATAATTAAATTATAATATACACTATATATAGTTATAATATAATTATTTAGTAATTTATTACTCTTTTATCTAGATAAGGTAAAAGTTATAAATATACCTACCTGATAAAACACAACAATGTCCACGGCCGAGAAAAGTTAATGCACACGATTATCCACGTTGTAAAGTGACTACGATAGTGTAGCCAGAATTTAGCAGCGGGAATATAAATAATCGAAATTCATCTACCTTTTATGACGTTTATATTTAATCGTTCAAACGACGACGGTAATACTGTACAGTATTATTGTAATAGTATAAAACAGTTTTTCGGAGTTCGAACATTTATTTCCGCTCCGCATTGTTGGCCCGATTTGTCTGCGGACTCGTTTTTATAATTTAATTCACACACCAGTCACTGACTTTAAAAATCTAATTTGCGGTGTGAGACGGTCTCAAACGGTTTATTACGAGCACGTACGCAGGCATGAAATTATAACGTTCGCGAAAATCGCTCGGACCTTTTTTAATTTGATAATATGTATTAAGGAATTATGTTTCGCAAACGCATAAAATCCATAACCAAACCACAAAACGTGTAAAGAAAAAATATTGTATTTATTATTTGTTTAAATATCGATTTTTAATAAAATTATTAATGTAAGTATAAACTATTTTTCTAATGATATACATACATATATATTAATCTAAAGCTATTTTATTAATATTACATAATATATTATAATATTAATAAACGAATTTTCGTGGAAAATACAGGTGTTACTCGATATTAGTAAAATACATATTATTATAATAGAACTCAGTTAGTCGAGTGTTCACACGGTATTCCGCCTAAAGTAAAATCGTGCTTAACCGAGTGATTTATTTCGGTATAATTTGTCCCGTCTAAATACATACGAATATAATATTACATAAATACTTTAGACAATATATTATAATATCACCGCGAAACATCTAAACACAATACTTATTATAATTAAACCGTATGAAACTATATTTTGTTATAAACTACAATAAATGAAGCTTGGTCCACACTATGACAGTTCTTGTCGCCGTAATTGCGAAATCTACATCCGTGACAGTAGGTTACTCGCGCGAAAGCAACTATCCCAGTGTCGCGAATGCGTGACGGTCGATAGTGACTTTCGTGAGAGTGATCGTAATTCACCCTGTGAACGCATACCGTAGTTCCATTCTAAATACTGTTTTTCGTCACTTTTACCGAATTTTCTACCGTGTTTACCATAATATTATAGTCAGCGGTGTATTTACAATTTTTTGTTTTTTTTTTTTTTTGTTGGTGTTAGTGGAGAAGGTGTTGTGTGCATTAACACAATTTAGACGGCTAAGTAGTCTTACTAAATCGTACCAATATTATAAGGATTGTGCGCCCCTTGTGACGGTGTTGGGGGGGGGGTGAAGGGGTGGGTGGGAAATCTCTAATATCATCCTTCATCACGAATATGTCACTGTTTCAACTATCACTTTACAATTTCATCGATTCTGCGATAATCATTATCATGATAGTCGCAACACCGTTATCAGATAGTAGGCAACTATATATCATCGTGTGAACCGGGCTTAAACATTAAATTAATGTCTTATTATAATTATTATTAAGAGTATTAAATCTTAAAAGAATTATTTTCTCTCTTTTATCTTCGTAAATAGAGTTAAATTTGATTAAATTATATGGTCCGGCAACCGCTTTTCGTCCTTAAAAGTAGTCTAATTATTCTACAATATAATATTATCATACAAGTAGAAATACAAAAATTAAACAAATCAAGAAAAAAATATATCTAAAATCAACTTACAATTATTATCTTAATGCTTTTTTCATAACATAATAATTATCGTTCTCTTATATAAAGTATTTCGTATTTGTATTAGTTATTTTAAATTTCGATTTTAATAAAATAATTTTCCCTTAAATACTTTACATACAATATTATTACTATATTAATTTTATAGATAAAACCTAAAATGTTTAAAAACCTAACGGTACGCGATTTTGGCACTTAATATTCTCCAAACGGGTAAGAACACACTTTTTTTTTAATCTTCTTGGATGGTTTTTTCCCTGAATTGAGTTCTACAGGTCAAGTTATACTATCGGGAGCTATAATTTGTTAAAAAATATTTTGTCGTGAGCAAAGTATTTTTTCGAAAAGGTATTTGGTTGGAACCGTATTAAGTCGAAAAGTGTTTTATTACAATTGAATTCCATTTAAACCGAATTTGATCGAAAACGTAATGTATTTTCGACGAAATGCGGCTCCGAAAAAATCTGTTTCGGCAAATTATTTTTCTACAAAAATTGAGTTTCGAGCGAATGTTTTCTAACTTTCTACGCACCTTTCCCATAAGGAGGGGGAGTAAATATTGAAGGCACGTTATATGGTGTTGTGTTATCAACAATCAATTTGAGTTGTAAGGATTGTGGATTGAAAACTTAACAATGGGAAAAATAAACTAAACCATTCAGAGCGCAGAAACACGCCATTATCACGCTGAAATCTATTAAAATATATTGTTATCGTTAAACTACGCCAACAATTAATAAATATAATGTAAAATCGTATAGGTTCTAGGCTCTGAAATAAGAGAAATATTATCTAGGTATATAAATAATATACAATATAAACTATTTTTGGGCCGTTAAAAAAATAAGTTCTGACTAATATATATATATATATATATATATGCGTATATATTACATATATTGTATTTGTTTATATATATATATATATATATGTATGCGTATGTTTTGTGTAGTACAAATTTAAATTTATTTTATTGGTGCATGAGAAATTCGGCTTGTGTAATAAAATTGTTCGGACACACGTCCGATGGTTTTATTAAAATATAGCGTGTTGGAAACAAGTTAAAAACGTCTGCACGTTATACCGCTTACTCTCGTACGGGCAGAAAATCGAAATGCACGAGAGAACTTTAGAGTGTATCGTGAAAATCGATGGATTTTTTTTTTAAAAACCGTTGTAACCGCGGTCGTATTATCGTCGTGTGCGCACGCGCGTGTGTGACTTCCGAATAAACCCCCGATAAAACGCACGGCTGCAGTTTTCAAAAGTTCTCCTCTTCCAACCCCTCGATTAGGTCTTATACGTGTGTACGAAGTGGCACGCGTAAAAACAAATGAGTGTGTCGAAAACGAACTGGGGTGTTATATATTGTATTGTATCGTTCAAAATGAACGGTTTTCCAGAGATCGTGACTGTAAACAAACGGACGTGCTAAGCCGTGAAAACCAATTTGTCCGGTTTTCGTCCGTACGTGGGCGTGTTAACATAAAATAAGAAAATAAAAATGAATTCGGAAACACAATACCACGTTAATAAAATAATCTATGACCAAATTTATTTCACGGATCGTAATACTGTCACTACGAATTTTCGTTTGGGAACGATTACAGTTTTGTAAATTTTGAGCTACGTAGCATGAATGCTTCCACGGAACACTCAGAAGTGTCTATATTTCTCAACAATTATTTTTGATTGCTCTTTATCCGTCCGTTTATTTTACGGTCGCACAATTTACGCAGTTGTGATATTATAAGCCGTGTTTTTCATTATTACTTCCGTAGTTCTCGGAAACCCCGGGGATCCATGGCAAATCCCGGCGGGGTTTATACCACCACGCCTATTTATTATTTCACCGTGTGTTCGAAATGACTCGCACTCGATATTGGTGTTCTCCCTCCCCCATGTCAAGATAACTTTAATATATCATGGTAATTGTTTGTTTCGACCGCGGAAACTGCGGATCGGACGTTTCAGGTTAGGAATTATACATAATGGTATAACGAAGAACGAGTGTAAAAACGAAACGTCGTTTACTCGGGGTTATAAACACGTGGGACGTATACATTGTGTAGCACTTTATATATAATAATAATAATACACTACCTACCTCGAAGTTTATGAACCGTGTCGGCGGACTCTGCGGATGAGTGGACGAAAAAAAAAAAGCGATGGATCGCGGTAAATAACCCTTCTGTCGAACTGTCTAGTGGGTATACAGCAGATAACAGCTATCATGCACGCGTCATTAACGGTGTCCGAAAGAGAGAAAAACAGAATGAAAGATAGAAAGCGAGGTTATATTATTTTCAGACGATCACTACCTCGGACATTGATTATATGCGACGAGCAGCTCGAGTATAGTGTACACACGTTATCGGTCCGTTTATTTATTGTCATTTAGTCGTTTACTTTTTTCATTTAGTCGCCAGCTAATGGTCCGTAGTTTCTATTATGTGTACCGCCAAACACTATAATGTACAACATCCGTATTGTACCCACTGTCGTCGATGTTGTCGCTCCAACCGTTTATAACTCGCCTGTATAAAACGGGGTTTGGAGGGGGGGGAATAAACGCCGCTTCGGTATCGTCACCGATACACGAAAAAAGGCTGCGAGTAAAGTTGTAATCTTCCGATTTTTTCTCAACGACTGACGCCACGAGATGAAAATGTACGTGTACACCTAACATCATATTATTATAATACCGAACTCGCGAAAATATTAAAACGATAATTGAGCGAGAATTATAGCGGTTCGGCGAGAGGCAAAATATGAACGATAAGCAATTATTACTGTAACTGCCTTCGTTACATAGTTGTCTTAAGAGGAGACGTGATGTCTGTTTTACAAACGCACGACATGTCGAGTGAGTGAGGACGAGAGTGACAAAGAGTGAATCAATGGGTGTTATAAAAGTAAGGATATTTTCGTTAAATTTATACGAGATGTACATAACATGATTATGTGAAATATCTAAATTTTAAAAGTTTACATTCCGTCTAAAAATTTAAATACCGGAAAAAAACCGACGCACAATTACAGACAGCGTTTTTACCTAGGGACGTATTAAGGTTCGTTTAAAGGCAGATACAACACGTGCTTGAGAGAAACATCACGTTCTATAAAATTAAAATGAGTATATTAAAAACGTTTTGTCGTAGGTTTTGATAATTCGGGACACTTCGAATTATCCCCGATCTCCACACCGATGCGGAAATCAGACGAATGAGAGAATATTTAAAACGCAAAAATAAAACATTAGTTTATTCTTGTCACGTTTGGCCTAGAGTGGGTATTCGTTCGTTGTAATATTATACACGAGCGAGTTTCTCAAGGGAAGCGACATTATAACGAAGGTAAAAACGATTAAAAGGAAAAACAAACAAAATACAGTGTATACGATATGTGGTCCGCGGGGGGAGGGGCGGTGAGTTTGAAGGAAAAAAAATAATCCATAAAAACGAAATTCACAATGCTATTGTGTTAGGTTGATGCGCTTTTCCTCTTATATAAATTAATTGTTCTAACCTCGGGAAAACGAAAAAAAAAGCGGATTTCGCATCGCTAGCTGAATTACCGCGATATCGCGGTGTCACATATCAGTTAAGTGAATTCTGCGGGTGTCAGTCGGTAGACAACGGTGCGAGGGGAGGGGGGAAGGAAGAGATTCGTGCTTTTTTTTTTATTTTTAAAATAATAATATATACTAACGAGTTTTGAAACTAAAAAACGCACTCGACTGTGAAACAATCGATTTTAAACCTCGATGATGAAACCGATCGGTTCTGCCGCAGTGTTTTCCTGTCATGATCACGGTAATAGCATTATCAATTTATGGTTCGGTTTTCAATACGTAATAGATTTCGTATTTCACTCGCTCTAGTACAATGCATTTCGAATATGTCATTATAATTTTCGATTCGTGTACTCGAGTTACCTGTATTTAAATGTAATGACTTTTTTTGGTTTTTTTTTTTTTTTTTCATGGAATTTTTAGAATATATATTTTTTTACATTTTGACGCATTCGCCATAACTAACAGTTTCTTATTATAATTAAGGTTTGCTTAATATTTTCTACCTATCACAAAACATTTTGTTTTCGTAATATTCGTTCAAATAAATTTTATTAAAATATAATTATTTACACGTCATAATATGAGTATCAGTAAAATAGTTAACTAGATACAATCCTACACGCGACAATACTTCGGTTTCGCCCTATCTGATGAGATTATTCGAAACGTTTAAGTAGTGTGAACCGTCTGTTCAACCTGTGAAAATATTATTAAGGTTAATAAAATGTTTGAAAGGTATACGAATTCGCTGCGGACGGATTGAACGGTTTAGGTTTATCGACGTACGATGTCCACCGTTACAAATACCTTGGTCAGTGAAACTTCCCGAGCGTCTCAGAACAGAAACAGTAACAATTAAATAAACCAAACAAAATCCGTGAGTACAATCGATCATCAGAATCGCTGTCCACCACTGTCTACTGTCCGCAGACTAGACGTTGCTGATTCTGAGCATGCTGGACGACGGCCGCCGTTCGGCCGTTACCTGAGCGATGACGTTGTTGAACGACGGCCGACGGTCTTTTAGCGTAATGGACGTGGGACACAGATGGTCCATGCCACACGAGGTGCGCCGTCCGCCACCGACGCCACTACTACCGAAACTTGTGCCGCCACCCAGTGACGTGGATGGTGTCATGAGAAAGTCTCGTCTAGCCGACGTCCACAGTGACGACGACGATTGGCCACCAAATGGGACGTCACACAGGCATGGGGCTGGTGGCGTGGTGGTAGACGCGGACGTCGTGAACAACCGTTTCTCAGCACCAGGCGACGGAAACAGGCTGCACGATCGGCGTTCCTTGACTGCAGCCACCATCAGAGTACCGTAACCACTGCCGGTTCCACCTCCACCGCCGCCATAACCTCCAAACGACGACATGGTCATTGGGGCCGCGCACGACACGCGACGTTCGGCCACCGCCGCGACTGCGGCTGCTCCGATCGTCATAGGCAACATGGACCGACTGGTCCTGGCGGGACTGCACTCGTGCTGAACCAGCGATTTAATGTCGGCCGCCGACTTGGCCTTCCGTGGCCGACCGGCCATTAGCGTACAGTGGCTGGACACAGGTGGTCCGCAGGCACCCGGCAGAGCCCCACCACCCGCAAACATGGAATTTTGCCGTGGTCGGATTTGCAGAGCTCGGTGGGTGGGCTGAATCGTCTGGAATATGGCCGACGGTTCCAAACAGCTGTTTACGTTGAACTTGGAAAACGACGTCCGGTGCTATAATCAAAAAACATTATTATTATTATTATTATTATCGGATGTTAATGGACAAAAAAGAGATAACAGTTTGAGATTGTAAGCGGGCAATGGGCGCGCTGTGAGAAGGAGAAAGTCACCAGTATGTCATGATGGAAGGTAGAGAAGAGGAATTTCAAAAAACAAAAGGACTATAAAGGAGGCATGAAGGGATGTAGAGCAATACCGAAGAAATGATGAAGCATGGAGAGATTTAACGAGGTCAAGAATGAGATTAAAATGAAAACAATTGGGGTCAACATTAAAATCCGTGCGTTCATCATCAGAATTCGACATTATCGGTTTATAACCTAAGTAAAAAATCGAAACCATAAAATATAAGTTATAACGATATAGTTTCATCATGATAATGTAAAGCAAAACATTTATTTATCTTGGTCGTTCGGAAAAATATGAGTTAAATTAATTTTAAGAAGAAAAAAAATACAATCCCCCTATAATTATAGTACTGGTGGGCCAGTAATGATTCTGTGACGTTTTGGTAAAATAATAAGAGGATCAACAAACTTTAGTGAAATTGAGAACTGCACGCTCTTCACTAATTGCATTAGTAAATATGATTTTGTTGTTTTACGATAAAAATAAAACATTGGTATTAGAGAATGAATTACGAAAAATGTATCATATTATAATTTTATTAGGGATTGAACTGAAACAGGTGTTTAATGCCAGTTAATAACGGTAAAAAACCTATATTAAAATTTAAATGATTACAATTTTTACCGGGATTATCAATCAAACCCGAAACCTGAAAATCGTCTGACCCGATTGATGGACAATATTTGATTTTATTCACGCGCTTTTTTCATACGATTTATTTCAACAACTTTAACCCGTGACACGTCGTATCGTATATATTTTCAGCAAATATTTGTAATTAAAATTCAAATGTATGTAAGTTATCAAAATATAATGAAAATTTACAAGTAGAGGTCGAAATTTGAATGGTTTCAAATTGAACAACCAAACCGAGCGATATAAATATTGTGTTTATGATAACGCAATTCGTATAATAATACGTGGGACAGCTAGTCCCACGCTCGGCGATGTCCGTGCCAATTTTTCATTATTTTTACCATTATTCTCGTTTTGCTTTGCACGTATCAGTATATAGAACGAAAAAAAAATAGGTAGAAAGTGGGTGTTACCATAGATACCCGCCCAGCACAGGGATGATTGAACTACACACACATCCACTATAATAACACTTATAAATTATTACGTGGTACACTATACGGTAGTATATTGTTTACCAAAAAGTACAAAGATTCAAAGATGACGTTGTATGTGTTTTCACTTACCCACCCTGTACAGCGTTAACATAGTTATTTATTATTTTTTTCATCCATGTTGTCAAGTTGGCTGTTCAAGCCAATAATAGACCGTCAGGCGTCAGATTGACTCGTTATTTTACGTTGTTATAGTTGTTATGACATTTTTATTTCTGTTTATTATTTATTGTTTTTCATTCTATCCGTGCAACTAAAGTAACCCACAATTCAACAAAAATAATTTAATTTTTATACCGAAAATACCTAAGAACCTGTCATCCCCTTGTATGTCATTAATCGAGATGAAGACTATCATTAAAGTTGGAGCAAATGAAACCCGTTGGGCATTATCTTATCAAAATCGGTTAAGCAATTTTACAGTGAATCGCACGTAAACTCGTCGTACGCGTGATTTTCATACATAAAATATTTAAAATATATAATTTCGTTTTAAATCGGACGAAACTGCACACACACGGTGGCGTTTAGTAAAATACAAAATACGAGCAATAAGGGAGATAGTTAAAAATCGTAAATAAAAGTCATTATTATAGTCATTTAGATGGTGCATTCTACTGGATTTGATAATACTTGATGTATTTTGAGATAATTATATTTAAATCTATATGCACAGGCTGTAGCGTGCTGTAAGGGCAAACTTCGTAGGCGGTGTATGCCCGACCATAAAGGAAGAAATAAAAAGTTTAACATATTTTATTAAGTTAAGTTGGGTTAGGTTTGACAACTTTAAACGGCAATATATTCAAATTATCATTGTTTCTTAATTCTTCATGAGTATTCAATTAAAAACAATATATCAGGCTATTTTCAAAAAAAATTAAGGTCATTTTTTTTCATATAAGCGAATTCTTTTCATAAGCGCTCGTATCTTTAATTTTTTGACTCGTATCGTTAATATAATATATACGACCGGTTGTGGTACATAAGGATATTCACATTTTTATATGGCGGTTGAAAGCACTGTATACAGCACTCAACGATATTTTTAAAAACTTAATTACAATATTTCGCCGTTGCATATCGGATTGTTATCATTATCAATACATTTGCATTATATAACACGGATACATTGCAGTGGTGTATTTAGGAGAGGTGGCCTTAGGTCCGAGTCCGTAGTGAAATTTCAGATTCAATTGAACAATTTCATGCATATTGCTTTAGGGTGAAGCAAGGAAGTTTCGTGATGTAGGTAACTTAGTAAATTTGGAAATGTACTGATAGTACATAGTTAACGTATACCACACGCACTCGACGTGTGTAAATCAACCAACAGAAGTACTATGTGTAACATGTGATGCTATGTAGATGTTTATCGGTGAATAGGTATGTTCGTTACAAATACTCAAAAAACTTACAACGTTTTTGAGAAATCAACAAGGAAACTTTAGATTGTCAAGCCTTGTGTTGATGATCATTATAACTTACTTACCTCTAAAGTCTAACTATTGAAGGATTTGTTAATATTTGTATTCAAAACAAAAAAGAAAAATAATATAATATTTAAATAATGAATCCTCTAAATGTTTCCATGTGGATTTCTCGAAAACATTTTAAGTCTACCTACTGTGTACAAAATGCTAAATTTATTGTGTTATAATGTTATAATAAATAAGCATTTAAAACTGTAATTCCTCTATTTGAATTATTTACATATGTTATAGTAAAACCATACGGCACCATCCCCCCTCCCCCCAAAAGTAGCTTTGTTGGTGGTAGATTGGTCTATAGTGAAAATAATTTCTATATACGCCACTGGTAAAATAGCTATTAAAATATTAATGTTATTTTATCGTCAACCTTCGATGTGCCCACAACTAATCAAAATATAGTTTACAATAGAAATTTAAATGTAAGAATCTTAAATTCTTACAGCATAATACTCAATAGATTATTGAGTAATTATTTGGTTAAAGCTCATGGGAAGCATTTATACAGTATTTTACTTTTGTTGGTGGGCCTTAATCTAGATGGTGTAAAATTATGTCCCTGTATGTATATTAAATATTTTTACCAAGAATCAAATTTCAATCGAGGCCCGTTTTCGTAAAACGTATAATATGTGAAAAGATGATTATGCCTTTAGTCAGACATTTTATTTTATTTTGAAAAGTAGGGGGTAGCAAAGAAAAAAAAACATTTCAATATCACCTCAATGGCTCAATTTAAGAATCAAGGAATAAAATAGAATAGTGAACACTGCATTTTACAGTTGAAAAAAAAAAGACAAATTCAATAGAATCAAAGAAGATAAACATTACACTCATAAAAAGGACATACTTTCTACGTGGGTGGGCCACTGTTGTAGGTGAGAAGTTGGGAAGATAGACGGGAAATTGAATGTACATCAGTACGCAATGATTAACATTTGCTAACGAAAAACGGTTTTCTGATTAATAATCAGATTATGTGGACGTTGAGCACGAGAGTTATCAAACCCAAATAGTTTGGGCGAAGGTGAAGGTGATGAAAAGAATGGAATGGAGAAGAATTGTAAGAAGGCAATACTAATCGGTAGACTGGAAAACTATAAGAATGAAGATCATTAATAGAATAAACCAGTGAAAAATATTTTATTGTTATTCTCTGATATATTTTTATGTGAAGCTCGCGGTTCGAGGTGAATCAAATAATATGTCGTGTGCATGTATATGTATAAAACATATACAAATCGAATTATAAAATAAAATGTTGGAAATCATTATTACTGTACTCATACGCGATAAATAAATGTCATAAATGCCGCATGTTAATGTAATAAAATATTCAAATAGCGTGGTACGGTTGAGATACTGTGTAACCGTGTTATAAAACCAAATTATTTTTCAATATTGCGGGATTTGTACGTATACCCACTATTATTGCGCGGTAAATTCAAATAATTTAACATTTCGTCGGCAGACAATAATATTATTCACCATATACCTACAGCCAGCTGCAGTAAAATGTATTTTATTGCAACCGGCGAAAAGTTGGTACCCGTGTAATTGGGCGAATTCAAAATTGTAAATCGTTTTCCGATAGTAATTACAATTATATTACTATTCGAGTTTAAAACAATATTATAATTTACAGAGATCTCTAAAGAAGAGAAGGTTATAGTTCGTGATTTTCTTTTTTTCCCAAGGGAATAAATTCAAAGTCAGACATATAAATTACCTAATTTGTTTAACTAGTTTAAGTTAATTTATTCCCCAAATAAAAAATAACGAAGCCGAGTTAAAATTAATTTTAAATTAAAAAGATTTTCAGGTACAAAGATAATAGTCGCACATTTTCAGGAAAATAATATCTAAGTTAAGTTAAAACATAAAAGTTGTTTTTCTTAAAAATCACCATTAACCATATTCATATAATCATATTTCATACTCACCACAGGTATTGAACCTGGAAAACGATCGGGGGGTTATTTATTTTACGAATAGTTAAATATTTCTCCATAGTTAACGATTGTGTGATTTCAAAAAAAAAAAAAACAAAAACATCTTATTCATAAAAAACTTGTATACTAGAAAAATTGATCGCGAAAGTCACTTTTAATTTTTTGGTACTCTGTGTATTAAATTGTTAGATTGTTAGATCAAACAGAAATGCTACGAAATTTAAAAAGAGGTTCACTATGGGTAGTACTTGGTAGTCAAAAAAAAATATTGAGTGTAATGTAGAATTTTTTATAAGAAACTACTGAAGATAAACTAAAATATTTTGGTTCACAGAGCACGTTAAAACAAAATAGTTTTCTTTTTTCTAATAAAACATGAAGATCAAAGATAATGTTTTATTGAATCATTTATCTCCTAGAATAATGAATATGTATCTATGCGATCGAGTGAGTTCAACGAGAAGTTTTTCAAATTTTCTGCCTATTTATAGATATATTTAAAGTATCGATTTTCCTTTTAGTGATACAAATATCGAAAATCGTAGGAAAATGTTTATGGCGTAAAATTATAATTTAATTCAATACAAGATGAACACATTTTTTCCGATTAAAAATCATAATTTTTAGCATATTTTATGCTACAAACATTAATTATCTTTATTAATTAATCTAAATTACGGTTGATGACCTACACTTTGGTCTTAGTTTTTTTTTACCTACAATTCGAAATTAGGACCCCAGATAAAATCCTCTAAGATACTTAGCATCTATCATCTACGTATTAAATAATAATACTTTGAATCTGAATTTTTCCCCTTCAAACCTTTTTTGAATTATTTTAATACTATATTTTTATGTTATCTAGACTACTAAACGTCATCTATTATAACTATCTAAGATAAATATTCAACGGTTATCATTATATTTTATTTAGATAAAAATATCAGATATTTTTCCCAGATTGGTTCGAGACGTATGTTTCAACATTTAGACAACTACTCTCTTTTCGAATCCGTGTTGAAAAGGGTAAGATGGTTGTTATTTGAAAATTAATAGTTGACATGTATTAACTATGTAAGTACCGAATAAGGAGATCTCGGGATCATGATGAATAAATCACGCTGTACGATACATATTTGAATATTCGCGGAATTTTTAATTTTTTAGAATTTTAACGGATCCGATAATTAAACATTTATCATTATGAATATATGGTATTTTGGGGAGAATTGCTTATACTGTCAATAATTTGGACACATTTCATTCGCAGATTATAATATTACGTTCGAGACATTTTTTCGTAGACCTAACTGATTGGAATTGTAAATCGACTGCGGCAGCGTTTATAAAATTCTCGTTAGCTAAATTGCCTAGAATTAAATAATTCATATCGAATAAATTACAATATTTTTTAGTATCGCTTGTATGATGATAAAAAGATGGATCGTTTAGTACATTTACGCATAGGAATCATCTTTTGTATCCCCTCCTCGAAGGTTGTGGTCTCTTCCGTCATTTTCCACTTGCTTCCAATCTTCAGCATTTCCTTAAAAAATTCTTCTTTTTATATTCTATGCCAGCAATCATATTTCAGGATACTAACTTGGCAGTTTGTTAAAATTGAAATTAGTTTCGAATTTCGAGCATGACGAGTGAACTATTGGTTTTACAATGCTTTTCTTTCTTTCTTTCTTTTTTTATAGCCTGTGACCACGTTTATTCTTAGTAAACTTGCTTTGATTTTTTTATGTAGTAAATTTTCTGAAGACTCAAGTTGTCAAAACGGTACTTTAAAACATAATTTTTTGATTTTCGACGCCATTTTTAAAATAAAAAAACTTAAGTGGGAAAAAACGTAGGAAAACGTACAATATCACGATTTCATTATTTTATAAAAACACAGACGTCGTTTTTTACTAGAAAAAATAATTTAATCGAAAAATCACACGACACTTTTTTTGTTGCCTTTTGATTTAATTTCTTACGGTATCATTGTCAAAACTTTTGAGCTTTTAAAAAATTTTAATTTCTAGGAGTTTGTTTGCTGTAATTCGGTTATAAATGCACGCAGAGACTTAGAACTTGGTAATAATACTTAAATTGGAATAGTGTAGACGTTAAAAAATGTCCCAAATCATTGGACGACTTTTTATTTTTTTAATAAGCATTTTAAAATCAAATTTAAACGAAAATAGCAAAAATTATTTTATAACCGTACTGTGTTTGAAATCGTCATTCATCAAACAATGGTTTATCGTTGCTTACAGATATAAATGGAATAACCTTATGTTTCCTACTTTCCCAACTTCTCACCTACAATATTGTCTGCACCCGTCCTCAGTATCAGTTCTTTTTTTTCTTCTTATAATTCATTAAGAAAACTGAAACAATTTTATTGGGTTTTTTTCTAGACACGGAGTATAGTTTTAAATTATGTCGAGTTATTTATGGAGCTATTTAAAATGTTTCATCTTTTTTGTTTTGTTTGTATATACAATTTTTCCTTCTTGTATGAATTATCGAAAATTTTGGTAATACCGTGTGTGAAAAACAAACCAACCAGCACGCCAAATCATTGTTCAACAAAATTGTTTATTTTACTATAGTATTTAATTTAATTCATTTCGAATTTTTGAAGCCACTGCTTTTTCAGCTGTGCAGTGACCGCCACCGTCAGAGTTGATTATATATAAAGAGGGAAAGCCCAAGAGGGCCGCGGGTGGCCTGCGGTGTGCAGTGTTAATCTTCTCTCGAAAAACAATATCCGAACGTTCTACTATATATGTATAAGAGTATCACGACGATGCAACGACGGCTACCCGGAGGGCGTACATAGCCGTTTGGATTACACTGTTAAATTCTCAAATGCAGGAGACAATGGCGAAATATCGAACGCTGCCTTACATTTTATTAGCAAAATGCGGAATAATATAAGATAATATAATATTTGGAAGATATATATAGTTACGTATATTGTGTGTATGATTATATTATATAGAAAAGAAAAGTCTGTATTGCTCAAGGTAGGCTACAAACGAGACAATAACGATTCTAAACGGAGTAGTAAAAGTCTTGTTTTTTCATTTGTTGTCAAGGTAATCTAGATAACAACAATAAATGGACCTAATAGAGAGTGAACTGTTGACAATTTCAATAAATACAACTAAAGTACCAAATTATCAGATGAAAAATTTTTTAAAATTATGCCACGAAAACAGTAACAAAAATATTTTCCATAAAAAAACTAACTTTTGTAAAACTAATGGCTTCTTTGGTACACACAGATTCTAAAATTATACCGAAAATATAAATCTTTAATTTTATATAATTCTCTAGAACAGATTACTTTGAACGAAAAACGATGAAAAGTGTCTGTGTAATTGCGTACGTTTCAGATTGGAAAAAAAATTATAAAATTCGATTATGAGTCGACGGATGAAACATTTTTTAATGTATAAATCCTAGTTTCTAGATAACAATTTAAGACGGCAATTCATCGTAGATTTGTAATACCCGATTTTCAGATTAAAAAAAAAAAAAAAAAAAAATAAGGTTTTTAGTAAAATCATATTCATATGTATATATAAATGAAATTGCAGAATTTTAAATACAGAGTGAAAGTTTCGGTGTGGGTTTTTACTAACCGAAAAAGTGTTCACAAACATCTTATAAATTAAAAAAAAAAAAAAAACTATATTTGCAAAACCAATACCATACAATGTAGATTTTTCTTATTAACTTACAGTGAATGTGTATTTTATTCTAAGCGTATAAAATATCTCGTGGGAATCGTTATACAATATGCTCGAACGGAACCGAAATGTTTTTATGGGAGTTTTATATTTGTATACGATGAACTTGTTGTACAGCCGTTGTGTAGAGTGTGTCCCTTAAACCGAAGACGACTTTATGTATTATAAAATTTGTATGTTTAAAATGTTATGATAACAAACTTTATGATATCGGTGACCCGAAAACGACGTATGCGAAATGTTAAAAATTATTGTTTTTAAAGAATAATAAAGCGATTAGAATCGATTGAAAATGTACGACACGTAGTACTAAAATACTGCACTAATTGCGTCTGTTTTTATATTACAGTAGTTATCCGCGTAATAAATCCGGATCGGAGAATGCACAGGGTGTGTTTGTGAGTGTGTGATATATTTTTAACTCGAACCACCTTCGATTATCCATGAGTAGGTACAAGAAGGTTTTGATTAAATTCGACTTCTAGAATTTTCTGGCATTCACATTATACAGAAGCGTTTGGCAATACAAAATATTTATGGCCTGATTCTATGTGTTTAAAACTCTTAATCAAATGCACCGAGATTGTCAACATTTTCGAAATCACCGATCCGCAAAGACCGAATAACCCTGTATATTTCCAAACGACTCGAGTGGTCGTGCAGAAGTGTATTTTATGCTTCTATATCCGGTAACGGAGGCTATACTACGCATTATTTTTTTCTCTGCGGTGAATTTAAAAGGTCCCTAAATCGGAACCGGATTATTGGAATTTACGGGAACCGGAAGTCAATTTTGGCCTTCTTTCAAAACGAATAAAACCATAATATTGACAGTCGAACAACAATCCACAAACTACATAGGCTCGAAGAGAACACAATGGTTCTTCTTTTACACTTAGCTTTTATTTCATTTCCCCCCTTACACGTTTATTCTTCGAATATTCTCAGCGTTTCAACAGCGAGACTTATATAATTATAGGTATCGTATATTGTTATGCGGAAATGTTTTTAAATAATTTACTGTGAAATATCACCAACAGTATAAAATACAAATTATTTTATTGTCATCTATTTAAAGTTTGCAGACTATACTATTTTATGAGTATCTACGTATGGCATACATCACGTTTTATCGAAATCAACGAAGATCGATTCTATAAATCTTGAAAAATGTCAAATTTTTTTTTATTTCTTAACACGTGTAATTGTTAAAACATTAAAACACAGGTTTATCTGTAGTAGTGCCATATAGATAGGCTTTCGAGTTCGGTTACAACAACTTATTATGTAGGTATATTAGTTAATAAAAACAATATACGGTTTTATTACCTACAAATATCTATAACGTATACAAATAATATTTGTTTAGTGTTTGTTCGATATCTGATGGTGTGTGATATTGACGGTACGGTTCATTAAATAATTGTTCTTGTGCGTTGTAATTTAATAGTGAATTCTAAAATGGAATTATTAGTTTACAAAGTCATAGTTAAGTTAAATTGTATTAAGCTATAGCCAAGGCTGTACTTGATGGAGTTTTAGAAGGTTCAAACCCCTTTTCGAAATTTGTTCGGTATATCTTATGTCATTTCAAATAACTTATACACTAGTCACTAAAATAATACAATTTCAAAAATATCTGGGTAATATACCAACTTACAAATTTATATATTGACAGATTATTATAAATTGTTTTACGACGCGCGATAAATAAAAAAGGAAAAACTGATAATAAGCGGTGGCGAGGAAACGAGTAAAAGAAAATATTTTGCGTTTTGTGGAATCAGCGTACAGACGAGCCGCTGTTAAACAAGACGGACACTTTAAAGCACAGAAAACCGTTAAGAAATCTAAAGATATTACAGCGGAGGACGGTTAAATAGAACGAGTAAAAACGTAATACGATGCGTCACGAAGTTTAAATGACAATATAATATTATTACGCTGTTATCGTTTCCGTCGATTAATTTCTGTCAAAGAAATCGTTTCGAGTACGCAATCGTTTCACTGTGCACGATTTTAATTTTCCGGGATGGCCGTTACGTTTTTTTTAATACAAAAATACTATATTTTATTATATTATATAATACTATACTATACTATACTATAAAAACAATATATAATATTGTGTTGATGACAATTTGAAATTTCAAACTACGGTGTTAGTAGTACAGTGACTCAACTATGTTCATGGGTACCTTCATAACATATATACATATATTTCTTTACTAAACGCGTTGTAAAGAAAATGTTGAAGTAATGATTTTCTATTTCTACTGATTTTAGTTACAAAGATTGAGATTTACATTACATTGGGTATTCTGTAATATAAAGTAGGTTTGTTTTACTGAGAATTTGATAAGTTTTGGTACGAAAACAAAAAATTAAGACACACGTTTGTTGAACAGTATCTAATGAATAGGATATAAGGTGGCTCCGGAAATATCCAAGTATATTAGCAAGCTTCATACCATTGATTTTACATAATATTATCGTGTTGTTAAAATAAAAGAGTCTTTTCGATTTTCAGGTGAGGGGTAAATATAAAGAAAGGAGAGTGACTGCCGAAAAACCGTCACCAATAAATTAAACAATTGGATGTGTACCAATAGGAAAAATTAACTTTTACGTGGTATCGTGAATTTTATTAACGATCAAGTATTAGGCATCATGATGCGATTTGAATTTGTGATAGTTATTATGAACGTGATTTATTTATATTCCACTAGCAGGAGTATGTGTAATATATTATAGGTAAGATATATATCAAATAATTGCGTGGAAGAACTAATATTATATTTGTGGTTTACAAATTCGTATTAAGGCTCGTTTGGCAACGATTTTATCTATAATCATAGGGAAATAAAATCATATCATTCATATAGATTATTATTGGTTATTAATAATAATGGCAGGTGTATTGAGTTTTAATTACGAGAAGTATATTTTTTTACGAGTCCCGACAAATAATATTTGATAAAATTGAGTTTTTCTCATGTTGATAATTTGTAACGAAATTGTATTTTAAGCAAAGTAAAGAAAATAATTGGTTTTATTATGATGTTTGTATTTTCTATTTTCAGTCAATAAACAAAAAAACCAATAAAAAATCTTGTTCCTATACTCTACTAACAATTTTTTTTTTTGGGAGGTTTTTTTTGATTCATAATAGATTTCTTAATATTTTAGGAAACCCTTAGGAAAACGGGAAAATTCAAAATATATTCAATGACAGTTTGCTTGTTTTATTTTTATTTTTGGTAATTTAGTTAAAAGTAACCTTAAAAACCAAAAATTTGAGCTATTTAATTTGTTTAAATATTATTTCGAATTTTTTGGTTTTTATATTTAGTGTATTATGTGAATAAAATTGTTTTAGCCCTGTAAAAACGATTAAAAATAATACGAGTTTCATTCTTGGTTTTTAAACTATTGTCACAAATAATTAAACGGATTCATTATTGTCCTTCACTTAAATTTTATTTTCACAAATATTACAAAACTTTATTAGTTTAATAATTATTAATAAGTAAAATAACTGTGCACAATAAATTACAATAAATATTATAAATTTTTTCAAAGAAAAAAAATCTAAGGTTAGGAAATATTTTCAAAGATGTTATGCGCGTTTTAAATTTCACGAACATTAGTGGTTATAAAGGTTGTGTTCAATTCAATCAGTGTCAATACAACTTCGAATGGTCGTAAGTTATTAAGATACATAGATTTTTAGTGTTCGAGTAAAATAAAATTAGGAAATGAAAGTAATAAAAATGAATATCTGGTAATCTCCACTAAATGAACTTTAAAACCTTATAATAGTGTGTAAAATAACACATTGACTGTAATTATTATTAAAAGCCAGTTTTTTTTATGAAAATTAAAAACACATTTTGAAATACCTTGATAAAACAGGAAATAATTTTTTGCTAGAATAGTATTATCAAAATGAAGGTAAATTGTGTATTACAATTAAGATAAGAAGTTATCCAGATAAATATGAAAGATTAAGGATCTTTTATCTAGATAAACATTTATATATATATATATATATATATATATATATATATATATATAAATATATATATTGCATTTTAAACTAATAAGTCTTAAAAGTATTAAATATGTACCAGATTTGATTGATATCCTCATTTCATAAAGATTGTGCTTTTTACGATTGATGTGTAACTTAATAACCATTGATGACAGAAAACGATTCTAAGTGGAGTTTGGTTGATAGTGTTGATTTGTCAACAATATATATGCCATATTATTTTAAAATAATCACATATGCATTATATATTCTTATATTATATTTTTTTTAGTAATATTTGTTTATTATTATAGCTATTTTCAAGTTTTCTCACGTATTTCTTGGTTCCCACGTTTTTTCTATTGATTGAGAAAACTCTTAGGAAAATCAAAAAATGACCTCCGTAAAGTATCAATCCAGTCAATATATATCAGAATATTTCGAAAATATTACCACGTCTAAGCAGCCATTGATATTTGGTAGAAATTTCAGGGCTTTACTAATTAAAAGAACTGAAATTTATTACTTCATTACAGAAAACAAATATAAAATCAATTTTGATAAAATCGTTATACACTTATGTACCATATACTTATATTACCGTCTTTTTGATTTATTTTTTCGAGTATTCTTTAACAATATATATATACATAATATCAAATATAAAAATATATCCTCAATGTACTAACTAGATAAAATTTGCTACCAGAAACCATTCTTGACGTTGATTATCGGTAAATTATTCAGGTCGAAAACTTGTTTACATAAACAAAAAGCGTATCATGTGTTTAAAATAAAAATGTAGGTATGTGAAGGAAAAAAAAATAAATCAAAATCATCAAAAATCAAGTCAACATTTGTCACGATTTTAGTCTCCGCTGCGATATCATGAAATCTAACCGAATATTAAATATTTCAAAAAATAAGGAAATGCATATAAATCCTGATCTTACATATGTTAATTGTATTTCGTAATGTAATCGAATAAAAATCTACATTCGTTCGGTTATCACTTTATCGTCATCGGTAGGTATTTATTGTATATTATCAATCGCAGACACACTGTATGAGTAGACGTGGCTGCGTATATATTACAACTATCACCGTAAACTATACGTTCTAATAATTAATCATAATTAACAATATCTAAATCGATTTACTAGAGAACGCTCATTAAATTCGGTCTTGTCGGTAAATCGCGTATTTGGACCCGGTTCAAGAGCACCGCACCATAATATACGCATCACTAGAGTGTTGTTTACGGTGTACTAATAATACGACTATATACGTAATTATATTTATTTGGCAATCTCAATCATTTCACGAGATACCGCGAGAGCACCTATGCCGTATACAGAGTAGACCATTTATTACGAGATACAGCGATTTTTTCGGAAGATTTTTAGTGAAAGTGTGATTTATTTTTCAATACTAATGGAACCGTTTAGGCTTTATTTTAACATTTTTTTTTTTAACATTGCTTTACCCCTTATACCTTAAATGTAGACAAAACGTTTGATTCTAAAATAGCAATCACTCACCATCTTTTAAATATAGATTTGTGTTAGAATATATGTATAAAAAAAGCAGTTCTAGAATAATAAGGACGGATGCAGCCATTATTGTTATTGAGAAGTTGGGAAGGTAGTAGAGGGAAGACTGAATATATATCAACGTATAACGATAACTCATTTCGAACGAAAAAACGATTCTGAGCGGAATTCAGTTGATAGTGTTACTTTGTTAACAATATATATGTCACATTACGGTAAAAATAATCGCATATGCATTATATATTATCTTTAATAATATTTGTTAAATATTGTACCGTTTTTCCTACATATTTCCCGGTTTTCCCATGTTTTTTTAATTTTTCTCATTTATTGGGAAAAATCTTAGATATATTAAAAAATGGCCTCCTAAAAGTACTTTCTCAGTCCGATATCCTTTCTGAAAAAGTGCTATCATTGTAAATCGGAGTTAAATTGCTAGTAGAAAAGTTGTTCACTGGAGAAAAAAAATGCCGTAATATGTTTTAACTAATATCTATACATTTTGTACGTTTTCCTGTTTTTTCCTATTTATTAAAAAAAAACATTGTAAAACTATAAACTTCTTCGCTCCACTCAAAATCTATAACACTCAATAACACAGAATGCGTAACACTTAAATCGGATTAACCGTTTATAAGTTACAACTGTTTGACATTTAGACAGGAGGAATAATAGGGGAACGTTTTCATAATTTTATCATATAACAATTGATATGAATTTTATTATCCTTCTTTACTTCTCCGGTATAAATTTGTAGTTGTCATAACTCATATTTCCGATATTAAAGTTATATGAAAATGTTCGAAAATATATTTTCTATTTAAATTTGTATTTAAACGGAAATTTATTTAATGTATGAGAAATAAAAAAATATTGGAAATAGTATTAAAATTAAGCTTAAATGATTCCATAATTATAGAAAAATCACAAAACCACTTAACATGTTTAGAAAAACCACTGACTCTTGATGGATCGATTACCCTGTAATCTACCTGAATGTTGTTCGACTTTAACATCTATACGCACAAGATACTCTGAATTGCATACAAAATCGATTTCCGAAATATATATAGCACGACAAACGAGCATTATTTCTCAAATGAACCATACAAATAGCATAAATAAGCACTCTTGCAAAAGCGTCGTCGTTAACTTAGCAGCCTTTAACAGTGTTCGTCGGCTCTATGAAAACCATTACTAAATAATCACCATATCAAAAGAAATTCGCTTGTCGCTATAATAACAATTATTGGTACTTACCACGGATTTTCTCAACAAAATCTCATGATAATATATTTTCGCTATTCAATTATTGTATACGATTTCACACATTATTTTACTATTTAAACCTTAGTGTGTTCCATGCATTAAGTGCGGTGCTCTATTCAAGTACGGGATACACTGATGTCATATTATAGTAAAATATTTAAAAAGCTTTATATATTTTCTTTAATAATATTTGTTTAATGTTGTACCGACTGTCTCAATTTTTCACATTTGCTGGGAAAATAAGTCTTGATAAAATAGAAAAATAACCTCTTTAAAGTAACTTTCTAGGCAAATTTCCTTTTAGAAAAATTCGTTATCATTATAAATTTGAGCAAAAATGCTAGTGGAAAAGTTGATCACAGAAAAAAATTATACGAGTATTGAAATGTATTCCAAGCTGCAAACAAAATTTCAAATAGTTATAATAATGATTCATTCAAATCTAAAATATTTTAGAAATTATTTAAGACTAAAAATCCCTAAAATATGTATTACAGGTTTTTCTCGCATTTTCTCTGTAATTTAGGTAAATTACATGGAATCGGTTCAGATCATTTCTGAAAAATTGTTGGGATCCGTCCACTCCCTGCTTAATTCGAGCACTACTGACTATTATTTAAAAATACGATCGGAATGAAACATGGAATTGACGTTTCGCTATTTTATAGTAACTTAACCGGATAGTTAACCAGTCAGGTTTGTTTACTATTTTAAGTATTAATTAGTTGTTTTCATCGTAATCGTTATTGCACGTTCAGAAGTCACATTAATATTGTATATAATAATAATATTTTTTTTTTACATTAGACACATTTTAGATTCTGAGCGAGCGAGAAATTTAATGGTTTTACAGTGATGATTTTTTTTTAATTTTATAGTTTTTACATGCGAACAACTTTTCTACCAGAAATCTTGCTCAGATTTTTAAGTGAAGTACCTTATCTGGAAGAAAGTTTCATCTTGGTAGTACATCTAAGAGTTCGTTAGTTTTCATAAAAACTGGGAGTACCAAAAAAGACGAAAATGAAAACTGAAAAATGTGTTGTCACGATTTCTTTATTTTAAATGTGTATAACTTGTGTTTTTACTAGAAATATGTTTACATTAAAAAATAACAAGAAACCTTTCTTGTTAAATTTTTAATTTTAAACTCTTACTTTTATACATAACTTAAAGAGTACATCAAAGATGTTTCTCAATTATGATGAAAGTTAGGGTTTTTAAGGGGTCGTGGAATTATATATATATATTTTTTGCGAACAAGATGCGAACTTAAAAAGTTTGCGAAGCACTGCGGACCGTACATGAACGGTTATACAAATCATCGTCCTCTTATATACACTTGCCTTCTATATTTACCAACCAAAAAGTTTAATCATTTGGGGTGCATGATTCTTCGGCACTGAAGACCAATAATAGCCGTCGTGAAAAGAGTAGAACATCCATCAAACGACACTCGTTCTTATTGCCATTAACCTCTTTGGTCCATCCATTACAACGGCTGATGTGCTTTTTGACTATAAGGCTATCGTTTTTGTTTTGAACGCGCTCGGTTGTCGAAACAAAAACCGCACATAACCGCTACACAGTAATGATGTAGAAGAAATTTAATCTTTTTTTAAATAATAGTAATAATAATAAATAAAGACCGTTTTTATCGGCTCACATACATTTCATTTTACGAATTCATCTTTTTTATTATTATTGCAAATATCATTTTTTTCCTTAAAATATAATAATAACGATAAAAGTATCCACCCGTTTTTTGAAAGTGTTTTACCATTAAACAAAATTGGTATTTTTTTTTTTCTTTAAATTTTTATATCGTAAAACAAACATTAATTGTACACAAAATATTATTTTTCTTTTTTATCTTTACGATTATACTTTCATAAAGTTAAGTGCCTATTAAATTGTCACAGACTTATTATTCAAAAGCTGCACAATTATATAATTTAACATTTTAAAAATCAACTAGTTATCTGTTGTCAATAAATAATTGGTAATACTTTTGTTTTTTGAAAATATAATTTATTCTATTGAAATAAAAAAATGTATTTATATAAACAAAAAACTGTTTAAAACTCTGATGTGTACAGATAAGTATCGAAAAAGTTTGAAAACATTTTATAAAATATTTTTAGTTTTTATTTGATACATTATGTATCCGAATGTTGCAAAACTTCCACTGCAGTAGCATTAGGTGTACTTACTAAAGTCTATTTTAATATAATTTTATAACCGCATTTTTACTATCTTTCAAAAAACCATCAGATCACTCGTCACTTATACAATATATAAGAGAGCAAAAATGTCTTAGACTTATATATTTAAAATCATTAGTTACTTTTGCAAAGCTTTGTTGAATCGTATGAAAATACGATTTTTTTTTCTTATTAAAAAAAGTTTTCGCGACATAAAGAAACAATATTCCATTGCGCAAACTAAAATTTAAAAAAAAAACATTTATAGTGTTGTGTTTTATCTAAGTAAATGAAAAGCCATTATAATAAATTGATCTATATAAATAATTGATCATTTTTATGAATAATTATATAACGATCGATCATCTTGATAAATTTAGAAAATTAATTGATTGCCTTGATGCGTTTATCTAGATAAATAATTTGTAATCTTGATAAATCGTTTTGAAACGGAAACAATAGTTAAAATGTTTCCTTATTATAAATATACGGTTTATTCATTAGGTAATTATCAAGTTTTGACATCGATTGCATAACTTTTTTGGAATCTAGATGTGTACCATAATATCTAGTGCACTTTAGCACTTAGTTTTATGATAGATAATGAACGTATTTCATATTTTCATCTAAATGACGAGTTATCGGTTATTTTTAAAATTATCAAGACAATTTAATTTTTTTACGTATTTATTATCTTTATATAATCAATTATTTGAGCGATTATCCTTTACCTATTTATCTTTAGATAACATAGGTAAAATAAATATCCGGTTAAATTAATAATTTTTAATATAAAATTTAATTGTCTACAAAATTATGAACTTATGATATTATTATAAAATGTAAACATTACTGTCTATATAACCAAATTTAGTATCTAAATAGTATAAATCGATTGACTGTATTCATCTTTAGATAAAGATTAGAAGAAAATCTAAGCAAAATTTGAGAAAAAAAATAGTAAATATTACAGCTTTAAAAATCATGTATGAACGAACTTTGCTCAAAACTGTTTTTCGTTCGCAATGATTTTTCGTTGCTTACAGATAGAATCTAAATAACTTGTGTATAATTCATTCATAATTTTCCACCTACAACAGTGGCACACCCATCATCAATATCAGTTTATTTTATAATCGTTTTAATTTCAAATTTGTTTATTTTAAATTTTAAATTAGCGATAAGAATCTTTCCCCTTCAAATATTCGTTTATAATTATTTATTTTGTTATAATGGGTCAACTGATCACGAATCTCTTTAGCCGATATAGCCTATGCCTACATAATGTATTATAATAGCTTCTATAGTATATCCGCCAAACATTTGACTCTTTCGTTGAATGCAAGGGTAGCGTTTAGTGAAATATCTATTTTAGTGAAATTATCGATGGAAAATATTATGAAAACAATATGATTCAATAAATCACTGGTCTCCTAGACTTTGAGTGAAAGACCGCTGAAGAACGAGTCCAGTAAATTTTCAGTAATATAAATATATATTATAGGTTAGTATACTATTTTTGTGTGTTTAAGAATAAACACGGTTTTACAAGGTTATATAAGGTTTTTTAGTACTCTCCGGACGATGTATAAATACATAACAATATACGTGTACGTGCTTGATTGATTCTGTGCTTGGCAACTCTGTTGTCGCTAGATATCGTGGCGTAGTGAAATTATAGAACGGCCCATCTCACCTGTACTCGACAACTCGTAGTCATTTAGGTTAATGCATAGAAATCAAGAGTGAATAACGTCAGAAAATTGCGATGCGCAAGGATGTCATATTCCTTGATCAGTCGATTAATATAGTAGCTTTCCCAAAAACAGTTAGGATCCGTTTTGTGGTTACTGCCGTATGGGTTCACGGAAGTACGTTTATGGCCTATTTACCTTTTTTTAATAACGAAATATGATCAATATATTTTCAAAACTTACACATTATATTTTTCTCAAACAATGGACACGATAAATATTTTATGGGAAATTAAAAATGTATGATTTTCGTTTTGTCTATTACGTGACGTTTGGTTTTAATAATTCAAAAGCTCAGTACCTATATATTCAATATAATATTATGCCCCGGAAATATCTCACCATATTAGAGGTAGTTCTTTTTTTTGTCTTTCATTCTTTTACAACTCTTAAACGGCTTTGTTGAAAAAAAAACTAACATAACGTCATGTCATAAAAAATGCAAACGAATAGTTGGCAATTGACCCGACCATCACGTAATATAATACATATAGGTAAACAGCATTAAAAACATATAAATATATTTTAAAATTATATTTATGTCGTGGTTTTGAAAAATATAATTCTCCGATTAGGTACTGTGCACATTTCATTTTTTTTTTTTTTTTTTTTTGAGTATGCTATTTTAAAAGCCCGAGATTAAAATGTTCTAAAATATTAAATATACCATCAAAAACGATCTTAAAAATGAAAAACTTAGCCATTAAAGAAGTTCCTTTTGACATAATATTTTAAAATTCCAAGAAATGGAAAATTAAATTGTTTTTCTTTATTGTAAGAAGGGCTGTATATTAAACTACATTTGAACCTTTTTTTTAGATTCTAAGTGGAGCGAGGAATATATTGGCTTTATAACGATGTTTATTTATTTTATTTTTTATCTGTTAAAAATTTGTCTACTAGAAATTTTAGAAATTTTTAAACTTTAATTTAAAATACGTTTTCTGAAAGGAAAGCTGACTGGGGCAGTAATTTAGCGAGTTTATTTTATAATTTCATAATAAATGGGGAAAATAATGTGGAAAAACGGGAAATATACGAAAAGTATTAGTAATCATTTTTTTTTGATTGATTACGTGGTATCATCTTTTTTTTCATGTGAAATATCCATCCTGTTTTCCTTATAAATGGGAAAAACCGGGAAAAAACAAGGTAAAAAAAGGTTGGAAAAACGGGAAAATAGGTACAATATTAAAAAAAGTTATTAAGGAAAATATATAACTCATGTGAAATAATTTCACCGTTATATGACTTATGTATCGTTGACAAAGTAACACTACCAACAGAACTTTGCTCAGAACCTTTTTTTTCAGAAAAAGTTAATCGTTGCATACAGATATACAATAATTTTTTTCTCTAACTTTCTAATTTTCACCTAAAATAGTGGTCTATCCATCGTGCTATTCATTTTTTTTTTTTTTGTTTAATCCGTATAACAACGAAAATCGGCCCCCTTGATATTTAATCACCAGGTAAAATTATACTATGGATAATTATCCCAAACATCCTGTACATTTTCATCACAAGATCACTATTTGTTTCTGTCAAACATATTTGAAGAACGGGTAAATGATCTTGAGGTTAACCCAGGATGAAATTTATCGAAGCAAGTACGAGACAACCTGATTGCACCCAGTATGTCGATATTAAAAGATTCACTATGAACAGATAATAGTGGAGATACAAATTTTCAGTGACAAGATACGACTTTAAGTGAAAAGAGAGTAGGGAGAGAAATATTATTGGAGGTGATAATTATCGTTAGAGATATTTGAGGTAATATTTTATCAAGTAAAACTTACATCATCCCACTCTTCCTCCCGATCAAATACAACGGAAGTCAATTTTTAACGAGACTCCGGTATTTGAAAGCGTCGAAAGGCTAAACATTATTTATTTTTTTTTTCGTTTGATAAACGAGATATTTTGTTGGTGGCTAACACATAACGTTCACGCATAAAATCGTATTTTTTTGGGGATGCGAAACTTTTTTTCTATCATGGTCTTGCGAATCTGGTCGAATTTATACGTGAATCAACTGATATTAATAAACAATATGCGTGTATTATATGAATAATGGCACGAAACTTATTTTACGAGTGATATCGATTTCGAATTCACACAATACATGTCGTGTATTATATATTTTTATGTAAATTATATATAGAGAACAAACGTTGTTTTCTCTTTCTTTTCTTTTTTTTTTTTAAAAAGACAATACTATATCTATACGTGCAAATTTGCACAAAATATCATCATGATAATGTTAATATTAAAACTCGAACAAATTGAAAATATGTATAATACGGATTGCGTGACATTGGGAAGTTGGTGGTTCCACGCGCAGAAATAATAGTTTAGTTTCAAAAATTGAATTTTCAATTTGTATATTAGTCATATTATTATTATACAAATTCGAAATGTTTCCTGAGTTTGGTAGAAATACGGCAGATAAGAAAAAGACATTCGAAGTGCGGCTCTTTTATCAAAAAATAAAAAAAAATGAATGCAATCAGTATATTATGTAAATAAAACAAACTCTTTTTTCAAGAAAACATACAATTGTTTCATTTTACTTTATCGATTCATGATTCCAATTTTTTTTTTTTTTTTTTTTGGTCACGCGTGAAGAGGTTCATTGGGACTAAAACTTGAAGCCTCGTGGTCGATTATTTTTAAAGAAATGCTGATATTTTTGTGTACGGTCAAATTGAATTTGAGCTTTATAAGATAATTTTACAACTTCACTTTGATCATAAACAAGTAACTATTGAAATTGCACTTATTAGGCCAAAAAAGTTCTCAAAACAATTTAGCTCAAAGTTTTAAAAATAGAAATTTTCCTTCTCATTAACTTAATTTAATTTAATCAATGGTATGGTAAAAATTAGTTTTTTTAAATATGTAAATAATTGATATATGATTTTTAGCTTGTCAAATTATTTTAGAAAATAATATTTTTTGACTTAAGTACTGTTCAAACATTACACGTTTTTAATTCATACATAGTTTAATCATTAACGGTTTTATTTTTAACCCAAGTGTAATTTGAAAATTTTAATTTAGGTATAAAATTAAATTTGACTATTCTTTTACTTTTAGGACAAAACAATTAAACTAATATTTTCACTTACCCCTCCAGTAATACTATGACCGATCCCAGAGGCACCGGCCAACTCGACCATTGGACAGCTTGGCCGGTGTTCTTCTTCGTGAAATTTGGGTTGGTACGGTTCGAGCATGCGGATTTTTCCCCAGCGGTTGAAGAACAACGCGATGGCCGCCACCCACAGTATCATGACGCATATGACGATGAAAGCCTCTTCAGTTCGTATTACGATTGGTCCTGAAACGATAAATTGTATTGTCATGTATAAAAAAAATCTATTGATGTGCAAGGTATTTTAATTTTAACCGGACTAAAACTGGAAATAAACAGAAGAGAGGAGGGTATGGAGGAAAAACTACAAAAATATATATGCAGAACCTGGGGGTGGAGTAAATTTTTTTCTTTATGACCACGACTATCTTAGCTGGTGATTTTGGAACTAATTTATAATTGCACTTCCAAACCTATCCACTAAGACGACGCTAGGTCTCTTATAAAGAAAATGCTCTCTCCGTACTCCCGCAATGTCTATACCTTTTTCTATAACCACGATTTTGATACTAGTTTTCGGTTATTTACGTGGTTTTAAGTCGTAAGAATTGATTAATGCAAATTAATTCAATATCGAAACCAATATCATTGAATATTGTATACCTATTTCATATTTTCCTACGTATAGAATTCGTAGAACAGCACATTTAATTTACGTTAAGCACAATGATAATTTATAGTGGTTATATTATAAATTACAAGCCGAATTTTCTTAATTTACAATAACTATGTCGAAAAAAATTTAAAACGTGAAACTAGTTAAAGACCAATATTATTTACCAGCGTTTCTTAACATTTATGTCGCAAATGATTTTGATTGGATCTCTCTAAAATTTTAAAAGTTAAAAAATGGATGTTTCGAAAAAGCCGGAATGCCTACAAAAAAGTTAATGACCTATTCTTTTACTTGTATCCGAAAACATGACAGCACGAAATATAATTACCTGTATACAGGTAGGGAGCAGAGGTGGTTATAAGGAACTCCCACGGGTAAATTTTAACATGATTTGAAAAAAATATGTCTCTTGAAAAATCGGGTATATATTTTGAGTAGCTTAAATACAAAGGTTAAAGAACCGCTGATATAGAATACCTATATTGCATCATAAATCACAGCAAGTATCTAAAGGTTAAATAATTTGGCGTGTTATTATAATATTATTATGCGCGGTTTGTTATGTTTTTTTGATTTCCTTCAGGTTATTTTATAGTGCGGTAAGACGTAAGTACACCAACGTCGAGAACTTTGGATGCACGAATACAATAACGCATTTTATCGCGGGACGGCTGGTCTCCATTTTATACTAATATAAGGTTATATAATAATAATATAAGGGTTCGTATATCTTATTATTATTATTATTATTATCATGTGGTTACATATACGTACTATAAATAAGCGCGGGACGACTAACGAAAGTGTAGAGTATACGAGATGGGGTACGTAATCTATTTTATAGATTCTGCACCGGTGAGTATAGAAGTTATTGATTCATTAATGAAGTGGTTTTTCAGTGGCCCGGCCCGTAGAAGTAGTAAAATAGCTCTTAAAGTTTCATGAAATAGTGTACGCCTATAAAGCGCGTATTCCGTTATCGATTGACACCTTATAGACACGTCCGGTATTTAATATGGCTGCGGGCAAAAGTCTGTGAGAAAACCTAGTGAAAAATATTGTATAAATATAAATGTATTCCGCCGTAAATGATTATATAACGTTAAATGTCTGTGAAATTATCTAAAATCGAACAAAATATTTTGTGTTTTATATTGATAATATCCCCTCCTCCCATTAGGTATTTCTCGATATCGAAAATCTATATAGCATATTAATCGAGACTAAATGATGATCGAATTATGAGTGTGCGATATATATTATTACTTACTCAAACAGTAACGGTTTTTCGATAACGTAAAGAAAACATGTTATAGCGTATCGTTATATGAAGCCAATATAAATTAATAATATTATCTTATCCGCTTTTCTGGGAGACTGAATATCGCTGAAGATATAGGTGTACCAACTTGCCTTATATAAATTACACATTTTTCGAGTTTACTTCGCGTTAGGTATCGATACTTTGTTGCACGTATACTTTTCCACCGTTAAATCGCCAAAATTCGTGCTACTTTGACATTCGAGCTACAACGTGTCAACGTAGGTGTTCTATACACTCAGATGTATATCATATGCTTGCAGCTATTTTATACAAGACTTCCGCGTGAAAATTAAACTCATCACTCGACTCGCCGGAAATTTATACACTACTTTCCGTCAGGTAATTTCCTGTTCACCGTAGTTGTCCACGATTATGATATCGTCGCGTCATACGAGTGACCAGTTTCACGGAATATCCTTAAAAAAAATCCAGATTTTTTGAAAAAGTTCGATAATTTTTTTTCTAAAATCGAATTTAGGTTTTATTACTCGTATTACTCACGATATTATTTCGTGTTAGGTTCAAGTGCACATTTTCAATCGTTGAATTAAATATTTACATTACGTTTTAGATTTATACATCATAATCTAGTTTCCTCGTGTCATAAAACTAAACGTGCCATAAAGTTTGGATTTTGTGTGTGGATTCAATCGCGTATCATTTGTACGACACGAGGAGTTTTTGGTTTGAATTTGAATCAACAAACAAAATAATCGCTATACGTGAAAATAAAATATTTATTCAGTATAAAGTACACAAAAATGTAATAAACTATTTCGTACATCCACAACATTGTTCATCATAAAAATATTGAATATTGAATTGAAAGAATTGCGATGTTTGATAATGTGAATTTCTCCGAAACAATATTATTATTCGATAGTAGTTTATTGCGTTTTTTTACCGTCGATAAAATACGTTTTACAAATTAATATAACTAGAGAGCGTAGATTATAAGAAAGTGGCCAATTTGCTGAACGATTTCAATTGGTTAGCAACTGTTTTACGGACGCTATTTGTCGTCCAAATATTATTCATTATACATATTCATGTTCCAGTTTTAAATTAAAAATATTATATAAATAACATAAGAAGTTACAATGTAAAAAATATAGACAATTTATTGAATAGGTACTACGTATAAAAAAATTTAAATTATTTAAAATACTAATGTATATAATAGTACCTGCGTGTTTGGACGTTAAATTGATGGTATAGGTATCTAATCTTCTGGCCATTCACTTAATGTCTAGGCTCTCAAAATAAAACTATAATACATTTTTCGTAGATAAAGTCAAAACTTCGCGGATTTTTTATCGTAACGAAAAATATAATATAACTCTATTATTATATACACAATACACGGGACTCAATCGAGGGTGTATAAATCACGACGATGCAATATATTATATTTATATTATTACCCGGAGCTACTGGCAAATGCAGTAGGTGTACGTGGGTTAAGGAGACGCGCAGTACACAATCAAAGGAGAATAACATTTTGAATTTGAGCCATTATTTCTGGCGGATGGGTGCCATCGTCACTGTTATATACGGTATATGTATTTACATATGATTAAACGAGCGAAGAAATAAACGCCGAACGAAACACTTGGAATTTACATAAATAGAACCAAATACATACACCTAACACATACTACTTATATGTAGAGCAACATATAAAATTCGTCGATATACATATATAAGATAGTGTATAGGAAATTTAATATAAATTCTGTATACCCACACTTTATGGTAAGTGAGTAGGTACGAGTAAAATGTGTGGTTTTAGTGATGGGTATTTTTTGTACGCCTTTAGACCGCTTTAAATATTACTTGGGATATTTTATAAAATCATTTTGTATAATCTCGTATACACCACGAATAAAAATATGTACATTCTGATGAAATTTAATTTAAATGTTATTGAACTTGGAATTATTTTTTTGACACGGTTTGGATACTAAACAAAGTTTTAGGAAGGAAGTTAGAAGGAAGAGTATATAGACTATATAGAACATAGCTAATGAATAACGATAATGAATAGTATTTTTTTCCGTTTTATTTTCCTTTAATTATATTATTTATTATTGTTATAGTCATTTCTAATATAGGATGATTTAAGATATACTCATTGTAATATCTTCGGTTATAAAAAGATAGTTAAATTATGTTCTTATATTGCTAACAGGGATAAGGACTACAAATAATTATATTTGAATTTGTAAAAAAATTTGAAAAATATTAAATAATTATACTGAAATACTTAAAATTCTGAAAATTTTGACGTTTCAACTTTTGCATTTCATTAAATTTGTGTTTTTTTATTATCTTTCAAAGTTCAGAAAAAAAAAATTTATGTACAACCAATAATAATAATAATAATTATGTTATATTAATTATTATTCCAATTCCGTGATTTTCGTCTTCTTGCTCCTCTCAAATCCCTCTTCTGTGTTCTCATATATCCTACCCTCGAATATGGTTCAATTATCTGGGACCCAAATTCGTCTGTAATTGGTAACATAATTGAGCGTGTCCAGAAAAGGTTCCTCTAGATGATTGTGTTCGGGTTTGATATTTTTTGCCCCCCTCTCGCATGATTATTCCTCTCTCCTATTTTTGTTAGATATTTTTAGCCTCGCCGATGGAGGCAGCTGACTAATCTTTTTTTCATCTCTAAAGTTCTATCAAATCAAATTGATTCATCTTTCTTACTCGCGGATACTAATTTCCGTGTTTCTTCACGCCATAACTTTTCTCTAGTTCTCTTCCACGCCGCTCATGTTGTATGTAGTTATAATATTTATTTAGAATAAAATAAAATTGCCTATTAATATGAATCAAGCTGTCATAGTATTTACTAATTAACTATTTATTATTATTATTATTGGTAATTGTCTGCACGCTGTTTTATTATCTTCGAAGATATTTTAATGGGTGTATCTTTGTGGGATATCCTGTATACAAAATAGACAGGGTAAAATTAAAATCTTGTGACAGAGATTCGCAGCTCATTGATTGAATTTATACAAGTCAAATCGTACGTAGAACTTCATAATTTAACTTAAGATATTGAATTATCTCATTAAAAAATTGGTTTGAGAACAAAATTATACAAATTGATATTATAATATATACGATTTTATAAAAATAAAATAAGAAAATATCTGCAGAAGTTTTTGTTTGATCGGTTAGGTAATTGTTATTAAACAATTGGAGAAACAACATACTCATATAGTGTAAAATATGAACCATTATTTACCGGGTCACATGATTTAATCAAATATGTGTTTTACTGACTTAAAACAATTAGGCACTATGACTCACTGAACATAATATTAAAATCAACAATGATAATTTAAATAACAAACAAACCGACATTTACATTATTAATTAGTATTTCTACCACTATTCAGTAGGTAGTACACTAAAGTGTAATTATATAATATGATGTTGTTTCAATTTCGTCTTTCACTGTTTCAATCTTGTAGAATAATACTAATTAATTCAATTGTGAATTTTGTGTATAACTAATGTCTGTTATGATTTTATCGTTTACCTATGTTCTATCATTTTATAGTCATTAATCAATGATACATTTTTTACCATTTTAAAGATTTTCATAAAAAATAAAAAAGAGAGTATTAGATACATACTTGAATACTCCGTTGAGTTAAAACATTGGTTTTTTTTTTAGCTTTTCAATTTGTTTCTATACTATATTAATGATTAATTTATATTAATTTAGGAAGTTCTGCTATTGGGTTATATATTTTGATTTATTGTCTTGACAATCGTATTTTCTTATTCAAACCAAGAACGGCATCGCAATTTAATAGGTAATTAATATGATTGTTTTAAATATGTTTTTATATTTTAAATAGGTATTATAAATTGGTTGGAATTCGATAACAGCACGAACAGTGCCTTAGTATTATATTAATAACATTATGTGAAAATAAAACGTTTAATTTATTATAATTTGAAATAATACTTTGTCAAAAAACTATTAACTATAAAACTATAAACGGTACACGAATAGTCGAGTGCTTACCTACCTTAATGGTAATTCATTATTATCCTATATAAAATTTGTTCTTGCACTGCACTCAAAAAAGCCCCAAAAAAATTAGACTTTTATGATGAAACCAATGTGGCTGAATGAAATTTTATAAATAGGTTATAGAGAGTGAGACGCAATCCATATTTAATATTTTTAACTGAATCATAACAAAAAAACAAAACTGAAAATAACTATTTTCGTTATTTATCCCATTGTTTCTACATTTTTTTTTTTTGTGGTTTTGCACAATCATTAAACAAACTACAAGGCAATTTATGATGTTATAACTATTTTAGTTAAGGCAGATAAAAACGAAAGGTATCTTACGTATTCCGCAATTGAAATATTTTCTTCAAGGCTTTACCTATTGGCACGCAGTGACTCACGGGACCACAGATACAGTTGATGATACCTATTTAATTTACACATAATACAACTTTGTATTTTTTTTCTATATAACATCTCTGTTTGCCTCTTTTTTTCTAATAATATTGGAACGTATACATTTATTTTTATATCAGTTCATTGCTTTATAGATTATTTGTGGTACTAGCATATTATTCACTTACCTCCGGTTCCAGTCGGTATCATGTTTGACGGTATGGTGGAAGTTACTTCGGTCTCCTCAACGCCCAGCACTTGGTTCGACGAGGGTGTGTCCCCCCAACCGGGCCCATATTCAGGATACGGGGTGTCACCATAGTTGGGATCCGTAATATTGCCATTTTCCGACATTTTACTTTTAAATCATTTCCCTGTAACGAAAACAAAACATATTTGTTATATTAAAATTAAATACATTTCAAATTACGATTAGTATTCGAATTATATAAATTTGTTTGATTAATAAATAAAATTAATAAATATCTGTTACTGATAATGGGTATGTAGAATACGTCGAGTTATTAAATTTATATTTGTAAGCAATTAACAACGATTATGAGCGATTATGAATGGTACCATAAGTTTTGAAATTACGTAATTTTTACGATTCCCATTAAAATTTTAACTTTTAGAGCGAATGAAAAAAAAAAAAAATCAATAATTACGCTCACCCGTTTTTGTTTCATAACTATATATGTACAACTCATGATGATTCACATATATGAACTAGACACACAATTTTTTCAGAAAAAATGCTACACTAAACATTTTATTAATATTCCTGGTAAAAAAGTTGTTCCAGACACAAAAAACACACACATCATAGTTAAACCAATACATCTATTCCTCATACATTCCTTTGATCGGAGATCAGAATTTCAAGAATTTTAGTCATACGGATTTTATTATTGATTGATAAACGCGTACAAAAATCAAAAACCTAAGTTTAAAAATCTAAATTAATATTATATCGCGTTTATGGAATATTCTACGGCAGAAGGGAAAATATTCGACAACGCTAGGTTACGGTTATATAAAAATATCTTGTACTCTATTTTTGAACTCTACCGAGAATAAACTCTGCAAATTTGAACAATTTTCATTAGTTAAAGGTATCGGGGATAAGTCTAAGGAGACAAATAATAGGAGTATAGGAGTTAAGAAAAGAAGGTATATATGTCAGGAGAAAAGAGTAATCAACAGTAAAGCCCAAGAATAGTATATTGTTTTATTAATAAATTATTACAGAAAGGACAACGTAAAGAATTTTGTTACTGACACGAGTAATATAGTTAATAGAAATTCAAGACTAATGATCTGTGCATGATTAACAATGTATTGTAAATAGCTATAATGCTATATCAGGAAAAAAAATTCTACAGCAGTAATAAATATTTTTTAAAAAAATAGAGAAAATATAAATAACTATTCGATTGCACTTTAATGGCTTCGCACACAGTGAGAACATCCAACTGAGAAAAAAAACAAATTATTTAATGAATTCATCAAATAGTATTATTAAAACAGCAAAAAAAATTATAATAATAATAATTGTATTCTAATCAAGAGGGATTAATTTCTATCACGCACGTATGAAATCTGATCTATACGATATCATGAACTATTATCGGGCGATTACAACAATTGAACTATAGTAAAAACAAATATTACGAGTAGACTAACATGAGTTGAAAGCAGCTATACAACTATCGAAATTCACAGCTATTTCGTAACATTTGCTATCACTATTATATTATCATTGTATGCACGCTATAAAATCATTGATTATTATTATTTTGATATAGTCAATCGGTGCCACACCGACTATTACAATAGTATAATAATCATGACGTGGATCGTTCTTAAGTATATATAGTTGATTTTTTATGTATCCAATCATCTCTTCTAAATTATTAAGTTTTATACAAAAAAATTACATTAAACTTTGTAAAAAAAAATTAAAAATTCAAGTATTCCAAATATTTTAATTTAATACAAATTATCGCGATATTAATTTCGAATACCTACCTTAAATTCTATTCGCGAAATACCTTCGAAAACCACATACCTGCACATACCAAATTTTATCAAATTAACGAACAACATATGAATAGTTTTCGACGATAACAAGAATTTAATATTGTTTAAAAGCTTTGAAACTTTTGAAAAAAAAAATACGTTTTTGCATTCTTCTAATGGAAATAATAAAACAATAATTAAATTAAATTTGCTTGAGTAATGTTAGCAAAATGTGTGTTTTTTCAAATTGTATTTAAAAAAAATTAGTTAATGTTCACTGTTGTTGGTGGTTAAAGTAGGATACATTATATTATGTTCAGGTTGTCCTACAGTGTTATCCGAATTCTAATAACTTTAATTTTTTTTTTTCAATCCGGTATTTTGTCAAATGCAGACAAATTTAGAGAAATTTACAATTTTTAATTTTATCCCTTAATCATTGAAAAAAAAAAAAAACTTGAATTTTTAAAATAGCAATTACGTAAAATTTGTTTTTGTACAAATTAAAATGTATTATACATTCATATTTTATCAATATTTCTTATTAATAGCCGTTTAAATTTCAATATTTCAATATTTCTTATCTTCTATTACGACTATGATTCGCTGTTACATAACTCGCAGTCTCGTTTTTCACCTTTCTCTAGATATTAAAATGGCTATTACTAATTGACTATTGATCGGATATGGATCTATGATACATTTCAATTTTCAAAAAAATATATTTTACAAATCGGATATTTTGAAAATTTTAAAAAGTGAAAATATAAAAAGTTATTTTTGATTTTTAATTAAGATTTAAGGAATAAAAATTAAAATCAAATTTTTCTCTGCATTTGTATGACAAAAAACCATATTAAAAAAAAAGAAATGAATATTGACAGAGTTATTTGGATACCCCGTATATATATATATATATATAGATCAATACAAACAAAAAGTTATTCTGAGCGGAAATATCAAACTACAACAAACAAATTGACCTAGGATATGAACTGCTGAAAATCCTGATACATTTTTCAAATAAAGTACAGCTGATAAAAAATCCGTATCTTTGAAATTGTGAAAAAATCATTGGATTTTTAATAACACCATAAAAGTGTTTACCAAGAAAAACTCACTCTTGTTAAATTAATAGCTTCTTTGACATACTCAGAAACGAAAAATGTAAGTTTATTTTGAAAAATATTATTAATTGCAAAAAATAGAAGTATAAAATAGTAATACCTAGATAGTAGATATATATTTTAATAAACAGTCAACTATTATTACGGTAACAAATAAAATATTGAATGCCCGCATGAACCTATAGGTCAACTTAATGTAATTCGGTAGTCTATAAAATACTGGTGTTTGGTTTTACGAGCGTACCTAAAAGTGTAATTTTATTTCGGACTGCGCATTTAGATTCTCTACAAGCAATTAAAATAGCAAATTCAAATTATTTTTTAATATTAATGCGAGAGTTCTGCATAATCGTGGAATTTACGACTAGTACGTAGATTAATATTATATTGATTATTTCGAGGACCACGCGTAATAGGCATATCGACCAACGACAAAAACAATATGTTCTCGAAACGACTCCTTCGTGTATATAAGTTCTACTAACCTTGTACGTGCGTTATCGCGTGTTGTCAACGCAAACGTCGCGAGTACCTGCCTGCATACGTCTTCTGATTTTATTTATGAAGTTTTTGTTTAAAAAAAATACGACAGCTCGTACTCGCATACAGAACAATCGCAAAATAGCATCATCATGTAATGCACGTCAAATAAAATCTCGCATAACGTACACATTATCAAATACACTTTTAAATGTCCAAATCAATGATTTTTACGGCTCGAAAATTGTATATTATAATATAATAATAATCCCATGTTATCCACTTACTCCTTCCTGGTAGAAAACTCTCAAAATACAAATAAAACTTCATCTTTAAAATTCATCGAATCATATCATTATTTTATTTCAATTTTTTACTTTACTTACGCATTTTTTAAGCAAACAAATTTAATTTGTGTAGATGATTTTATACATTTTATACACGGATCATGTTTATTTTCAATTATTTGTCTATTGGTCATAAATCATAAGTTATAATGAATATAGAAATGTTTAAAATGGCTTAAGTGCTACAAATCTTTATGCCGAAAATTTGTTTACATGCAAATTTTATTGAAATCAAACGTTTTAATCAAGATTCGATTTTATTATTGACATTTAAATAATCATTTTTACAAATAAATCTGCACACTGGCTTAAATAAACTCAAACATAAATGATACTAAATGATTACACAGATCAACTGGTAATGTTATATTGAACGTCAATTGTACTAATCTAATAAAAGTTAACCATTTGCAACACGATAATGTGCATTTATAATTTAAGAAACTGTGTGATCTGTGACACATAGTTGTATTGCAATCTTAATTATTACAACGAATAGGTAAATTATAAATATGAGGATAAGTACATCCGTAATTATTTATTCGTTAAAATGATGTCACACCCGCATGTACTGTCACCGTCTTACTAACGCACGATATAACCAAATTACGTTACTTAAATCATAAATATTGTATTGTCTTAATAAAAAAGTTACAGTTATTTAAAAAATTGCGAAAAATAATTTGGCAGTAACTTGTGTGCTAATTTTCTTTGAAAACCCTACTCAAAGCCCTTGAAAATATTTTCCTCTGTAAGTGTTATAATTTATGATTAAACTCCAATTTTAACCTAAACGCTATAGTAAATGTTTTATTATTAGAAACAAAGTATTACTAAAGAAATACGACATTTTCTGTATAAGATAATAATGTAATTCTGCTACACGTAGTAAATAGATTTCTCGAATAATTAGTTTAATCTTAGTTTAAATATAATTTTATATAGATAATAATTATTTCAATTTTTAGAACACATCATGTAACGCCTGGTAGCGGTGGTATATACATTTAATACACTTGTTTAATGGGTGATCGATATTTACTATCTATTATTATTATGCCAGTAACTCATCCTTTTAATACACCCAATAATATTGGTACCTAACTATACCCGCTATACACAATACACATGCCACCCACTTAAATTATCTCTATAATCCTAACTATAATACATACAAGTATCACGACGAAAGTCGAAAATGGCCATAAAAAATGTATACACTGATGCAATACAAAACTATTTCATTTTAAGATTTGAAATGATTGTAAAAATTATAATACTAATATGATAAATGGGTGTGGTCAAGGGAGATGAATATTATCCATAGTCTTTCATAGTTTGTGATATGCCAAATGATTAATGGTCATATTATCATCATTATTACTCACTATTTATCATAAAAAGTTATTATTTTGTTTTTTACAAAAACGGTCGTTTCGTATTTTTTTTTTTTTTTAATATACGTTATTAAACAATTTATTTTCATAATTATTTCATTTAAACAATTAATATTTCACAAAAAAAAAAAAAAAAAAAAAAATGCTGAAAACGCTGAAAAATATATACTTTTAATGGTATCATATAAGAAATATTGAATATTGCTCACTGTATATTATGTATCGAGAACCCATCTGGACTACATATATGTACAATTAACTTAATCCACTCGAGTGAAAATAGAAAAACAGGACGTGCTTACCGTGGTAAAATATATTGCAGCCACCCTTTGCGATGGCAACGGTCCAGCGGTTTGTAATTGCCAAAAAAAAGGGAACCGCGTGTGGACAAAATTCTTATACCAAAGCAGATGGTTTTCACAGTTGGATGACCTAGTGGTCCTTAGTGAGGTCAAGAGTGGAGCCCTTTTTTTCTCGGGGTCTCTATTCATACCAAAAATCGTTATAGATACGCTGTAGTCATGTAGACGTGTGGCAGACGTCGTTAAAAAAAATTAAACACAAAAACTCTGTCAGACCATCGTTTTTCTGGATATACACTTTTACTGAACGCCATCATTTAACTCTGTAACTCGTGCCGTCGTCTTTAGGACGGCATATTTCGTAATTTGTCCTCTCCCTAATCTCCCTAAAAGTTCTTGCTTTCAATGCCATTTTCCCCAAAGTTTTATTTTCTTAATACATTATTTTCCAATTCCATACTTCCAAACAGTTCAATTTTTCAATACTATATTTCAAAATAGTTTCATTTCCAATGGAATATTATAATAATAGAGAATAGTGACTATTTTCGGAAGTTTGCACTGGTATCATAACATTATTATTCCTAGCACGCATTAGGCCGAAGCTCTGAAGCCGCTACTACATTGAGTCACCGCCCGTAGAAGTTGACATATATTTTTTACGAATTTTGTTTGAAAAATATTAAATTCGGGGGAAAATATTAGGAATTATTTTAGGAGGGGGTTTAGATTGGGATTTTATTTAGAAAAAATTCAATTTTTTTTTTACAAAAATGTAAAATTAAAAAAATTGCAAACATTACAACTGCTGACGTCATCAAGAACCATGAGTAAATACATATTAATAGAACATTTCAATGAAAAACGCCTTTTTTTTAGTACTTAGTTTGATTCATGTAAAAGTTGGTTAACAATTTAAATTTTCCCATTTAAAAGCACTTTATAATAGTTTTCTAATCGCACCATTCGTTTAGTTTTCGGATATTTCGGGCGTTCCAACAATATTGATTTATCCATCAACTAGCAATAATATCCTAAGGTTTCGTACTATATATTATTTAGTAGAAATCGAAATCGCTACTTTGCCGAGATTCATCAACTGTCATATCTAGCCTCGTTTACTTCCTCTCCCTCATCTAGAGTCCGCAGGAGGCCCCTGAGACGAAACGTCTCGTCAGAAAGTCAATTCGTTATATAGCGTGTCATTCAACTCTCGTATAGTTCAAGACTAGTAAACGCATTTCAATGTAGGTATATACACTTATACTCGTACTTTGTGAATGCATTTCGCCTACGTTGCGACACTTCGGGGCTCATCAAAATACTACCACGAGTACAAAAACTACGTACGTGGTTTATACCAGCAGCTGCCATTCCAGGGACTAGTGCGAGAAATATTTATCGGAACTTAAAACTTACAGTAACTACCTGAGTTAGATGCTTAGGTAGTATAATATGATGGTCGTGTGATGATAAGAAAAACCACAAACAATATCGTATTTTCATAATAATAATAAAAGTATGTATAATATATATTGTATTTTGTATACCTACATATACTATAACTATAATATAATGTATAAATTTATGAAAGAATATTATACTAAAAAATTGAGAAATTTGTGTATTGTAGGAGTCCCAAAAAACGGTTCTGAGAAAATTTCGGTTAAATACTTAAACATACATATTTTAAAATTACATGATTTTTACGATTTTCGTCAAAATTTAAACTTAAAACGCGTATAAAACACTACACCTTCTAGACAATATTTTCTTTTAGAAAAGATGTAAAATTGTATTATAGTAAAACTATTACGCTGCGCTCAGAATCTAGAAACACAGAAGCATGATAAATGCATTCAAAAAGATACATGCAAACGGTGCACGTTTACTATACACATTTATTATTTAAATGTCGTTTATGTGCAGAAAAAAAATAAAGAGTTCACAAAAATATTATAGATATATTAAATTAATGAACTTGAATACGTCAAACGATTGCGAACGATGACGGTGTCAATCGATAAAAAAAATACTACTTTGTATACCTAGGTACGTACAAACCGAACGATTTTCTATGCAATGTTGTCAAATGTTCTCGGAGTCTCCCAAACGATAACATACACCATATAAAATATGCCGAGCTATACAATGCGACCATACTGATAAACTACGAAAATTTTTAAAAAATCTGCCGATGTTATGCTGGGATAGATTACGTCAGTTGGGCGAAATTGAATTTCTCCATCATGTGCGAATAACTATCAATAAGGCTGCATAATAAAGACTAAAATGAAATGTATAGTATCTATCGCATGTGTTACTATTCAACTGAATAAAAATCTAAGACATTTCAAGAAATTTCAGAACCATTCCCAAAATATATTTGGATTTACTGGATTTATTAGCATTTTTGATTTATATTGTAACTATAGGGATCTATTGGTTTTATTATGATGTGTATTTTTTAAATTTTGAATTTGATATTCTGAGTAGAGCGAAAAAGGTTATGGCAATACCATGACGTTTATTTATTTTTATTTTCCTGTAATTAATTTTTCTCCATATTACAATGATAGCAATTTTTTTTAAAGAAAATCTGACTGGGGTGGTAATTTTTTGATTTTCCTAGAAGTTTTCAGAATAAATGAGAAAAACCGAGAAAGAAATGTAGGGAAAACGAGAAAATGTATGAAACATAATATGTTAATATATGTAAATATTAAGATCTTTTAAAACATGTGTAATCGAATTCCGCTCAGTATCGTTTTTCGATAGTAAAGATTAATCGTTGCGTACAGATATAAATTAAATATCCCCTCTAAATTCTCCACTTTACTCAGAATTGAAAAAAAAAAGAAAAAATTATGTAACTTTACCAATTCCGCCGGAGTATACGCAAAACGAGTAGAACATTAAAATTAATATTATATATAATGGTTTTGACGAGACTTTAATTTTAGATTTCGAGCGTCGCGATGGAGCTATTGGTTTTATTAAGATGTTTTTTATTTTTCTAGTCTGTTCTAGTAAGAAAAAAACGTTAGCAAGTTTCCTAACTTGCTCCGATTTTTATGTGTAGCAATTATTCTAAAGGCTTAAGTTTTTTGGACTGTACATTAAAGAGGTAATTTTTTAAATAAAAGCACTTAAGTGGAAAAATACATTAGAAAACGGACAATTACATGATTTTTTTATTTTATAAAAACACGGATGACGTTTTCTACCAGAAAAAATGATTTAATCCGAAAATTTAAAGATACCTTTTCTGTTGCCTTTTTGATTTACTTTCTTACGGTATCATTGTCAAAACTTTTGAGCTTTTAAGAAATTTTAATTTCTAGGAGTTTTTTTGCTGTAATTCGGTCATAAATGCACGCAGAGACTTAGAACTTGGTAATAATGCCTATATTGGACTTACGTAAAGTGGCAAAATTTTCAAAATCATTGGATTTTTTTTTTTTTAATAAGCATTTTGAAATCAAATTTAAAAGAAAGTAGCAAAAATAATTTTATAACCGAACTGCGTTTAGAATTATCTTTCATCAAGTTTATGGTTTATCGTTGCTTACAGATATAAATGAAATAACCTTACATATCCTACCTTTCCAACTTCTCACCTACAACATTTTTCGCACCCGTCCACAGTATCAGCTTTTTTTTTTATAACATGTTTTAAATACCACAACAATCGGAGAATAAGTTATTCATTCATTTATTCGGTTATTCATGTTTAATATTATTATCAGAATAATATACCTACTCCATGATAAGCAAAATCGACGATTGTATTATTTCTAGAGGTAAAATACGTAGTATATTGGTGCATAGGTATGAGTGGTATGAGTGCTACGAGTGGTTTTAGATACATATTTCTGTACAAATAACGAACGAATAAATACTAAACTACACGAATGAATCGTTGAAGCGCAAAATAACGAGTAGTTACGTATTAATTTGCAAAAATAAATTATAATACAAAATACCTATATGCGTTTTAATGGTACGTCACTCATGTAGAACTCTTTGGATAGTTAATTTTTAATTCTAAAGCTGAAATTTTCACCGAATACTTATTTGTGTTTGAAACTTGTTTTAGTTTTTATTCCGTTATTTTTGTTGTATGGATACAATTTTTGGTCGAGTAGAGATGCTTGAAAATTTAACATAGAGTATATAACTAGTTGTACATAGAAGGGGTGGGGAAATTCAATAATATTATAATAACAATAATGTTGTAAATTTTTTATAAGACATTTAAGTTAATTTTATTTTTAAACTCAAATATTGATATATGAAATATTTCATAAATTTATTGAGTTATGCAATTCGATTATAATCACGTATTTGAATTAGATTATATTTATAATATTAAATCGAATAAAATATTTTGATAGATCACCTAGGCAACTTGGTCCTACATATTTTTTATTCTTATACATTTAATTTTAAACTAATTTAAAATAAACAAAATTTAATATTTATATAAAAAAAACTACCAACAACGTATAATACTTTGTATTGCACACAAAATATTATTATTATAACGAAGACATTTTTAATAAGAAAAAAAAATGTAATAAAATATGTAAAGAAAGTACAGATTAAAAAGGCATGATTTTAATTAAAGGCTGAATTCTATTTTTGCTTCATTCTCTTCGTCTTTTTTTTTAAATAAATCCAACGATATCTAGCGTTATTAAAAAAAAATAATAATAATAGTAATAATAAAAAAAAAAATACAGTGTAAGTTATTTCTAAGGATATTTATTGATTTTCATAAAAAAAAATATTTGAGAAGATATTAAAAAATATTTATTATATGAAAATAATAATTGTATTAATTAATTCGATTTTGTTATTTTTTTAAATCGTTCAAATCTTGAAATCATTATTTGTTGTTATTATTATTACTACGATAGAAACTGTATTTTATGCCGTAATTGAATTGAATAGGTAACACAAACTACCTTTAAACTATTAAAACACTATTAATGTTTATAGATTCTGAGTGAAGCGACCTATAGGTTTAACTGTGTGTCTTTTTTTGATTAAAAATAACTGTTCTCCAAAAAATCTTACTCAAATCACAACATGACAATAAACTTTTTTGTTTCATTTTGGCTCTAGTTTATACATTAAAAAGTTTATTTTTTGAAATTATTATATTATTTAAAATAATGAGAAAAACTTGATTCTCAAGGTTAAAAAAGATTAAAAATAAAGTTGTCATAGACAATGGTTTTTATTTATTTATTATTATTATTAAGTTTTTACAATATTAATATTATAATATTTTTTAATAATTGTTTTTGTATGATTTCGAAAAATAAATTGAACAGGAGATTAATTATAAGTTTTATTTAGGGTGGTCAGCAAGAAAAAGTTTAGTTTGACGTAGTATTCTTTATTTTTAACGAAAATCTTAAATATTACAGCTTTTTAAACGTATATCCGAGCTCCACTCAGAAAGGTTTTTCGGTAGCAACGATTAATTGTTGCATATAGATATAAATAATTAGGTTTAAAGCCGGCATGAATGCGAAAATTGCAAATCATTGCAAACAAAATACTATTTTGAGTGGATTTAAGTCAAAATTCAAAAGTTTTTAGTTCGAATTTTGATGTAAACCATACAAATTATGACATCTCAAAATTTGTTGTTAGCCATCTTGGCCCATGATCGTTTATGTTCGATATTATGTATACATTTAATTATCTTATTTTACATATATTATACTACCAAATATATTATTATTATTTTCCCGACTTCTTTATTTGTAGTTCAAATATCTATAATATCTATAATCTCTCTCTATTTATATATGAATTCAGTAAAAGATAACTTAGAGGATATAGAATATTACGTAACCCATAATTGTACAACAGTCGGTGGCACGTGAACGATTTCGATACGCATTACCTAATCTTTCTCTATATCCCTATATACGGGGTGATCAATTTTCCTTAAGCCTTTTTTTTATTTTTAACTTAATTGTTACAAATTGTTTTTTTTTTTTTTGTTCGCGAAAACTTCAGGGTAAAGTTCTAATCTGATATATACACAATGAATAACTGGAGATAAAAAAATACTATTAAATAAAAATTTAAAAAATAAAAAAATAATTCTTTATACTAAGACGAGGCAAGCAATCTTTTCGCTGTTATTATACGTATTGTTATAAGTATAACCACATTATAATATCTGCAAATTTATAATGATAATAAAAAGTATTATTATTATTAATTTTTTTGTGAGTTTCAATTTATTTCATGATTTATATCGTTATTTAAAGTGCATCCTGTTATTTAAAATATATAGAATAATATAATTTATATAGAAATATAGTATTAATATTAGTGGTTTTTTTCAAAACAAATTGTTTATTAATAATCTAGTATAATGTTCAAACTTTCTAACATAATTATGTTAACGATATGGTGAGATTTAAGCTCATCTTTATTCCATTATTATAATGGAAAGGGTTCACTATGGGATATTTTGAATACGTTTTTCTGGACTTTTAAAAAGGTACCTTCAAATTTATGACTTTTATAAAATAATACTGTGGTTAATTAATTTCAAAATAATATTTAAACAGTGAAAACCCCGGGTTCAAATGGCTTTCACTTACAACCTATTAGATTGGCCCAACCATTTTTACAGTATTAGTTTTTTATTTATTGCACAGGAGTGGCATTGAAATATCAATCGATTTTAAATTTTGTGTCATTTTCACAGGATTAATTTTCCAACGTAAACAAACAAAATAATTGTCATTTTTCAGATCATAGACTTGAACATTATTAGCTCGTATACAAAAATATTTCATGATGCCCATTATTTACAATATTTTAATTTGTAGTACTTAATAAAAAACAATAGGGAATATAGTATCCATTGTATTTTAGTATCCGTGGAAAAAACCTAACCTAATATTTATAACCGACATTTTTTAACTAAACGCGTGTGTGTAATGTTTGTAAGTCTTATCCAAAAAAAAAAAAAGAAAATAAATTGTATTTTTTTTTTTTTGTGAGTTATAAAGCGAATATTGTGAAGTTCTTTCAATGGTTTTCTACTCGACTCGCGCTATAATAAGTAACGTTCTTTGGTGCTGACCCATTTACTAGCGGTATTTCAATGAAACATATATACATAAACAGTGTTATGAATTGCCGTCAAGTTGTTCGCGTATATGTACAACAGAATAATAAATCTTTGACGAAAAATACATCTATTAAAAAATAATTTTGTGTATGATAACGTCTACGTATATACAATAAAACAGCAGTAATTACATTTGGTCACTGTAATGTATAGCACGTATAGTGTATGTAGAATGCAATAATTTCAAACAGTACCCAGCCTCTTAACACGACACCTAAAGTATACCGTAACAAATAAACGGGATACCAGTAAATTATTTAACTGTACAAGTACGCGATATTTTTTCTATATCTGGTTTTTGTAAATCACTCATAAGTGAAAAGGTCATATAAATGTATTGTTTTTGACTATTTTTAAACTATAACTAAAATAAATAACAAAATAAAATAGTCAAACAAATTTAATATATCATATATTTATGATTCTAATTTCTTTGAATATATTTTTAATTTAATTAAAATTTTAAAGTTAAAATAATATTTTGAACATCTAATATGATAAATTTATTTAAATTATTTGTAAAAATTTAGAATTTAGAATTGGTTACCATCCTTGAACTTTTGAAAAATATTAGCTAAATTATTAATTATAAATAAATAGTATTAAACATGGTTAATAAATATAACTCACCTGTCCCTTAATAAATACAACATAAATATTTGTAAGTCAAAATAAAAATGTACCTACAATGCTGAAATTAAGCAGAAGCAAACTTCTACTTTTGTGATCCATCTGCGATCTGAATAAAATAAAAATCAAATATTAACGGATTACACAAAATCTGTTTAAGCAAGTTTTACAAATTGATTCTGAATTACGGATCTTTAATCTGTTATTCGAGTATAAAAACCCAAATTATGATTCAATATGAGATCCTGGATGAATCAGTAGAGGAAAAAAGTAAGTAAAATCTAAAAAAATTAACAATATCTATAACTAATAAATGTTAACAAAAACCACTTAAAAAATGTTTTGGACGTCAGAAAATGGTTAGATGAATGATCGTCCGAATTTCGCAGGAGTTTATAAATAAATCGAATTTTGTAATAACCATTAATCTGGATTGGTCATTGTATAATTATCAATTGATGGATTGTTAATCACATTTTCGTAAAGCCGGATTAAGTATTTAATACTAAAAACAAAATTATTTAGTAGACGATTCAACGTAGGTACAGATTTTGAAGTTTGATTGTTATTTTCGCGTTTTGAATATTCCATATAGTACACTCGTTTATTTGCGTAAGATTAAAATTTCTCAAAAGTTATTTGAACAGTTTTATTTTACTGTGGTTTGATATTATTACATCCATAACGTTACAATAATTACAATCCTAATTTCGCGCTGAGACAACAAACATATTTTCGACGGGTATACGAAATCGTTTGGAACATAATAATGTTTTAAATGTGTTTGAATTATTGTTATGTTATCATAAGTGGTTGAATCGAGAGCCACTGAGAGTTTCGAGGAAATTCAAAATATTATTTTCTCGGGTTAGATTAAAAACCGTCATCAGTGTACCATAAAGATAATAATGAGCTGCAACACAGTGAATCTCCACGCTGAATGGCTCGCAAAACCCTAAAACCGAATGTGATTGCAGAGATGCTATTAGAGAAAACGTTAAAAGGGATGAGTAATGTGTTTACGAGTTTCGCGGTTTTTTCCCTAAGTGCTCGCAAGTTAAAATTTAGTAATTCGAAAGTGATTTCAATTGAATCCGAAAATCTTGTAAACGGTACGTTTTATCAACAGATAATATATATGAACCGTAATGATGTATACACGTGCGTCACGATTCGTTGTGATATTATTATAGTAGAAATTGGTTAACGTGATTTTTTTAATTTAATTTTTAGCTTTTGGTCGTGAAAACCCCATTTTCAAAAATCAAATACAAATTTATATCTATAGTGATCCACTTATCAGAAATATGTAATACATGAAATACATACAAATCGATTTGATACGATACATCATTTCATGAATTGATTACTTAATTTAGAATTTGTTTTTTATACAAATTTAAGAAACTAGCTGCTCTAAAATGTTACATGACTAATTTTTTTTTTGCATCTTTAATTTTGAAGGTGAAACTACTGCCACTTTTGATTTTTAGCTATATTGAAAATCCAATAAATTAAATAAAATTACAGCATAAATAAATTTTGGTATTAAAATAATTTATTTCCATCAACCCGTTGATGGGCTAATGTAGACCACTTTTGAGTTAGAGGTATTTGGCAGCAATAAAGTAGTGGGATATCATTTGTGTAACGGAAACGCACATGGTGTTTAAATAGTGCTCTTATGTCCACAAAATGGTAATTGGCAAACTTTAAAGTGGCATAGTTGTCGGGAATTAACAGTTTCAATATCAACATTTATTTAAACTAAAACTTTATCAATTAATGCGATTTTTAATATAGGTTGCTATTTGAAAATCAAGTGGGCAGCGGTCTCACCCTCAAAAATATCCATGGCCGAAAATAACGTAACATTTTATAGATGCTTATATTTTATAAATTTTCAAAAAAACAAATTCCGGAAAAGTTAACACTTTTGGAGATAATCAGTGTCGTACGGTATGTTATCACTGTTTCTATAGAGACAAAGTTTAAACAAATTTAAATGTATACAATTTACATGCGTGGTTATCGTAAAAGTTATTTAATTTCATTTTAACAATAGATTTGCGCTAACTTGCCGTTAATTGCTAAAGGTGAATGATTACTTCCGAAAAAAAAAAAAATCTTCTAAAAATGAAAATAGCGTTTTTGTTTTTATTAGATCTTTACTTCCAGACTCGGGTAAACGAGAATTTGACGTTGATAGATTAGAACCGAGTGGCTTTATTTTAAATCCCTATTTAAATATTTCAAACTCGTCCGAATGCTATTAGCATACCGTTTAAAAAACAAATATATTGTATTACATAAAACCGATTAATGAAACGCTAATAAAATACTTATGCAATACGTTAATAATTATTAATGTTACCGTGCGCAGCTGTTGTAACATATTTCAAATAAATATTTCTAGAAGTTGGATTAATTGAAATTTATGTCATTTTTAAATCTTGATAGCATAAAATAAAAATACCTCATTATTAATTAAGTTATTATCTCCAAATATATAATATATATATATATATATTATTTTATATAGTGGCACATAGTATATGTTTATATATTTTATTTTATTAAGTGACGTTATTGTGCAGTTTGTTTTAATTAAATCTACAATGACGCGGATTTAAGACCTCGGTGCCATCATAACTAGGTGACTCCATTTATTATTATTATTATAATTTTTTTTTTTTTTTTTATTTCGAAAATGTACCTTTTGCTACATTTAAAGGGAAAAATTCATGTATAGGATCTATATTTAGGAATCTATATTGAATGCAATAATACCTGAAAAAATTAAATATACAATGCGAATGTAATCTAATACCAAAGGTGACTTCAAGTCAATTTCACTGAGAAAGATCGAATATGACAATATTTGATTAGTTGTTTCTTTTTTGAAATGAAGTCTCAATGCTTAATATGAAACATACGGCTGCTTAAAATTGTATATACATAGGTAGGTATAATGCAACTATGTCCCTACACCGTGATTTCTATGTTGTTTTTTCAAGTATGTTCCGATTAAATTGAAATGCCAATAACATGAATATGTTGAATAGTTATATTGAATAGTTTATTAGCCATAGTGTTACCGAATACTTGTTTTAACATTTTCAATAACGTCGCATAAGTTTCCGACTGTTTTAATAATATTTAACGATTTATCGGAGCGAAAACAAATAAAGTTCCGAAGAAACGTCTATAAGTACATATACCTACCATCCATTAGCTATTTTTAAAAACATTTAGTTTCGATTTTTATTTTAAAATGGAATCAAAAATCCTTTATATATTTTCGTTCGGTTATTTACCGGTGGAAATTCTTTCTTATTTTTTTTTTCTAGTAAAACTCAACGTACTTTCATTGTAATAATATAGCATATATTGTTCGTTCGCAAGTACAATATTATATTTTGAACATGATGGATATACTTTACACGCGTAGACCACTTGGGGTTAAAATTAATTAATACGCAGTGACTATTGAGTATTATGTACATAAAGCCACGTGAGTCACGACAATATTATAAATTAAACGGGAAATTTGTAACAAAATATTGGCGTGGCCAAAAAATATTAAAAATTATTAGTTAAAGTTGTAAATATTAGATATATTCTATAGGCAACAGACTTTTAAAAGACACTTTTCAAAAGAACTTATTTCGGATGAAAATACACATAATAATTTAAAATGTATTTAGAATACGCGTGTTTGAGTGAGTATTTCAATATTCACTAAGAAAATATTTGAGTATAAATACAGATACAGTTTTAATCTAATAGAAAGTATTTATTTTTCAAATAATCTAAATTTTTAACAAATTTACTTGTATGTAAATTTGTTAATATTCGAGTTTTTTAGTTTCTGAGTGAAGTGAGGAATGTATTGGTTTTACAATGATGTTTATATTTTTTTTTATATGAACACTTTTTCCATCAGAACGCTTACTTCGATTATCAATTACAGTTTTTCTGAAAGTAAATATTCTCTGGGTGATACTTTAAAGAGGTCATTTTTTGAAATTCTCATCAATATTCGAGATAATGACGAGAACTTAGTTCTTTCAGTTACAAAATATTGAAAAATTAAAAATAAGGTTATCATAGGTTGTCAACCGTTTTTATTTATTTTTTTGTTATTATTAAGTTTTTATTATTTTAATCTTTTTTAAACAATCATTATTGTCACGGAAACACACATTGTTGTTATCATTTTACCATAATATGATATATACCATATTATATAGAATAAAGCAACACTATCAACTGAACTCCTATCTGTATCTTACTTTCCCAAATTTCCATTTACAAAAGTGGCTGCACCCACGTACGATGTATGTCCGTCATTTTAGATTCCGATCGTAGCGTACTATTAATTTTACTAAAATATTTTTAATTTTTTCTAGTTTGTGAACAGGTTTTTTACTAATAAAATTACTCTAATTAGTGCGTGTAGCAATTTTTCTGAAAGCTCTAGTTGTTTCTATTATATTTTAACATGTCTTTTTTTGATTTTTGACGCCATTTTTTAAATAAAAGCTCATAACGGAAAAAAGGTAGGAAAACGTACACTTTACGATTTTATTATTTTATAAAAACATGGTGGACGTTCCAAAAATACAAAAAAATTGTATGTATTAGGTGATATTTATGGGTTGAATTTCGAGATAAAAAACAGACAGTGAACTTCAATATGTTATGAATATCAAGTGTGCAAAGTTTAATAAATATTAGAACAAAATTTTAGGTTTAAATAAATAGCTAATAGAAATAGAAGTTGATTTAATATATTTTATAGATTTAAAATAAGTCATTCGAATTCAAGTATATTTACTCACGAAAAATAATTAAAATACGTTGCGGTATTTAAATTGCATATTCGAATTTCGAATACTGAACAAATATTTCAATATTTTATTTAAATACTATAAAAATGTCAATTTGGTACAGATTTTATACGTAACTATCTATTTATAGCGGTGAGGGTTCTTTATATTTACAATGAAACGATTTTAAAATTCATAATGCTTTAAAATATTAAGTTGTATTTATCGATGAAATGTATTTTATCAAGTACTTTTGAAAACGTCAAAATGCTAAAATTCAAGTTAAATAAAGAAAAGAAAAATGAAAAAATAATTATTAAATACATAATGTGACAGTAGTTTCGTATAAAATATAAAACTTTATAGTTATCTAATAAAATATTTAATTTATAGGTAGGTATATCACTAAAACTATTTAAAATATAATTCAAATAAAATTATATATCATTTCTTATTACGAAATTTATTATTGTTGACTTCAATATATTTGATATGAAAATAATAATCGACGTTGATAGTTCACGTCGTGTATATTGAATAAAACACAATTGGTTGTTTTTTTTTTTTCATATATATTAATCTATTGAAATTTTATTATTAATTACAATATTTCGATAATTAAGAATATACAAGGCCCGTAGTTATTAAATAGTTATGTCCATTAAAACTTATAATCTCTTTAATTAAGGTTAAGTTATTGAAGGATATGGCGTCCACATGGACAAATTTGGAGTAAAAAGCAGAAAAAGAGGATTTTTGTTTTCAAATTTAGCCTAATAAAAAGACAATCAGGATAGTACATATAAATATGTAAAATAATTCACAAATATACCCGTAATTGGAGAGGGTACAGGAGGGACTGTTGCTATTTAAATAGTACGCACGTTTTAACAGCAGGTTGTGGCCCATGAACACCTTTGTACATATTACAATTAAAGACGCACATGTTCCCAACCTCCCTCACCAATGAAATTTTCGAAAATTCTCATTTAAATATTTTGTAAGTCATTTGTACGAATTTGTTTGACAGTTTTTAGAATTTGTTCGAAACCAGTATCCGGGTTAAATCGAAATACTGAAGGGAGGCTGGCGACATAATGTCTTAAGCTTCCACCTATGTAAATAATTAAGTATTCATGTACATATATTACACTGAACAATTAAAAGAAACAATTTGTATGAATTTGTGTAACCATTTTTTGCAATTTGTATGCTATCTCCGCCCTCATAGTTATCAAAGTCTTATACATATTATTTCAAAGGAGAGATTTCAAAAAACTATCACTTAAAATGACGATAGCTTACCTTTTTTGTAAGCTGACGTGTCATATTATGTAACTATACTACAAAATTACTATTTTCTAGAAAGAAAAAAAAAATTATAATTTTCAATTATGTGGCAAAAACAACATTTTTTTTCTTTTCGACAAAGTGACATTCGATGACCAATATTTTATATCATATCGTTTTCCAGAAGAAATGATTTTAACGAGATCCATGTTTATCATCACATAATAAAAAAATATAATTTTTCAATAAAACGTCTAACATCCCTTAGGAATACTATAGTATAGGTAGTAGTTATTTCTGATATGGTTTAAAGTTTTTCTTATAACACCACAATTTGTGAAGATTTTAAGCACGTTTTAATTTATTTATTACCATTAAAAAGCTCTTTCAGTCCGGGGCAGTTGTTATTATATGTAACATTTTTAAATTAATAAACCACTTTTAATCTCACACGGCTACACGTATACTCGTACTTAAAATTTGTATTACTTTGAATCAGATTTGAGTACCCATATATTTCTCTAGCGTTCTGTTTCAAATAAAATTGTCTTTTCTTTATAGTTTATAACAAGTTCTTTAAAGTACACACACATTTGAACACAATCTTGTTTTATGTGTTTTGGTAAAACCCTTTTTGCTTCCTTCATACTTTACCGAAATAAAAAACGAGGTACCATTTTAAAGATTAAGTTCCTTGATTCTGACGAATCTTTGATTTGTTGATTCACAATAATGTGCATTGTATTTGCACACTGTTTTTAGACTGGATTTACGCCATGGTGGTAAGATTTCAATCAAAATCCGATGATAGAGAAATGCAATGTTTTTTTTTGTATCATGTTTGCTGTTTTATTTGTTTTTAAAATGCAAAATATTTCTATTGGTCCACTAATCCCTACATGATTTCTATGTCACCTTGTATATAATATTTAGTATAACGAATCATATGACGATCGTTCGACACACAAACATATTTACAAACAGGTGTAAGAATGACCAAACACCGAAAACTGGTATTTTTATGCCTTTTGGGTAAAGGCTCGTATTATTTTCCGGCGGATAATTTTTTTTTTTCACTTCCGCCCGGTCATTCGTGTACTGTTTTTGATTTATGCACAAAAGCGACTGCGATGACGTGGGTTTACGTTGAAATATCATGATATTTCGCTTTACATTCTCTCCTCTCTCATGGTTTGTAAGGTTTTTTTTTTTTGTTAATGTTTCATTCGCACCAATGACAAAACGCACATCAAAATCCCGCTATAAGTCTAATCGCGATCCACGATGTATCAAATTCCTGCAGTTTGGACTGTTAGACCAGGGATTAAACCTATTAGTTAGAAGTTGTAGGTGTATCATACAAATTCTGCTTGAAAACTCTCGTGAAGGATTATGATTATTTTGAATAGCGAAATATCCACATCCGACCTCCGTATCACAGATAATTAATTTCTTTTGCGATTTTTTTACATCGTAAACCATCGATGACCTACGTAGTACAAATTTGATTTTGGATTAATTAATTCGGATTGAATAATAACCTCAACTTTTTCTTGTTGACCATAAAGTATAATTTATAGTGAATCTCCTGTTCAATTGATTTTTCGAAACCGTGCATTTTTACAACGATTGTTTAAATAATATTTAAAAATTGAAATAATACAAATTTAATAATAACAAAAAATAAATGAAAACAGTTGCCAATAACATCGTTTTTTTTTTTTTATCTTTTAATCTATTTTAATTTAAAGTACCAGATTTTTATCATTATCTCAAATATCAATGATAATTTCAAATAATTATTTCCCGAATAATCCAACTAGAGCCAAAATCCAGCAAAAAGGTTTTTGTCATGTTTTGATTGGAGCAAGATATTTTATGGTAGAAAAGATGCACACAGACACAAAAAAAAAAAACAAACATCACAGTAATCATGGTTTGAATATTTTAAAGTACAAAGATTTTGTTTTATAAATTAATAATTCTTCTTCTTTTTTTTTTTTTATCTTAAATACAAAACTATTGATATGATATACCAATATACCGGGTAACTAATATAACTAAAAATATTTATACACATTTTAAAACAATTAAAAAGATTGTCAGGAACTTAAATTAGGAGAAGTACTGTGTAAATAACATTATTACTTCATAATATTTTCAACAATATTCGATTCTATAAAATTAAATAAGTTTACTATTCAGGGTTTTGTCTTAAATTAAATTTATAATCTTTGAATAATTTATACGTTTACACAATACATATTATAGAAGGACAAAAAAAAATTTAAAAAATCGTTAATTGTATATTTTCGTATTTATTAAGTAAAATTGTAAATTTTATGTTTATATATGTTCATTATATTCAGTTAAAATTCCATCTTAACTCGGTGCACGTGCAAATAAATATTATGATTTAATAGAAAATAAAAAAGCTGTAGGTATAGGCGAATCATCCTTATTCTAACTTGTTTGGGAAAAGAATACGAGTTAAAATTTATTTTTTATTTTTTTTTTTTTTTTTTTTTTTTTTTTTTTTTTTGATAACCTCATTTAACTTGAACAATGTTCAATTAATATAGCTCGTTAAAAATAAAACAAAGGTCCTATTATTGTAAACTTATAGAACACACGTAACGGTTTAATACAATATAAAATGTTGACAATAACTATAATAATTTCGTTTATATAGTAATTATAAATTATAAATAAATTTCAAAAAGTTTCCGTGGTTTGAAAGAAAGAGGGGGAAAACGAAATACAGAATGTAACAGGACTCGAATTTCACAAATAATAAAACTTATTTTTATTGAATATTTTTAGATTCTTTTTTTTTTAATTACTTTTATTTTATTTTTTAAATCATCTTTGTGTATACAATTTTTAAGTTAAATTTTAATGTTTAGAAATTTAAAATAAAACAATTTTAAACTGTCTTAGCAAGGCAAAAAATTGAGATAGCCATTTTACAGTACACCCGATTTTTAAAAAATGTTGTATCAAAAACACAAATATTATTAAAGTTGAGTCAATCATTTTTAAATATATTTTATTTAAGGCGGAGCGAAGAATGTATTGGTTTTACAATGATAATTATTTTTTTATTTTTATACTAGACGTTTACAAAAATTATACCAGAAATCCTACCGCGACGTGACAAGTGTAACACATTTTTTTAAAAGGAATTTTACCTTGTTTGTACTATAAGAAAGCTATTGTTTTGATATTACAAGCAGTTTTTAAAATAATTAAGGAAAATCAGGAAAAACCAAGGAAAAACTGAACTACTTACGAAAATAATGATTTCATAATTTTCAATTATGTTTTTTTGTTGTAATTTAATTCTATATAATTTTGGAGACTTAAATCTGGATAGGAAACGTATATTTTGCATTGACGTTTTGCATAAGACTTTCAAAACATTTGAGTCTTTTTTGAGCTATTTATAGACATTTTAATTTTGATAGTGTTTTACGTAATATGTATTCGGTAGGTAATCTGTGGATAAAATTGTGGAACTAAACAGAAATTCTTGAATATTTGACTATTGATAACTATCTTGGATTATAAAAAAAAAGGTAAAAAAATTGGGATTTTTATTAAGGTGTTAAGTTCAGTTATACAAATTATAGCCAATATCTCTAATAGAGATTAATTATTAAACAAACTTAAAAATATTCAAAAGAAAAAATTTATTTGATCCGTTAAAAAATTCTGTTACGCTCTGTATAGCGAATTTACGATTATAAGTGAACAACACTACACGACTTAATAATATTAAGTATAATATAGTAATAATATTATTATATAGTAATAGTACGGGGACATTTATCTTATATAGAATATTAACTACTTAATAGTGTGTAGTAATCTACATAATAAATGAATAAAAAAAATATAATATTAACCTACCTATGTCCATACAACATTAAATATTGTTATTTCTATTATTAGCTACATACAAGATGACCAATCATCAATAAGACACTCATTATCTAACAAGTGATTACATTTTCAGAATATTTATTTTTTGATCATTTAGAAAATAAGTAATTCTGAAATTGTCCATTAGGTACCATTATTATTTGTCTCTCAAATATTTGTGGATAAAACCATTACCCAATTTTGATTTTTAAATAGTTACCTATATAAAAAATATCATGAATAGGTAAAGTTTTCGTAAACACACATTTTTAATTTATTATATTCGAGATATTCTCCTTTTTAATTTGCGTAAGAGAGAGTAGTGTAGTATAACTTTACTTATCCCACCTTCTCAAATTCACACCTAATAAATGATTTATCTACTATCAGCATCCGGTTTTTTTTGTATGTTCTCAAATTCTTCCTAAATTTTATGTTTCTATACTTGGAAAGACATTTTCTTTTCGTTTTCAAAAAAGCACAATAACAATTTTTAGAAACTCAAATATCATTGTTACGGCGTAATTATAATATAAATATTACAATAATTATACGATGACACCGAAACCTGTAGTGCAACTCCAATCGCGGGACGGCTAAAATATAATCTGACAAATGCCCCGTCGCTACATTATCGATTTATCATTTAATTTCTATAGCGTATACCTAGCCCAGTTATTGTCGGTCGTGTAATAATTCATAATACTGTATAATAATAATAATATACATTAACGGCTGTGTTCTTTTTTTCTTTTTTTTTTGGCATTTTATCAAATACATTAAACATAATATTCCGAATAATTTGTATCACCGATACACAGCGGCGGATCCAGTACTTAATTTTGAGAGGGGAGGGGCAAACCCATTTACAACAATGAAAATCGGTATAAATTTTACCACAATACGAGAAAAAAAAATCATTATATACTATGTTGTTTGAGTGGAGAAATAACCCTATTGTCCACTTCTGATTCCGCAACTGCGACCGCCAAAGAAATATTATCAAATATATTCATTATCGTCTACAATATTTGGTGTAGATATAATTTGAGGACAGATTGGTTCAGAAATAAAAAAATTATGAAATTATGCAAAAGATACAATAGGTAGTCAAAAGTATTAATTATAACAATTAAAAACACGATTTACTAATGATAATTAGTAATTAAGAGGGTGTCGTACTCGCATTTAATATCACAAAATTTTGATTCATAGAACATATAATACATCACGTAGGTCAAGATTATACCTAATAAATACAAAATTAATTCTAAATAAAAGTTGAAGTGGAGAATATTGTCGCAAGATGTTGCTGTTTTCCAAAAATATTGTCGAAAAAAATAAATTACGGGCGTAGTTTTTTTAATTTCTTTTTGACAATATTTTTTAAAAACATCAATTCTTGTCGAAAATACTATTCTCTTCTTTAAAGGTTTTAAGTTCTAGTTTCAATCTAAATTTCGCAATCGATGGTCTATAGTGTGTAATTATTTTCCCATGTTAGCATTTAGTAAGTTATATACTGACTCTACGGAAAAACCTTTTTAGACGGCAATATAGTATATATTTATAAAGTATATATTTAAAAATAACTAATTCCAAGAAATGTTGACAATTAATTCCAGAGTATCATTTAAATGATCTATACGAATAGCTACCAATCAAATATTTAAAAAATAATTTTAATATTATAGGTATAAAATGTAAAATGTATACACAATATTATTATATGTATCGAAAAATATTTCTTATTTTTATCCTAAAGAAATAATTTGTTGTATTATTTCTAAAAACGAAAAGTGTTAAACAACCTAACCTCACATAAATAATTAAAGGTATGTTTGTAATATTTTATTCGCAGTGATCGATTATTTATCGTTTTATTTGATTTCAAACGAATTTCAAAATGCTTAAATGTTTGACTAATACTTTAATGCAACGGTTTCCAAATCCAACACCATGTGATATATTATCTGATTTAAAAATAAATTTGAAACCAAAATAATAGCGAAAACAGTAACGGTTACGAGGTCCTTTTATTGTTTTTTTTTCTGCGGACAAAACTTCCGTTTAGTAAAAATGCTCCAAATTATTCACATTGCACTTTAAAAGATATGGATTTTTGTCCGTTAATACCTACACAATTTCTAGATTCCAAACGGTATTTTTCTGAAATTAAAAAACTATAATATCAATAAACATAAATGTATTATCTAGACTATACAATAAGCAAAAGACACTGTGACTGGCATAATTAATATTAATAGTGATTCTGAGTGGCGAAGAACAGTATAGTTTTACAAAAATGTTTATTATTATAATTTTTTTATATGTGGACAACTTTTCTACCAGAAATCTTGCTCTGATTTTTAAGCGTAGCACATTTTCTGGAAGGAAATCGAACTAGAAAGGTATTTTAAGAATGTAAATAATTGATTTTCTTATGAGTTTTTTCAACAAATTTGAAAAACCGAAAAAAAAACGGAAGAAACACGGGAAAATGTACGAAATATATTACTTAAATATTACGGTCTCTTTTTTTTCCACTGACAACTATTCTACCAACAATTTTGATCCGATTTACAATGATAGCACTTTTTCAAAAAGAAAATCTGAGTAAAAAAGTACTTTATGTAGGTCAGTTTTTGATTTTCCCAGAAGTTTTCACAACAAATAGGAAAAACCGTGAAAGAACAAGGGAAAATCGATACAACATTAAACAAATATCATTGAAGAAGTTATATAATGCCTATTTAATCATTTTACCATAATATGACATACTTATTGTTGCCGAAACATCTCTATCAACTGGACTCTGCTCAGAATCATTTTTTTATAGTTGCAATGGTTTATTGTTACTTACAGATAAAACATGAATTACCTATAAGAGTAACTGGACCAGTCTCCGTTATCCTAGGACAGATTTTTGTATATGTTATTATTTTATAAGACTGCTTAGTCGTTGCAATAAATTAATAAAATAAAGACATTTACATATTTTCATTATTCGCATTTAATAGGACCATGTACTACTCAAAGCTTATTGAATACTTAATATATGATTTTTATAGTATTAATATTTAATTTAAATTAGCATTTTTCACTGTATTTAATTTTGTTTTTTTTATTTAAAACCAAATTTAAATTTATCGAATACTCTAATGAAATATTAATAATTTAAATAACGTACAAAATACAACGTACACATAAATAGTTCATTAATTTTACAATAATTATATAAAAAACACAATTATCTTATACAACTATATAAATTCTATTATTTAATAATATACGAGATTCGTATTGAATATCATTAGATTATTCGATACGTATATATTACTACGTGCTTTTACTTATATTTTTCAAAAGTCAGCAGATTACCTGCTTTTGTGAATTCAAAACTTTTTCATTTTTCCATTTTTGCAGATTTAATTATACACACCGAAAGATCCGAAAGTTGATTTGCGAACATATTTTTAACACGGCTGCAATAATTAATGGCAAATCACGTGGACCGGAAACCAAAACGGGCAGACATCGTGTGGGGTACAGCAGAGGTTATTTATTATCATAATACGAGTATAGTAACAGAACAGAGCAAATACAAATTTACTACATCAGTGTTCGTTTTTTACGAAATTCCCATTTGTTATTATTTTCGCATCGTTATTCTGTGCGGCTAGTGTAGGGTATTTCAGTTTTTTTAATCTTTAACCTTCGTTTCGTGGTATCTTTTTTTCCCTTCACATAATATTATTCTATTCTCTAGAGATCGCTCTTGAATAAACGTATCTACACAGCGTGTTACATATGATAAGATACGCAAATCGCTTTCATTTAATTTGTTTTATGTATGTTAGTATTGCATATCATTTTTTTTTTTAAATAATTTCCATAATTAAATTAAACATACAGGGTATCCTATGAAGATATAACCATTGCAATATCTCCAGAAATAATAAAGAAAATTAAATTATATTTATTTTTTTAGACTTCATATAATAATAAGTGGACGAATAACACTTCTTAATTTAATTGAGAAGCGAAGGAGGAATAAAGAAGGAAGAGAAAGTAAAAAAATCGACGAGGAAAGGAAGAAAAAATGGAAAGGAAAAAGAGGGAGAAGGAGAAGTTTGGAAAATCAATGAATTTACGGGAATAAAAAACGAAGGGTAGAAAGGAAAAGAGGAAACTTCTAAAATTGAAGTATAGGGTTGATTTGGCTTCACATAGTCTTCAATGCCCAAAAAAATATCCAGAAATCTATGTTTTTCCATGCAGTGGAGATAGTTTAAATACCATTTGGTACCTACATTATTAATACATTTTATTTCTAAATTCATGTTTTAAAAAAAAAATAAAAAAGATGCCAATAAAACTTTATTGAATTAACAGTTAAATTTTTAAAACAATTCTTAAAACTCAAATAGAATTACCTTTTTAAAGTTTATTATATTATTATTTAATCCGCGTAAAAATATAAAAATGTCGCCTTGTCTTAGTATGTACTTTATTTTTTATATTCAAAGAACTCGAAACTAATTTATGGTTTTTAAAATTAATTTCTTAAAATATTCGTTGAATTTCTATAATACTTATGCAAGTACAATATGTAACACATTTGAACGAAAATTATTATATGAAAGACATCTCAAATATAATGACATACGCGGTGTCATCTGAAATTAAATTTTATTCTTAGAATATTGTTATATTATAAGAGGTAGGGAATTCTTTTGTGGATGAACTTGATGTTAAAGTCGTGGTAGTACCGAAAAAATTATATTATTGTCCGATTATTCGGTAGGTACGCAAGTTTAATGAGAATTGCATAATATAGCAATGTTAACAGATGTAATTTCAAATAAGCGTAGACATTTTACAAAGTTATTATATGCGAACATTTAGTATTTTTAGTGATTTAAAAATGTAAAATGTCTCGAAAGTTCACAAAAGTATTTCATTTGAAAATCCTATTTACCATAAAAAGCAGAAAGAAGATAACAGTAAAAAAATATGTTTCGTAATATTTGTAGGTGGGTAGTTGCATTAAAGGTAAAACGTACCGAGTAAATTTAGTTTATCAATTGCATGCAACGATGAATAATTGAGAACGAGAACACAATTCTGAACAGAGTATTATTAGTCGTGTTTTTACATTGTATACAAGGCAGTACAGAATCAACAAAAAAAAGGACCTAGGGGATTGAATTTCATAAAATGTCAATAAATTTTTCCATTATACCCCAGGGCAAAAAATCCGCATCTTTGGAGGTATTGCCTGGAAAAATTGGAGCATTCATTAAAATGTCAATTTAAAATGTCTTTCAAAAAAAAGCATTAGGAGTTTAAAAAATGTCTCTAATAAAGTATCATCAGGAAAATTAATCCGCATTTTTCAAATAAGACATAAAAAAAATTGGAGCATTTTTACTAACTGTAAAATTGTTTTCTAAGAAAAAAAATACAACATTGTAAAACTACATTATACACAGAATCTATAACGTCCATTAACAATGTTCGGCGTTTCTAAATTCAAACTATTGACATATAATTAAAAAAAAAAAACAATAAATGATACTTAAAAAAAATTGGTATTTACCAAATGGATTCGAAAACTAGAAGTCTAAAACAGATTATAATATTAAAAAACTCGCGATTTGCACAAATAGTGGAGAAATAATCATTTAAAATCGACTTATTGGGTTAATAGATTAAATTTATTATATTACAGACCAATAACAACAAATTATAAATTATTTTAATTTTTGTAATATGCACCGTCACATTTGTGATTTGTATTACGCGATTTTACTATCACTGTGCATTAAACCAATTGTAATTTTATTGTACGTATATATTGTATAACATATACGTGTAAAATGATAGTAATAAGCTGATAAGCTCATGGGGTTCTAATAAATATATATATTATAAATACAGCTAATATCACTGCGAATGATTGTCAACAGAATAATATTGTACAATGTACATAATAATATAATACAATTATTTCTATTTGTGCGGTTGACCAACTTCCCTGTATTAAAAGACTGCAGCTGCTATGGTCTCAACGTCGCAGTACCGGTATAATATTATCTCTAAGATCTTTCGAGTTAATTATAAATTTCTCCACAAAAAATGTGTGTACATTAAAAAAAAAAAAAACTACATTAATGATTCGCGTCCATCATATGACGTAATGTTAATACTATCACATGTTTTACTTAGTTACGATCCGCAAATACAAAGAATATTTTCTTTTTTTTTCCCTTAAAAACTCGCAATAATACACGTGTTTTTGAACGGAATTTAGAAAAAAAAAATAGAAATTATAACAATACCCAAGAACAGCATCAACGGGAAAAGATTAAATAATTTTATTTTATATTCGTAATAATAATTACATACTATTTAGCTTATTCCTATTTCCTAATAGTATTATATTGAAATACTGCAGGGAACGGGTGCGGCCACTGCTGTAGGTGTGTAGTTGGGAAGGTAGGATACATAAAGTTATTTATTACACCTGTAATCAACGATAAACCATTGCTAATAAAAAAACGATTTGGTGCGAAGTTATACATGTTTTTTAAGGCCGTAATATTTAAGGACTTCAACAAAATTTGATTTTAAAATGCTTAAAAAAAAATATTCTACATTAACCTTAATTTTCATTTTTTTTTTTTACTACAAAATACGACTTATAATGAAACTCCGGATAAATTTTTAACATTTCTATTTGGACTAAAAATTTTACCCACAGAGTATCTACCAATTCAAAATTGCGTAACAAACTCGCCAAATTAAAATGTCTATAATAGCTTAAAAAAGAAAAATGGCACAAACGTTTTGAAAATTTTAGTACTTCAAGAAAAAAAAAATATAAGTTTTTTGTTAAAATTTCAAGTCTCTACGAATATTTTAAATTAAATTACATTACAAAAACAAAATTCAAAATAATAAAAAAATATTTTCGTAAATTGTCCCATTATTTCTACACATTTTTCGTTATTGCTCAATTAACAAAACAAAAAAAATTACAAAACTATTTTCTCGGTACAAACTAGATTAAAAATTCAACAAAAGAATCTTTTATTCTTTTTCTATTGGAGAAATATTTATGATAGAAAATATAGGCCGTCAAATTTTAAAATATCGTTATGCCGTAATTTTATATTTTTCGTATCTTTTGGTTTTTCCCAATTATTATAAAAACTACTTTTGGATATCAAAAATTGACTCTCTTTATTAATGGCTACATAAAGGAATAAAATCGAGTCCCTAACATTTTTCGATTGGAGTAATATTTCTGGTAGAAAACTTAAATTTAACACAATAAAAACGTTAACGCCGCGGCGGGCCGTAAATATTTGCCGGTTTACCAATAATTTTCTTTCGGGTTTTTCCCAATTGTTTCAAAAACTCCTTGGAAAATCACAAAATAACATCTTAAGTGTTTCTTTTAAATAAAATTTTCTGTAACATACATATATTAACCGCAAACATAAATATAATGTTTTATACTTTGATATTTATCATATTGGGGAAATGCAGACTCCTTTTTCAATTGATTTTTTCTAACTATATTATATTTTTATCAAGTTATCTTACTTATTCTTTTATTTTTTTCATTTATCTATCTTTGTATTACTCATTTAAATTAATATAGTGTATTAATAAGTATATATTTATTTTGTCATATTTTTTTTTATTTTAAATTAATTTATGTATATTACGTTTGTCTTTATTGTATTCTATTGTTGTATTATTGTTATCTAAGCTATATTTTATGTGTATGCTATCTGCCTTCAACACAAGAATTCGCTTAAAGAAGGTGATTTCCATTTCCATTAAAATATTTTGTACTTGGAACGTTTTTGTGACTTGAATTAAATAATAAAAAAAAAAAAATATTAAAGTGTACATTTCGGTCGATACATATTTATATTTATTGGCTTTTATTTGCGTTATTTTTATAACTTTTAAAGTGCACGTAATTTTTTTTTTGATAATCTGCCCAATATCTATATTATTATAAAGTAAAATTATTTTACCGCCATGAATCAGTAAATTCAATTTTTATTTTGCCTTTTTTGTCCGTCATATAATATAGATTACATTTTAAAAAATCTTACCCTTATACCATAAACAAGTGTCGTAATTTTACGACACAAGTAATTAAAATATAATTGCACGTGTTAACTATTTACCCATATTATAATATTATAATAATTATTGACAATGAAAATCTTAATTTCGAGACCGAATAGGATATTTAATTTTCGTGAAACCGAGAATATATTTACTTCACGGTTTCCCAGTTATCAAAAAGTATACAGCTATTCGGAAAATTTACGATCGGTTGATATTTAGTTAACAATACGATGTCCTGATGGTTATATTCAATTAACTCGTATCTATGGACGATGTATATAATAGGTAGTAGTTGTATACAATGATTATAATACACGGTAAAATCGATTTAATCAGATTTAGAATTTAGTCTAGGGAACTGCTGGAAAACAACATTTCAGAAATAATAACGGTTGTCGTTAGGAGAGTGCCTACATTAAACTAATTTAATATTGTTCTGTTAATCACGGGTTTTAGATAATACGAATTTGTTTGGCTTTATAAACGCGTATACTGTAGGTCAACGATTCACTGCTGCACATTAACAACGATTTTAGTCCCGTATAGCGTTTATACAATCGCTTGTTCCTTTTTAAGCTTATAATTTATATATATATTATTTTGAAAACGGTATCAGGTTTCTATCAATGGCAGTATACTTCTTGAATAGGTATAAATTTAATCCTAAAGTCTTTAGTCGTGGTCTTTATGCGACGCAATTCTCGTATAAAATATGTGTTCCGCAACATGCTATGCAGCTGTGTAAAACGTTCGTTTTCCGTTCCAAAAACTCTTCTCATTATATTTGATACCATATCAAATAGTAATTATTATGTTTGCATTCTATTTATAAATCCCCAAGAGTCTTTAATTTCGTTCAACCTATTCGGGTCAATTCAAGGCATAATATCATTCCGATATATTTTAAACCACCGTCAGTAAAGTATAGTTATCGCATTACCCGTACTGTATATGAGATCATTAAATTCTTCGCGAAATTTCAATAATATCACTGAAATTATGATTATAATTTTATAATAATGTTAATGAAAATATATAATGTGTAATTGTATAACATAAATTATATATGCAGGTAGAATTTCCATTTTAAACGGCGTAAAACGATGCTCAAATTACTTAACCTCGTTTATAAATAATATGAATAATAATAAAAAAGCTGTATTGCCGATGGGTGTGCCACTATTTTAGGGGAAAAGTCGGTCGGAAAGATATAAAGTGTAATTCAGTTTACAACTGTATGAAATGTACTAATGATAAACCATTTCTAACGTAAAAAATGATTCAACCACTTGTATATTTTTCATCGTTGACAAGAAATTATACAAAAAATTGATAATTTGTTATATCTATTAGGAAAACCACAAAAAAAATAAAAATAAATACTACGAGAAATTCTCTATAAAGTTTTTAATTGAACCAAAATTTCTGGTACAAGTGATTTTTACAGACATATAACAAAAACATCAAAGTAAAAGAATCTAAAAAAACAATTGTTAAAATACCATAAAATGGATTAAAAAATAGGAGGGAGGGGTTGATATAATATGTAATTCGCAAGACTAAATAATTCAGACGAATTCTTCAACCACTTTTACTTGACTATCTCATAAAGAAAAAAAAACACAATTATTTCTACAATGTTCAAGAAAAATAAATCCGTTTAGTGGATTTTACTTAGTTATTTACTTAAAGTAATAAATATATTTAGTTATTTATTTTATTGACTTTATGACAATTGTCCCATAATTTGCTAGCAAAATTCAACTTTGTTGTATTATCATATACCTTGCTATAATACAGGACACAGTCATCATTATTTATAGTCTACGTCTTTGCATAAAACTAAAAGGTATGATTAGAATTGTTATAGTACGAGTTTAACATTTTAACATTAATATAAAGTTATGACACAATTTAGTAAACTATATACTAATTTTCGTTTGCCCTTAAGAACATAGGTAATAAACCGTAGTGGCGTTATTGGGTATCCTATATTATGAAGTAGCTTCATAATCAAATTAGGTTTGTGTATTCAGTGTCATACCTAGCGAAATCAGCGCCCGGTATCAGATAAATGTACCAAAACAAAATCATCATATACTTTTATGTTAAATCTGGCACGATTTCATTATTTTTAATCTGTACGGTTTATGTTTTCTACCACGAATATTGCTCCAATAGATAAACAACAAGAGACCTATTTTATTTTATTTTTAATTTAGTTTATGAATAAGTAATTTTTTTTAAGATTTTCTTTGTAGTTTTATTAATAATTGGGAAAGACCAAAAAAAAAAAAAAAAATGTAAAATAAAAACTGACAAATTTAAGGCGTTACGATTTCATTGTTTTAAATTTTAACGACTTATGTTTTCTAAAAAAACATATTGCTTCAATAGAAAAACGACAAGAGACCTTTTTTGTTGAATTTTTAATCTAGTTGGGTACCCAAGAAAGTCGTTTTTTGTTTTTCTGTACAGTTTTTTTTAATAATTGAGTAAACACGAATTATTCGTAAAAAATGGAACAATTTGATAAAAGGTAAGTCGTATTTAGCGGTCCAAAAAAATAATAGCTTAATGTAATATTTATATTTATATATATATGGGTTTAAAATCAAATTTCGACGAAAATCGTAAATATTACGACCTTTTAAAATATGTAAAACTGAACCTCTCTCCGAATTGTTGTTCGTTATCAATAGTTATTAGGTCTTTTATTTTTTTTTATTATTTTATATATGCTACACCATAACTTTAATGTCATATTAAAATTTCATGTTGTGTCAAAAAAAAAACCTCATCAGATTATTGATTTCCTTTCCGTAAGACCTTGCAATTATATTATTTCCAGCTAATTGAACGATTCGGTATACTTTTGGTGTTTTTGTTGGAAGGGTAAACACTGAGCACTCTAAAAAAAAAGTTACTTAAACTATAAGGGGAGCCATTGTGCACAATATTGTTTCACATCTCTACCACTCGTTCCCTGTATTTTAAACCAATCGTCGTGAAACAGTAGGATGACGGAGATGGCGATGAAATTTGTATTTTATTTGCCAACAGGCGGCGTGACGACCGACCGAATTGTTGTATACAAACAATTTCGAGAAGGAAAAACGTAAAATAAAAAAAACTTTCAATTTTAAAAGCTAACTGAGGACAAGAATTAAAAAAAAAACAAAACAAAACATCCGATTGTGTATAGAAGACGGCGAAAACTACATTTGTGTAAACCGATGAATGATGACTTCAACAACAGCGAATGCGTGAGGATATTAAAATAATTAATCAGGACTTTAATGGTTTAAAAAATCCCTTTTGATCACATAATACCTCCTCTTCCTCAAAAAAAAAAACAAAAATGGAAATACAGTAAAAAAAAAAAAGGCGAAATTAAAGGTATTCACGTTTGAAATATATAAAATAGTATCTGTTGCTCTTTGCGATTATATAATGTGTTAACACGAGAAAAGTGATGGATTCTGAGAGTATTCACTCGGTGTCTCGACTTAACTTATTCACTATTGTATGCTCCATACATGAACCGAATTTAAAATGAATTAGGCTCCCTTTTATAGTATACACTTATCAGGCCTCGAATACTGCGGCGTCCGTGGATACCTCGTGGATAATCGTCTAGATAGACTTGCTTCGATAGAGAGAGAGAAAGAGAGGAGAAAAACAAAAAAAAACTGTGGTTTCGAATATGCCTTTGATATTGTGTCCCTTTAGGACGGTTACTTAAAAAAAAAGTACCTTAACCTACTCAATATCATCATTCTCGAAAACAGATGGCCGCAGGCGATCGTTTGTCAGTCTTAAACTGAGGTCCGTTTCAAATGATAATACCGTTTTCTCATATACGCAAAAGGAAAAAATGCGTAGGTACACAAAATGTAAAAATATGAGTAGTAGTACTACCCGTAATGTGTCGTGTATTTATTATAACGTTTAGTATATTTTTAATGTTCTCGAGGGTGAATTTTTATTATCATTTCCTGTTCCAAGTATATTTGTGGTAATCAGTTCTCTATACAGTACTCATTATCTTGGAAAATATTACATTCTTCGGAATTTGTTTAAAAAGTAGTGAAGTATAAAGCCATGTTATGGAAGAACAAGAGGGACTGCGCTTCATGCATACATTTTAAGAGGCCGTTCTTTTTTAATTTTTCCAACTTTTATGTTTTTGCTACACAATGAAATTAGACAATTATAAAATAACATTTTTTTTCGAATAACCGTGAACGATGCAAAAAACTAAAAACGCGGTTTTTATTACACAAAAAACAGCATTTATATGACGGTCAAAATGGGTTGGCCATTCATAAAATACCATAATTTAATTTATATAAATGTTCGACCGTAGCATACCACCGATTTTTCAAAGCAAAGGAAAAAAATTGGTTTTTGTAATTCCTTTAACACAGTGATTCTTAATTTTGTTTGTTACCATGGACTGTTTAAAAAACTTTCAATATCTTACGGACCACCTTGATTTGCTGATCATTTTTTTTTGTTTTTATTTTACTTATTAACTTAACGTACCTGTATTTAACGAATAATAATAATAACACAAGTTACACAATTATATATAATAAATGGACAAACCTAATAAACTCTGGCAACCACTGTAGTTATACATAAAAATACTTTTTTTCTCAATTTTTAGATACATTCACATAGATCGCAGGTTGGGAACCATTGCTCTAACTGACCTGTCTACTGGAAATTCTGGGTTGTTAGAACTGGCGAAACGTGAATTTCATTGATATGTAACTCAATTACAATAATTTATACTACGCTATTGTACGATGCCTGTGAGTATATCATTAATGAATATAATAATATGACCACTACTAACCGACGAACGAGAATATACAAATACGATTGTACTTTTATTTTATATTTTCTGAGTGGAATGACAAAATTATTTGTTTGTATTATAATAATGTTTATTTTATTTTATGCCCATGTCCAATTTTTCGGTAAAAATTCTGCGACACTTTCACACTGTATTACTTTAAAATATATGGATTTTCATTGTGGCGATAATATGATTTATTAAAAAATTTGCCAAGATATCTCAATAGATTTTCCCCAAAAGTTTGACTAAAACTACCGATGATACATCAAATTTTGGCGAAATCGAGAGAATATGAAATTTTATAAAAAAAATTTTGAAAACGCATTATTTCGTTATTTGAAATGCTAACATAGACAAATATTGCCAGTTAAATATAAAAAGTCCAAAATTCAAATACGATTAAAATTTTAAAAATCGGTTTCGAGACGTTATTGGAAATGCAAGTTAAAAACTTTGCACTTTTACCGAGAATGAAGTTGGTTAAAATTTTTCATAAGGTTTTCAAACATTCAAGAAAAACTTTTGGATAAAATATTTCGAAAAAAAAAGAAAAAATCTTAATTTTTTTTAAGATAGATTTGAAGAGTTTGAAGGCTTTTAAAATTGTACATAATTTATACTAACCAGAAAAGTGGACACGGACACAGATAATAAAAATAATTATACACTTATTAATATAAAAAATATATCTCTTAATTTCTTACCAGGACAAACTTAGAAAAAGAGAGTAATAAAAATGTGACGATAGATCATATAGCAGTGAAACCAAAGCGAATTCATATATAATATTAATATTACCTAGATATTAATAGAATATAATAAAACGGCGCATTAAAAATATAGGAAAAAAGCTATGTTAGAATAATAGAAATGGATGCAGTCACTGTTATAGGTTTTTTTAAGTATATCTGTAAGCAAAGATTAACCACTGCTAACGAAAAAACGATTCTAAGCGGAGTTCAGTTGATAGTGTTGTTTTGACAACAATATATAGGTCATATTATGCTAAAATAATTACATATGCATTAAATAGTATCTTTAAAAAACATTTCTTTAATATTGTATCTATTTTCCAATTTTTTCTAGATATTATAAAAACCAATTGGAAAAGTACGAAAATAACCATGTAGATAAAATTTCCTTTCAGTAAATGTGCTGCACTTGATACATCGAGCAAGATTTTTAGTCTTAATTTACTAATACATTTATACATTTTCCTGGAAACATCAAAAAATTGTGAAATTAAATCACTTCCCCATTCCCATTTCCTATGAACGACAGTAATTGTTTAAGATAAATAACTGTTATTTAAAAAAAAAAAGTCTATGGGTCATTTAATACCATCAACACCTACCTATTGCGTTAGCATACAACTTTTGTATACTTAAACACACGATGGTAAAATTAGTGCTAATATAAGTAATTATAATATAGCCAAGTTAATCCGGTTTTTGACTGATCGACTAATAGTTCCGATGTGTTTCCATTGACCTATTAAAAATAAACGGATATAATTTTTAAAAAAATTCCTGATGTTATAAAGTTTAAGATAATAGCTATTAATAATAATTACGGAAGTAGGCATCGGACATTTTTTTTTTTTTTTTAATAAATATTTTAATTAATTGTAGTTTTAACGTAGTATACGCTTTGATAAACGGTTGAGTTTTGCTACCTTCTAAAATGTTAACCACGCGAAAATCTTAATTATTCGACCGTGAAAGTTTTCAACTTTATTTATTTTTTAGATTTTAATATATACAGTATTATAAGTTTATTAAAAAACAAAATATTAAAAACACTCGACCCAAGCCGGTCGAATATTCTTTACTTACCTTATTTTATATTATTATTCGTAACTAATAAGAAATTAAATAAATCTGACAATCAGGAACAACGTTAGGGTAAGGCAAGCGCAGCTTACATTTAAGGTCTTACAGTTTCAGAGACCTCGCACTTGTGGACCCATAAAAAAATAGCATAATAATGGGCATAAAACTAAAAAAATAATATATTTACAAATGTAACGATGGTTTTGAGAAATACATGTACACGTGCATTGTCTTATCAAACGGTATTTTTGCCCGTGTCCAAGTATAGGGTATTATTAAAAGTATTAGATGAAAGAAGTAGTATAGACTAAACTGAAAATCAAAAGTCTATTAAAAATAAATTTGTACATGGCCTCGCAAATTGTAACGCCGACTTTGCTTACAATATGACTGTATTAGGAACGCAAATGTTGAAAATAAAATTGCGTAGGTAATTTGTAGTTAAAATATTAATTTAGAAAATTCTAATAATTTAAAATTTGTTAGTATATGCTATATACATTTTTTTTTATATTATTAAAAAGTTTTTGTCGAAAGAACTTGATCGACGTTAATTATTGTACACAATAATCTGTGTAGATATACTGTTCATATAGTTTTATTATAAAAAATATCTGATACTGGGGACTGGTGTACCACTGTTGTAGTTGAGAAGTTGAAAAAGTAGGATACATACTGAAGTTATTTAGTTCATATCTGTAAGCAACAATAAACCTTTGCTAATGAAAAACGATTCAGAGCAAAGTTGGGCACACTAATACTACATCACACTCAGTTATTTTTTTCTAAATAAATTAAGACCTATAATGAATCTCCTGTTGAATTTTCAAACATTTTCATCAATCATTATTAATTAGTCTAGCAATGTTATCCATAGAATACCTCCTATATTAAAATCACGTAATAAACTCGTAAATTTTTTTATAAATAGTTTAAAAATGGCTCAAATTTTAAAATTACAAATAAAAATAATTAAAATGAAAATAATAAAAGTATTGTTTTCGTAAATTTCCCCGTTCTTTCTATCTTAATTTCCGGATTTGCTCAATAATTAAAAAAACGAAAAAAAAAAAAAAAAAAAAAATAATAATCATCGTAGTAAAAGGAATACATTACTCACTTCGCTCAGAATCTAAAAACCTATAGTATATAGTATAGGAATATTCTATGGATTTATCCCTTTGTCATACCATATCACCGACTCATGCCCGTCTATCCAGTACTAATATTTTCACGTCATCCGGCACATTGACCACTTTTTGAACTCGGACCGTAACTAAAGCACCATATATTATTATACTATATTTGAGGGACGGCCCTAGAAGTATAAATATAATAGTTTTTCGTGGATTTCGTGAGATCGAGTCGCGGTCGGGGGAACGCCGGGTTGTCGGACGAAAAGAAATATCCTGAAAATCTCTCGAAGTGTATCAAAAAAAAAAGGGGAAGGGGGAGTATTACTGCTTTAACCGAACCTGTGCGAGTAATCATCCGCCCCTGCCACCGCCGACAAGGGTATAAAACGTCCGAGTGGGATGTGTCGAGCAGCGGCGGTGGCGCATATAAATCGAAAGTGCGTGTCCGTGCACGAAAAACGACAACGTCGTCGAACGAATTATTAAACAGCGTAGCGGCACATATGCGATACTATTTTTCGCCCACATCGAAAGTTCGACGACAATAATAATTGACGTGGTGTAATATAATAACAGTGTACATAGTATTATTTCATATAAAATGCATCGTTTCGGTGGTAAAACGCTTGTAACAGGAGAATTGCCCAAACTTCACAATAAACACACTCGTATAAATATAATAACACTATACCGAGTGTGGATTTCGTTATGCGACGATCACAACGAAAAACATTTTTAAATTAAAATCCAAACAAGACACAGTTTGTGCTAAATTTTCATCATACATTTTGACGTTGAATGCAAACAAAAATTGAATACATATGTTTGACATATCACCTGAAGAAAAACTATTGAAGAACTTTACAACAAATTTACAATATCAAAATTCGTATGGAAATTATACTTCTGAGAAGTGAGAGAACGCGGCATAGCACGATGAGAGTTATCGTAGATGTGTTTTTGCATGCAGGAACTTATTAATATCGGAAACAAATTTATAATTAAAATATTATGTTTCCGGTGTTCCGCGATAACCATCAAAACGGCTACTTTAAATAATATCACCCAAACAATCTATTTTGAACAAGACCTAGAACAGGTTAAACCGGTAAATTTTAAACATTTTGAAATTAAATACCAATGATACTTTGGTTCACCTTGTTGAATTGTGAAGATAGTATTATGTTTTATGGTGACTACTTAAATTCAATGTTTTAGTGCAGCTAATCAGTGTTTATTTCAGAGAGTGATCGGGGAAAGGGGTATAACCCCGCGGAGAAAATGTTTACCCTCCCCCCGCCCTGGAAAAATTTAGACTTACTATATCAACTAATGATAAAATGAAATAAATGTTATGATAGAGGATTGAATATAATATATAAATAACTTGGTTTGAATGCACGTCTAAATAGACGCCGTGTTCGTTTAATTTAGTTTATTTTACTGGCTAAATAATAACTATAATATTAATAAACTTAACAATAAATAATAATCTATAATTTATTATAATGTGTAATTATTAATGATATTATCAAATTTCAATTGTATTTTTTTTTTTTTAAATTTACTAAAATTAATTTTTTTTTTATGTTTTTTTTTAAGAATACCTATGTATTCGTAAATATCTATATTAAATATTTATCTAATATCAATATAAATGACCTTTAAATCATTTTAGGTTATATTGGCCATTACTCATTAGTCACTTCTTATGTGAACAAAAACTACGATAGTAATTTTGTATACAATTAAAAAATATGAACCTGTTGAACCCAAAGCCTGGAATCCGAATAATACGTAAACGCGGTTTCTTATAAACTGAAACCTTACAAAAATTAAACCAAATTTTTGTATTTTGACTATCCTTTTACTTTTAGCATCTCTTGTGCGAATGTAGGCCGGTTAACAATAAGGAGACACGCGAAACTGTTCGGCTCTCTGGTGTCAATAAAATATGAATAACAAATCCGTTGTTTTATTTATTGAATGTTTTTCCTTTTTACGAGATAAATAATAACGTATTTCGCAATGTTATTGCATTGCGCCGGAAATCCGTGATACCAAAGGGAAGTCGAGTAGGTACTACAGCGTTTCAAAAATTATATTCCTACATATTATACATAGTATATAGGGATTGGAAGTTATAGGAGTTAAAAAAGGCAAAATATGTATGAAAATATGCACAAAAAAATTCTAACATATGTAAGAAAAAATGTTAAATATATGAAAAATGTAATAAATATGCAACAAATTATTCAGTTTATTATTCAAAAACATATAATTTTATTATTAATATGCAAAACTAAGATAAAAATTAAATACGAAACGCACCGTTGTCTTTATTAATAGACAAAGACGGTAAGAAATATTAATAAATAACTACGTTATTGAGTTAATATTGAATTTTAAATTTGATATTACAGTATTGTAGTATAACATATTATTGTATGTAAAATAAATTCGTTAAGAGAGAAAAAATTTTTTTTAGAAAATATTAAATATGAATAAAAATATTTTTGAAAATTGACGAAATATGCACTTTTTCTCTAAAATTAACGAAATATGCAAAATATGCATTTAAATGTTCAATTTTTAAACTCTCCATCGTATAGAAAATGTTTCTAGCATAGTCTGCAATAAATTCAGTGCATACAGAAAAATATGCAACTCCTATAACATCCGAGTCCTAATAATATATAAATGCCTACGCTAAGTGCTCACAATACATATCGATGCGTATACCGGGATTAGGATTTCACAAATTGGTCAAAGTGCGTTGACTTTTGTTAGTCAGCGCCGCTCAAATACTTTCGGGTAATTATACTTTTCTGAATATTAACGACGTGATAAATATTACCACGTCTAGTATATTCGTATAAAATACAGTAATCTTAGTCGTAAGTTTCGAATTAATTGTGATGAAAATAATCCGGTTATGATAAAAATAAGAAAAACTATGATAATATATTTTGGCCATGGTCGTCAAGAAAATGAAATAAGAGGAGATCAAAATTGAAGACATTTAACATGCAAATATAAATTTAAAATTTTATATTTCGTGCCCGGGGGTCAAATATTCAGAGATTGAGATGTTAAACTTTTAATACCAACAAAGAACAACCTATTTTCTGGCAGAACGATTGACATTTTTATCATCGGCTTCCATTATTTTGAGTCATAGACATATAAGTCATATACAATAAAATAGATCTGCAAAGTTTCTTATACTATTCACGTATATAAGTGAAGCTGAAAATTGGGGGCCATTTGTATCATTTATATTGATAACAATTTTTGAACTTTATCATAATTTTATAAAATATATAAATATATAATTTATATACGCCTGTGCTATACTTATAAAAAGATGGACCTGAATTTCTGAAGAAAATTTCAGATATTTCATTTTTGGAAATATAAATTAGAAACATAATATTTTTATACTTATTTTATAATAAATATTTATATTTGTTACTAAGTTGTTACTTATTAAGTCCATTTTTTAAAAACATTTATACCTAGACTTTTTTTTTCCAGCCAGTTTTGAATTAAATTTGACATTCCTTACTAAACGTTTTCACTGAATTATTAAATGTATTACTCGTGCAGTATAATTATTTCAATCAATTTTATTTTTATACCCTGATGTCTTCATCGAACAATTTTTCTGAAACTACCTATGTGCCCCCTAATTGTGGTTATAAACATTTTATAAAGTCGTGGTAAGAAGCTCTATTTCACTTATTTATATTACATTATGATTTTGAGTGAATTCGTATTTAATTTTTAAAATTTTTTTTTTCCGAAGAATACATAACACAATAATCAATTTACGATATTTTCGTAATTTAACTGTTATTCCATATTATAATATAACCATACGGAACTTGAACATATCATTATTAACGATACACAAAAACCTAATTTTTTTTCCAAACCATGGATACAGAATTTATAATCTTATATTATTTATCTACAATATGAAACCAATGGCGTTTAATATTTGTATAGTGCCAACTCTAATAAATTATTTATTATTGCTTGAACGGTTACACTTTTTTTTTTTAACAGCCTTTTCGAGTCGACGCCGAGACTAAATATAGGTACACCACTTTTGCACCACTAGTGTGCAGTAACCACAATTCTGTTATCTTCGTTGTTGCCGATCACGTTTCGAAACTAAAGTTAACCTATTTTCATGTCGCTGTCACTTACGGCGGAACTTACACACGGGCCATCAGACTCGGTTTTTCAAACCCGTGTACCTATGTCCGTATATATTCGTTAGTCATCAATCTATTTTACTTTTTTTTAGAACTGAAGAGAGCGAAGAAATTCGAGAAACTCAAGAATATTGTAGTCATACAACGACTTTTTTTTTTCGGTTATAACATTTTTTTGACCAGTTCAGTACAGTAACTTTATATACATGTGTATTTATTATACATCTATAAGTACATATTGAACACGAATAGTAATAGTTTTACACGCAATGATTTTTTCAAATTATATATTTACAAAACACATGTATATAATATGTATACAGTAATCAAAAGCAAACATGTTGATATCATATGCGTATATTTAAATACAACATAAATGCTTATGAACCGTAAAAATATAATAAAGCGATATTTCCACAGTGCCCTTGTTACGCTTTATCGAAACTTTAAATTTAAGTTGTGTAACGTATTCTTGAAATTTTATTACATTATATTGTATACATATATATATACAAAACAATAGAGCGCGTGTGGTCTGCAGTTTAACAGAACTTATATTTCGATGTACTCCATAAAACCAGTAAAAAAAAAGTAACCATATGTTCACATAATTTAAAATGGACGATAGATGTATGAGATGCGGCAAATACACGATGCAGTTCAATATATGTATTAAGCGTATAATATTTTATATTGATTTTGTTTCCCTATGTCGTCAGCATACTACAGTATTAAAATATATTCTTACCGAAAAATGTAAATTTATTTATATTCAAAAAATATTATCAACTTGTGAAAGTTAATTTAAACTAAAATATATACCTAGTAGGTTACATCCCGAAAAATGTCACCGTGTCAATGTTGCAGATTAAGTCGGGGGTAGTATATCGTCATTGTTATGTTAATTAATTTTGAAAGTTATATCGGCTATTATTTTATAGGAATACATCAACGAAACTTTAAAACAAATATTATTTTATAAATTAAGGACAGATATAGGATTTTATAACACATTTTGTATTCATGGTTGACTCCTACAGCGTAATAAACAGATTTTAATACATTTTAAAACAATCCAAATTATTTGCAAACTATTATGAATTTCTAAAAAGATTTCAAAAAAGTACCGTTGAGTAGAAATTTCGTATCGTTCAAAGTAATGAGTGGAAATATTCGAAGATTTGTACTGACTAAAAAAGAGTTTTCTAAAGAAAAAATACACACATCTTATAGTAAAATATTCATTATCTAAAAATGAGAAAAGACCATTTTTAAAATTAGAAAGGAAATTGTTTAAAGAATAAAATATTTTTTTAAGTTATTTGGAATACAGTAATAAATGCTATCGAAAAAAGAATGTTACAAATATTTAAAATATTTAAATAGTATTTTAATTTCAGTATTCAGAATAATATTTTTCGGAATACTGCTCAAGTCTGAACTAATAAGACATATATATTTACGGAAAATATTGAAACGTACGATATTAAAAGCAAGTTTAACAATTTATTTTTCTGTTGTATTAAACTGGAATATTTTTTTCGATTTCTGTGTGATTGTAAACGCTATTGGTTAATATATGTTTTATGATCATCGGGTATCAAAGTTATATACAACCAGCGACAGTGACCAGATTATAATAATTGTATTAAGTAAAAAAAAAGAAAAAATAATTATAATTATAGGACTAAGGTTTTCGGCCGTGGATTAAAATTTAAAACAATGAAAAACAGCCAAATAACTATATTTGGAATTAAAATGTTTCTATTAATTTGTAGGTAGAAAAGTATTACCGTAATTATTTTCAGCAATTTTTCAGTTTTCTCCATAAAAGTTTCAATGAAACTTTTTAAAAACTTGAAAATTTAATAGCCGAGCTATTACATACTGATAAATACATAGACACCTATAGTAAACAATTAAAAACGGCAGTAACAAACAAACACAAACAAATATAACACGCTTGTAAATCGTATAAATCTATATTTACCTATAGAATTGATTTTATTTTCAATTCTAAAAATCGTATTTTCTGCTAACCGCAATGTTTTAAACGCAATTCTAATGTATAATACATTTTATAGTAATTATAAATTACATTTTATCGTTAAATTTTTTTTTGTTTACTTATAGCAATACTTTTAGAGTTCTATTAATGCTTTATAAAAAAAATCACAAAATAAGAGTAACAAAAAAATAACTTAAATTTAACAATTTAGAGCTCTAGTTTGTTTTTTAAACTTTTAAATATCTAAATATTAATCTTCCATATCTTCCGAATTTGTCTTACGTTATTCTGATCTTATTAAACTGTGACTAATACAGTCTTAAACATTAATTTCACTACTGTAGTAATTGGTATGAGGCCTGTTTTGGTATGGACGAAGGACGGAAAAACGAATGTAAATCGAGTTAAAATTGTGTCTATATATTAAATATATAGACGCGTTCCGAACGACAAAGAGTTTCGTTCACTAAATCCCGCGATAACCCGACCAATGTCAATATTCCATTTACTCTCTAGAGTTCCACATCCATTTGAGTATATCACCGAGGTAAATCCCTTAAAGCCATGTCGGAATCGATCTACCGAATTCCTGTTTTGTGAACAACTGTCAACTGATAGTTTTATCAAAAGGTAGTAAGAATCACCTATCTACTTATAATTGGTTCCAAATATTAGTATACAATAATGCGATAACGACAGAATATCGAAAAAAAAAGAAAAAAGAAAAATGTTCAATTTTAACGTTGGTTACGCAAATCGAGTTATTATTTATTTGGAGTAAGTTATATTCTTAGTAAATAAAACAAATGCATTTTACATTAAAATACGGACCACCCTAGTATAATATAGTTTGTTATTAAAGTGTTATTTTTTATTTTGTGTTAAATCTTTGAAAAACAAAACACGAGAGCTAATACTAATGATGAACGTGTCATTATTTTAAATGAGAAGTTAGAAGAGTAGAATAAATAAAGTAATTTTGTTTCTAAATAAACACACCTAAATATCAATGCTAGTAAAAAATACAGTTTTGAGCGAAGTTCTGTTAGACTAGGTATTTTGAAATGCCATAATTTTTAAGATTTTCATCAATATATCAAAATAACATACTTATAAAAAAATGTTTTTATTTCGACCTCAAAATACAATTTATAATGAATCTCGTGTGAAATTGTCAAGTATTTATACTCGGCCAAAAAAAAAAAAAAACAATTTAATCCACATAAAATAAAATAAAAACTAAATAAGATGAATATGTTAAGTACCCACATTCGAAAATGTATAAAAGACTGAAAGAAGTATTATGTATGAATTTCAGATCTTTATGATAATTTTTAACCGAATTACAACAAAAATAATAATAATTTTGTAGTTAATAAATTCATTACTTTCGTAAAATGTCCTGTTTTTTCCAGTTATTTAGAAAACAACAAAGAACAAACGTTCTTTTAGTTATCTAGACGAAATTATCTTCTGAAAAAATGCTATACTTGAAACTTGGAGAAAAATTTATAGTTGAAATACTTCTAAAACTAAATCGAAAGTAATGCAAATTGTATTGCTGTAAACTTTCTCATTTTTGATAGGTTTTTTCAATTTTTTCAAAAAAAACAAAACAAAACAAAGAAAAACCGAAAAATTACATCTTTAATTCACTAATTAGAAACAATTTTCTTCCAGATAAATTGATGTACTCGAAAATCGGAGTAAGATTTTTAGTAGAAAAGTTATTTACAGACATGAAAAAAAACACATCATAGTAAAACCAATAAATTCCTTACTACGTTCAGAATCTTAAAAAATGTAGTATAGATTATCATCGTAATACCACCGTCGCGTCGTCGTCATTGTCACGATAGTAAACCAATAGAAAAACTGAGATGCACTCAAAAATTCTGGAAACACCATAGTACCAAGAATTATTGTGTTGTTTTACCTGTGCCGAAAAATTCGTAATGCGCAGGTACTAGGTTGCGTGCGAAATCGACAAAGTTATATAGTCTGACAGATAGGTACCTATTATAATGGTTTTTGGCGGACGTGTCCACTCGAATTTAACGTTTCATTCGCCGGCCGTTTACCCTGCAGCACTATGAATAATTATTATTGTTCGTGAGTTTAAACTTAACTCGTGTAATAATTATAATTATTGGTATTGTTGTTATGAATGTTATTGAGTGTCGTTTATGGAAACACGGTGACAAACAAAATCGTTTAATCGTAGGTATTATACACCGCGAATGTTCGATCGGTTCTCAACAATAAAACACTATACAAACTGTCGTTATAATTTGCTCGATCCAGCAAATGACCTATTTTTGAAATTCGTATAACATTAGCCTAATAACGACCGCCGGCCAATCAACAACTCGCAGATTGTAGTATAGACACGTCCTCAAAATAATTATAAATTTAAAACTTAAACGCGGAGTAACGTGATAATCGATATTAGAAATGAGTATTGCAACGCGATAAAAACAAGTACAAGAAGGAGTTTATAAAGTAACGATCATCTCTAACAAATTCATATTACACAATGACAGAGGAAACCAAAAATAAATTTGTTTTAAAAAAAAGAGGTGACGGTAATTTAATTTAAATTCAGAACGCAACGATAGATCATTACAAACTGGAAAATTTTAATAGTTATTATTCCAGTTTTTCTGACAATTTTTTATGAGTTTTCTTTAAGTTTTAATAAAAGTAGAAAAAAATCACAATATTTCCACAACTAATTGTAAAATTAGTAATGCAAATGGAGAGAAAAAAGATTAAAAGTCGAAACTAACAAAAGGCATATCCTGGAGGGGGGGAACCAACTCAATTTCTATTCAAAATTTCATTCATCATCTAGTTTAATTTAAAAGTTCTTTAAGGATATTCGAAGCTAAAAAAAATATATTCCCCTTTCCCGAAACATGCTAAAAATCGGATTGAAATTTACCTCTTAAATCATTTCACTTTTCACTGCCTCATTTAACCAGAGAGAGCCGCTAGAAGCATAGAATTGTTCAAAATAATTGATTATTGAAAAAAGATTCAATTATAAATATACAAATAATCAATTTTTATAAGATCGAACATGATACAGTGAAAATTTGTTTTCTAAAAAAATTAGAAAAAAACAAAACAAGTATAAAGATAATGAAGAAGATGAAAGCAATCATCCCTAGCAATTTTTTTTTTCATTCCGTAAACAAAAGAGCCAGAAATTATTATTAAAAAAAAAAAAAATCTGAAGGCAATTTAGTTTAAACCTTCGAAAAATCATTGAAAATTGAAAAAATACGATTCTACAGAGTAGAGCCTGATTAAAAGTTTCTTCGATCAAATAAAATTGCATTAAACTTATAAATAATAATAATTATTACATTTTAAAATTATAATTTATAATTTTGCGTGATTTTTATACGAGTTTCGTCCAAAATTTAAACTTCAATATAAGCGAATTGTGACATCATGACCAACTTTATTTTGTTAAGTTTTTAACTAATAATAACAAACTATACTCTTGATTATCTTTGTATAGTAAGTTTCCGAGTATTTAAAAGTAGCCAAAACATTAACGTAAAACAAAAATATTATTCTCATATGTAGAACGTACAATCCAAAAATAAATAATGATAACGTACTCATAACATACCAAAATGCACACCAAGAGCGCTCAGAAGATGAATAGTTTTATTTTAGGAACACATATTATACGAACTAGTATACCTAGTGAAAATGGTATAACTTTGTATTCGACTCGATGGCGCCAAAACACGTGGCTCTAGCCAATGGTCGATCGTAAATAAACAAAACATCGATATATGGTTTCTGAAACTCAACTCTGTGTTAATTAGTCAGAGGTTCTAACATGGGATGTAAACAAAATCGATTCTTGATTGCCCGATACACTACAGGAAACGGTTTATGCGGTTATTTAAATAACGCGTCTATAACATAAATTTGGAATATTTGAATAGGTATTTATATATTTTATTAAGCACAGATAAAACGATAAGTGGACGCGTTAACTGATTTTTTTTTAACTAGTATAAGTTATCTTAAAAGAAAAATAATAATTATAAAAACGCTTGTTAAATTTTACTTAATTGCATGAATTTTTTTTTTTTTTTTATTTAATAATATGTAAATGTACACGAAAATTTCATTAAAGTTTAAAAAAAAAATCAATTTTAGTTTCTAGTTATAGATTTCGGTGAAGCATAAATATGGCCAATTGTACTCAATCGGTTATAACCAAACTATATTAAACTATATGATGCACCAGTGACAATGCACCCAGTGAAGCGTTAAAATATAAACGAATTTGAGTAACTAAGTTATGTTACAAATTGTCGGAAAAATAGTAACTTAAGATAATTTCTAAATTATTTTTTTACGATTTATTACTTTTAATTACACTTATAGACGTATTATGTATTAAGGTTATACTTGTGTATGTGTATATATACTGTACAAGACTTATGTGAGTATCCTATAGAATGTATGCCTGTCTTGTTATGTAATAAATGATATTCATTTTCATAGAAATAAAAGTACAAAGAACTTAAACATACAGTAATCATAAAAAAAAAAAACTCATACCTAAATAATGCTTTAGAAATTAATTAAATTTTACCAAAATAATTAAATTCAGTTAAATAGCTTATAAAAAGAAATTACTAAATTGATTTCTAACATTTTAATTTTTTTAAACTAATTAATTTAAAAGTTATAAAATAAGTTACAGCTTAATTTTTAACTTTTGAACTACATAGTTACTGCCCAGCATTTGATTTAAATGATATAAAACTTAATTCTAAAAATACTCAAGTGCCAATTTAACACACATACACACAGAAGTTCGTGTTATGGACAACTTTACGAATTATATACATAAAATAAGACATTTTAATCATAATCAGAAATCATTTCAAATACCCAGGGTTATCGACCTTACAAATTAATAATATGCATTTGCGTATATAATGACATTTACGATTTGTTTTTTTTTAAATTTATTATATAAATATAGATATATATTAATCGATAGTAATAATAATAATATAATATAAATCTGCAATATAATAATATGTATTGTACAATTTTTTTGGATTTTCTGTTTATAGTGTATATGATTAACTAATATTATATAAGCATTTCAAACCGATATCTCATATTTCGTTTAGAAATTAGAAAAAGCCTCTGACAAACAAAAAGATGGACATAAAATAGCCGAAAATTTGCCGCAACAATATTATAGGACACCTGATAAACGAAACGAAAGTGAAAAAAATAGCAAAATATCTATATTCCTAGAATAAATTTAAAAAAGAAAACGGATTATACTTGGAATTCAACGTTCTGAATAATTTCTAATATAACGAAATAAAAAAATACAAATTTCCGTTCTGTAAAGTAGGTATTATAATAAACGGCAAGAGAGGCGAGCTCGAATTTAGAGTTACCGTAGTCAACAATTTACTGTTTAAAAAATGTTTTGCCGTTATCATAATTGGTACATAAGCAACAACCACGAATTATTTCGACCAGATCAGTTCTATATTATACGTATACTACTATATTTTATAGTTTTTTACAAAATAACAATAAAATAATTTTTTCCACTTTACAATTGCTATAAAAATGCGTATAGCGTTAACTTTATTAAAATATATTTCAAAAATACGTGATACAGTATAATTTTATTATAGTAAAAAATGAATTGGACTGTATACATTTTGGCACGTCTCAAAAAGACGGCATTCATCATGACGATAGCGTAGACAAATATTAATAAATAGAATAAAAAAATGTAATCTTCTCGATTAACTATGATTTTAAATATAGATGAAATGGAATATTAAATAACAAATAAAGAATATATGTAAAGAACCCTGGTTCAGGTGCTGAGCTATCCAAGTCAATTTTTTCAATTCGAGAAAAATTAGTTTTTAATAAATTTAAAAATTGAATAAATAGTTTTGCTCATTTACGAAATTTAAAATTAAAATTAAGTTAATATATATAGAGGTTTAACACAAATATAGTGAGTAAAATAAAATTGCAAGTATAGCCAGATTAACATAGACGAATTGTGTGTACATAAAGATTAGCCAATTACAATACAAATTATTTTTCTGTAAGATCATTTAAACGAACAAAAATCGTTTTTATTAATGTGAGCTAATATTAGATGACGTTTTAGTGATATTATTTTTAAAATATGTAGAGAGAAATGCATCTCATGGTAAATGTGTTTTGGAACTAACCTGCTAAAATCAAATAGCTAATTTATTATTATTAGTTTTTTTTTTTTTTTTTTTGTGAAACGCCAAAATGGAAAAATCTAAAACTCGGCCAAATAACGGTTAGACTATTTACACTACTAATACTAAAGCTAATATAATGTAAGTATGCATATAGAATTTTTGTATATATTTTTATTAATAGACGCGGAAGACTATAAAAACGAAGTAAAAAAAGAAACCGTACGTATGATGAGTAGGCCACTGTAGTAGGTGGAAAGTTTAAAATACATAGGTTATCGGCAATTCAAGTTTTATAGGTACTGAAAGCAACGATAAATTATTAAAATCAAAGTAGGATTCTGACCGGAGTAGTTTTAGCAGTGTTTTTTTTCCCTTGTAAGGTTAGGTTAGATAGCCTAGAAATCAACAAAAGTAAAACCTATGCATGGGTATTTGCTATAAATTATTTAAATTGCATAAAACAACGTTTACGAATCAAGATATTTTCTTCTATGCGAAGAAATTGAACAATTTTTACTACCACAATAAATGTTTTCCAAGAGAAAAAATACGTACATACACACACACACACACACACACACACATTTAATGATAAAACTATTATCTTCTCCATTCATACATCAAAATAAATGTGAAAAAAAACTGTACACATTATTTTACATCAGACATTTTATATCTATTTTCTTAAAAAATACTTTTAGTTACTATAATACGTTGTATAACGAAACTTGTATACCTAGAACCTAGGTACTTACTAAACAAAATGATTATCTTAAATGTACTTTAGATTTATAAACTATTAAAGATTAAAGTAAAAAAATATAGCAAATAAATATATAAATAAAAAATGTATGTATAAAAATAAAATAAATAAATGAATCAATGCGTCGTCTGGAGTATTATGATAATTGTATTATACGATCGGTTTCGAATTAAAAATTCATCAGGTATATCACAGTCAAAATATAAAACGCGAATCATTAAAGATTGGAAAAATTAATTCTAACTTCATTACTTAAGTAGTATTAAATAAAGTATAAAAATTAATCTAATTTAAATTACAAAAAATTGTCTTAAAATACATTTTATAATTATTTAAAATTGATTATTATATTTCATTACCTACCTTATTACATTAACCTAAATAAAGTTAAATAAATATCCAGCCGAGATCGTCTTGAATTAAATAAATATTTAGTTTGATTTTTGAACGAAATGTATACATATTTTTATTTACCGTTAAAAATAATTTTAAAATACGATTTACATTGTCCGAAAATAGTAATCTTCAACTATTAAAGGACCGATGCAGTAATTTTATAAAATAAAAGCACTATTAAACTCTCCGGTAAATATGTATTATATAAATATATTTAGTTAATTAGTTTAAAAATGTTAATAAACTCCTCATTTTTTTTTTTTTTTTTTAATATTAGCCTTCAACACCGGTAAACAACACGGAATTAAACATAATTATACAAATGCATGTTCGGAAATCGTCATTAAAATTCAATTAGAATTATATAAATTTCCTTTTTTTTTTTAATTATTCGCGTAATAATGTTTTATGGAAACATGTAATAGTTTTATGATAAGAGCGGTAATAATGTTAGTATTGAAGTAGGCTTAATAGAGGAAAAACTTCTAGAAATGCCTCGTCTAATATGTAAATACTGCAGGAATATAAAAAGGGATGTTAATTCGGTAGATTCAAGAAACAAACGAAGAAAAGCAGCCAAAAATAGTCAATGGTCGGACACGAATTTGTTTGAGGAAACGGGTATAAAGGCACACTCCACCCACCAAAAAAAAAACACATATTTTAATCATTTATTCGTTCGTAATCTTTCGGTTATAATATTTTATTGATTACGATCTATAAATTAATTATTAAATCATCGATTATTCAAATAATACGACAAGTGCAGTGTGAAAAATTCTAACCTTATCGCTCAAATTAGCCGTATCAATGTAATAACAATAATACTAATACTATGCTGAATAATTATCTGACCGTTAGTGTTTCATATAAATAATATAATATAGTTAAGTACCTATAGGTGGAAAATCAAACGGATACGTCAAGCGGAGCAAGATTTGGCGCGAACGAGCTACAGAGGTCTTGACGTTTTTCAAAATGAGATCGTAAAAAGAAATTGCCGGAAGACTCTGAATGAATGATCCCTGCAATCAATTATCGGGGGCGGAAGGGATGAGGAGGGGAGTCTTTTACAGAGAGAATCGATATAATGAATAAAACTATATACGGAAGTCTGGTGCCGTTTTTGGGCATGTGCCAGCGTAAGTTATGTATTTTATACAATATGTTCATTTGTATAGATAATTAAACACCTTCTTTATTAAAAGTGCAAAATCCCACTATTATTATTGGCACTGTATGAAGATGGTCTATTTAATTGGTTTAGACAAATGATAATTAAAGTAGGTTTTTCTTCCAAAGAAACCATACAAAAGTCAGAAATTGGCTAACAAACCTGAAAAGAAAGTCTTCTGGAGTATAGAAATTGGGCTTCACATGAATTCCGTTCCATACTACTTATGTACGGGGCCAGAATAAAAATCCAAATTTCATACCGAGGGCAGAGTAGTTATTTCCTAATTTCATCCGGTCCCAATTAAATCCAGTTTTGACATGGAAAGATGGCAAAAATCGCAGAATTAAACTATTTTATCTTTTTTTAAATTCAGAGTGGATCGAAAAAACTTGTGGGTTTTACAAATATGTTTATTTTTTTTTAATCTGTAAACAACTTTTTTACTAGCAATTTTGCTCCAACTTTTAATGATAGCAATGTTTTTAAAAGGAAATTTCACTAAAGAGGTTATTTTTCGATTTCTTAGGAGTTTTCTCATAAAATTTTAATAACCGAAAAAAAAACGAGAAAATATAAGAAATGTAGGTATTAGTGAAAATATATTCAAATTTTGAGTTCCATACTTTTATTATTTATTCAATCTTAGTTTTTAAACCTTTGTACACGTAATGATAAGGGATTATTATCACTTGTGAAATTTTATCAGCTGATGGTCAATCCGTGTTCAAATTTTTCTCGTAAAAAATTACCCCGTAAAGGAAATCGACACGGGGGTAAACTATCGTGGTTACACTGATGTACCATACAATTTATTTTCAGTATTTTTTTTTAAAAATTTTTTTTTGTAAAACCTTGTCGTTTTGTTCAGAATCTAATTATATGTTATGCTGTGTGTATTCAAAAAATATTGTAAAAATGAGTATATATACAAAAAACAAAAACAAAATACATAAAAAGAGATATACAGACAGGACCGGATTTAGGTCAACGGTCAGCGCAGTAAATGTTACTCTAACACCCTATATAATTCTATTTTGTTCTTCTGGGCAAACCGTTTAAGCCAAAATGTCGTTTAGTTTATATTTCTGGTTGTCGTTATGTCGGCTGCGGCAACAAAACCGCAAAACTCATTTGTCCTATTTCAAGTGCTAGTATGTATATATATATATATATATATATATATATATACGCAAAATGTAAGGGACCTTATGATATACGTATGTAATGTTTGGATAGTTGAATTATTCAAGATACACAAAATGAGCTGTGGTGTTTCACATTTTAACACTAGTAAAACACTAACACTATTAAAATAATAACCGACCCTTTTTAGCCGATTGCGGAAGCAATAATATAAATGAGCTGAACATAACCGAACGCAAATCGAACCAGAAAAATCAAAAAATTGACCCCATTTCGATATCGGCGAGTGGAACTCAATGGAACACAAATTATCGGTGTAGTATTTTATGAAAAATACCTACATATTAAATCTATATAGGTACTGAATCTACCGTCAAATAATAGAATCAGATTGATACTGAATTTTTGTAATACATTTCTATCATTAAGTTGCATAGAAGTTATTTTAACGAAATTTTTGAAGGAGAAAAATACAAATAAACTGTATAAACTAGAATATGTTCTAATTATGTTGTGATCTATTTATATTGTATAATTGTGAAATTCGATCGGCAACATGGCGTTCTATCAAAGAGTAAACAATTATCTTTAATAAAAAATTGATAGAGTTAGATTTAGAACACGATTAGAACCTCATATAAGTGATATATAACCCATATAAAGATAAAAGTTAAACATAATTCCATCTAAGTATTTATAAATTCTCAACAATATTATCTGAATTGCACACTTCATATTTTGAAAATTTACTGTAAAATTGTATTTTAAAAAAATCTCAAATACTATTTCCTTTCCATTAATGTTAATTTTATATTTATCATTAACAGCTAGCGAATATCCTCAATTATTTAAAATTTGTATAGTTATTCAATTTTTTTTAAAAATGAAGAAAAAATTGACTATAATAGTTATCGTTTTATTTCTTTACTTTTATCACTTTCTAAGCTTTTGGAAAAATATCTTAAAGGTAGAATAGTTGGTTTTTTTGAAAAAAAAACTATTTATTTTTTCTCAATCAGTTTGATTTTACTAATTAACAATCTACATTTTATACAAGTTGTTTTCAACTAAATGTTAATATCTTAAGTTTTAAAATTATAATATACTTATCATTTTGTACTTGTAATTTCTTTAATTTAATTTTTATACTAGTATGCATTTACCATATGTTTACTGATTTGCCTGAAATTTTTTATTTCTTGTTTCTTTTTTTTTTATTATTATTATATTTATTATATTATAATGTATATTAAATCAACATCACCATCTCAAGCAATGCTTATAGGTGATGTGTAACCATGATTATATGCTTTATTGTTATGTTGTAATAAGCTCATATTATTTTTGGTTACAATAAACAACTATTATTATTAAAAAGCGTTTTAAAAAATGTTAGTTTGTCTATAAAGGTTAAACATTTTCTTACTAATGAAAATCAAAAGTTATCGAGTCTGTCATCTTAATTTGTATGTAATGTGCAAAAATTATAATTTTAAATTTGCTAACCTAAAGCAAAGGGAAACATGAGAACACAGTGTGTTGAATACACATGCCCGTCAGTCCATCTCTCGATAATGATTTATTGGCCATCATATATTAGTGTACAGTGTACACTTAAAATGTAGTTTCACGTATTGAAAAAAAAAATTTTCTCTAGAGTTAACTGCCATGAGTCGAGTGTCGTAATTTACGACATTTGAAAATAATACCTACTTATAAAGTATAATTATTTCAAAACCCAAAACGTGGAAAACAACCAATTTTTATTAACATTATGTAAATATATAAAACACTTATATTTATTACGTACCTAAAATCCTACATGTATAATATATGTATATATTATGAAAAAAGTGTATTTAAATCATTAGAGTAATTTCAGCTCAAACACACAGATATGAATAAAATATAAATTATTTTGCATTTTTTGTCGTCATTAAATTCTGTATCTAGCTGTAGGAGTACGGAAAAGAAGTAATATTGCTGTTAGGCCACTGATTCTAAAACTTTAAATTTAAAATTTTATTATAAATCGTATTTATAGATGTATCGTAATGTTGAGAGAATTCTTATCTAGCAACATCGATATAATAGACTAATTATATTAGGATACCAATTTAAAAATCACCATGATTTTTAAATTTTATACTACTAAATTATGAACAAGGTTGAGCAAGATGTAAAAAAAAAAAAATATCAAAATTAATTAATTAATTTTACAGCTCTTAATAAAAGATATAAATTATAGAAGATACGCAGTAAAAACAGTATCTATAGTAAATAATAATGTATCAAAGATATGTAAAAGATAACAGATAACTTCAATTATGTCACAATCATGATTTCACAACACTTTATTGAATATTTGTTACAACTCAAAAGATTTATTTTAATAAACGAACATGTATAACAAAATATGGGCGCCCATTATATTTGGAAGAAAGAGCCACTAACTTTTCCGTACCTAATGCACATAAAATATTATAATTTCATTTTAAAAAAGAACCAGTATTAGTTTTTTTTTACTCGTGTGCCATTTTAGTAAGTGGGAATTTGCGAACATAGTACATATTAAGTTATTTAATATATATCTGTAAACAACGATGTACTATTTTTCAACTAATGAAAAATGATTCGGAGCGAAGTTCAGTTATACATGTTTTGAAAGACTGTAATATTTACAATTTTCGCCAAAATTTGATATTAAAACTCTTATAAAAAAATAAATACTACATTACACTCTATTTTTGTTTTTATTATTATTATTATATATTTATTTATTTATTTATTATCATCACACCAAGTAGTACGTTGTATAATGAACATATATACCGTTAAATATTCAAATATTTCTGAATAGCCTAACAGTTTTATAAAGCACCCAAAAAAATGAAAATTTTTTAATAAATTTGCAAACACAAAAAAGTATTAAATAGCTCGAAAATAACCGTTTTTTTTAATAGTTTTCAAAGTTTAAATTTTTCGAATATTTTTAACTGAATTATAACAAAAAAACCAAAAGTACAAAATTTCAATTATTTAATAATTATTTAGTAATAAAAGTATGATTTACGTAGATTACCTGTTTCTTTCAATGATTTTTTTTTCGGCTTCGCTCAATTATTAAAAAAACCATAGAGAATATCAAAAAACGAAACTAATACTCGCTAACAAGATTAAAAATACAACAAAAATGGTTCTTTTTTTTTCTATAGGAGCAATATTTTTGTTAGAAAACATGGTTTGCAAAAATTCCAAAACTAATGGATAGACAAACAAATCACTTAAATCATAACATAATTACATTTAAAGAATTCTACAGATTATAAAAAATCTATTCACTGCAGAAGTAATAAAATTAAAAAAATCTGAATTCATACACTAGCAAATGTGTATGATTTCGGTAGATTATATTCTTGAAACACATACATCCGTGATACTGCTCAATATTAATTATTAATACTATTTACAATAAGTTCACCAATGATGAATATAGCGAACTTAAAAATCTTAAAAGGACTACTTCACAATTACAATCACCGTCTATGTCATATTTTTAACTTGCAACTTGTGTATATGGAATTCAAATAATGTACTCCGGTTCCAATCCACAATAAAACAATACATTTTTCACTAAATTAAAAACTGAGATTTTTTTTTTTACATTATTAAGTATTTTATGAAAACTAAAAAAAAAATAAATAAACTTGTTTTATATTTTTCTTGTAAGAATATTGGTAGGTTATGTCTGAGAATCGTATATGAAATAATCCTTCGACGAAAACTTGTAGTAAATGCTATCGTCTTTATTTAATTTGGAGAATTTATTTAATTTGTTTGAAGTCTATTTTCAAAACCAAAGTAAGTACTCGTTGAGACTTTTAAGATGCATTTTTGGATGGAAACAGAGATAATAAATGTTACGAACTGTGACGTCTTCTTATAATGGCTTTTTTTTTCTGTTTAATATTAAAAAATATAACCGTAAAGAGAACTAAAAATACGAATATTTAAAACTAGAAAAAAAAATGAAATATATTATATTGTTTATGTAAACACAGATCGATTTGTAATATTTCTTTATGCACTATCGACGAATGTAGCTATAATGGGTAAATCAAAAAATAATGTATCTTAAATTATTAGTGCCTATTCAGTACCTACACAAATTTGGAAAAATTAAGTCCTAAAATTTAAGTATTTGATATTTTGTTTTTACTTTCTAATTTTTCTGTTTTTCAGCACAATCATTAGTTTTAGATTCGGAACGCAGCAAGAAATCTTTTGGTTTTACTATGTTGAGTGTTACTATTATTATTTTGTTTTAATTGTGTCTGTAAGCAATTATTACCAAAAATCTTGCTCCAACCGAAAATTGACCGGAGATCTTGTTTATAGCATTTGAGATCGATAGATATTAACGGATCGAAGAGATCATTTATTGTTTTTTTAGGAGTTTTAAAAATAATTGGGTAAAACTAGAATAAAAAGTATAGACTAATGTTTACGAATCACAGTGATAGCGTTACCGATATTTATTTAAACATACCATGTACTCTGACAGAAATATTAATTAGATCAAAAAATCACAAGAAACTATTTTTTTGCATTTTGGATCTAGTTAATAAGAAAGAAAGTAATTTTTTGATTTTCCAGTTAAGTTTTGAAAACATTTGAAAAAAGACGTAAAGTTAAAATGGACTACAAATGCAATGCATTATATTAAATGTTTGCGATTTACTTTTGTTGCCTGAAATATTGATAAAATAGAAAACTAAAGACCATTTTTGTAGAATTTTCATTTTCCGCGTAGTGATGATTGAGCACAACCGGAAAAAACATAGAAAAACTTATGATGTTTAAGAAACAATAATTTCGTGATTTTAAATTTTGTTCTTTTGTTGTAATTAAGTTAAAAATATTCATAGAAACTTTAGGGACTTTTTAGGACGTGGTAAAATGTTCAATACATTATGGCGATTTTTGTTTTTTTTTATGTATATTTTACATTTTCTAGTTTAAATTTTGCGCGGTGCAAGGAATGTATTGGTTTTAAAATAATGTTAATTTTATTTTTAGAATGTGTACACATTTCTACGAGAATCTTGTTTCGATTTATCAAATACAGCATTTGTCTGAAACGAAATCTTTTAGTAAGATTTTTAATACCAAATTTTGACGAAAATCGTTTTTGTTACAGACTTTTAAAATATGTATAACAAAACTCCATTCAGAATTGTTTTTTTACTGGCAGTGGTTTATTGTTACTTACAGTTATAAATTAAATAACCTAATGTTTTTCATTAGCAATGGTGAATCATTGCGTAAGGATGTACATTCAATTTCCCGTCTACCTTCCTAACTTCCCACCTACAACAATGGCCCATCAACAGTATCTATACTTGTTTTAAATGTATTTATTATATATACAATGCATGAATCGTATTTTTAAAATAATTTTCATCTAATCTGATTTTCTCTACGCAATCAATTGTGGAGCGTTTATATTTTTAAAAAAAAAAAAATATTTATATTACCTGCTGTTTAGGTACATTGTAAACAAATTGTATTAATTAATTGTTTAGTTTGTCGACAGGCTTTTTTATTTTTAGTTTTTTAATACGTATAATATCATTAGCGGTATTATATTCGTAGGTAAAACATTTTTTTTTTTTTTTTGAGATACTAATAAGCCATACCTAATTTACATTTAAATTTTTTTTTGTTTTTTATAAATTTATATTATTTATAGATTCTATTATCTCTCAAATATTTGTAACATAGGATAAAAAACAAACATATTATAACTTCAATGATTAGACTGTTATTTAAAAAAAAAAAAAACCATTAAAGCTTACCCGGATCCGGTATATTTGAGTCCATTTCGGTGATTATTCGGTCCGTGGATGAGACGAGGACACCGGACCACGATAATTGAATGGATTAATTTGAGTGAAATAAAAAAAAATTAAAACCTGAAAAAAATGTCCTTTTTCGCGCGGGACCGTTGTCGCCGAGCGTCTACGAGCGATCGGCGGTAGTGGCCGTGTGCACATCTAAACGCATTTTGAACGGTACTGAAACAACGTTCGTTTTAGCGAACGGCACACGGCGTGCGTAGCGGGAAAACTGCGCTTTCGGCGCTCGTATGCGGTTTTTAACGCACATGCGTAACAATCATTTTTTCGTTTTTCGAAAATCTTCTTCGCTTTCACCACAAAAAAAAAAAAAAAAGAGTCGAACATACTTCGCAGGCGTAGGCGTGTGTATGGAGGGTTCCGATGTGCCTGGACACCCCCAACATGTAATTGGAACCCTAAAATTTAAGTCCTTTAAAATATATATGAGTCCGTACTCTAACTGATGTAACCTAGAAGAAAATTGAAATTTTAATGTAATATCAGACACCGATCGCTAAAATCAAACTTCTCGAGAAACACCACAGACAACTATATTCCTTAAAGAACTAATAATAAATCTGTGTTTTTGAGGCTAAATTGGTTAAAAGACTCCAGTAGATACAATATTTTTAATTGTTTTTTTTTTTAAATACTTCACACTTTTAGTATACTTATCGTTACTAGTTGTTTAATTAAAAATTTTTAAGAGTAATTTAAAAAGTACCATGACCCAAGACCGTTTCGAATCATTCATTTTACTTTTCACAGAATGATATTATAAAATATTAACAATTGTTGTATTGGAATATTAAATAAGTAATGTAAGTTATGTTTATTTATACATTAAAATTTATTAAAAATCTGTTAAAGCGGGGCCCAAAAAAAGAAAAAGGTACAAAAATACTATAGCCACCCCCAAAACTCAGGTCTGCGCATTTCTATGTTCACATGTAGGTAGGCCACTCTTGTAAGTGAGAAGTTGGGAAGGAAGAGAGGAAATTTAAAGTATATCTGTATGCAACAATTAACTATTTCTTACGAAAAAATATTATGAGTGAATTCGGTTATTAGTGTTCCTTTGACACAAATATATATTATGTCTAATTATGATAAAATAATTATATATTTATAAATATATATGCATTGTATCTTTAATAATATTTGTTTTATGTATTGTGTCTTCTTTCCTATTGCTCCTACGTTAACCCGGTTTTTCCCATTTATTATGAAAACAGCTAGAGAAAACCAAAAACGACTACCATAAAGCACCAAAACAGTCAGATTTCCTTTCAGAAAAAATCCTATCATAGTAAATTGGAGCAAAATTTCCGGTAGAAAAGTTGTTCACAGATAAAAAAAATATAAACACTATTGTAAAATCAATATATTCTCTGCTCTGCTCAGAATCTAAAAGCATATCGAACAGTTATAAACTAAATAAAATGTAAATATGCACAATTCGGTATTAAAATATACTCGATTGGATGTCTCGATAATAAAAACGTAATATTATATATAAAACATTTGTTTTTGTAGTTTCAACATAACTGTTAAAATATTCATCAAATTAAACATGGCAACATAATCGTCTGTTTTGAAAATGTTTTTTAAAACAATTTTTGTTTTTAATCTATAAAAATCAGAATACCGTTACAATTCCAAAAATGTATTTTTGAAATACAGTAGCAAAACAGAGACAAAAACTAATACTACTGTAACGTTCTCTTGAGAGGACGAGAATACGTATTTATAAAATATAACTTAAAAATTCGGAGCGTAGCTAGGGATCTATTGGTTCTACTATAATATACGTCTTTCGTTTCCTTTTTTTTTTGATATGTGAACAACTTTTCTACCAAAAATCATGCTCCGAACATGAACTTTTTCCGGGTAATTGTCTTTAGTTGATGTAATGAGGAGGTCATTTTTTAATTTTCTGAAGGCTTTTAAAAATAACTGGGAAAAACATGAAAGAAAGTAATATGTGAAACGGCAAATATTAATGACGTTACCATTTTCATTGTTTTTAATTTTTTCAACTTATGATTTCTATCAGAAGTATTGCTTCAATCTAAAAATTACAAAAATTCGTTTCTTTTTCCTTTTAATAGATAGCCACTGTTAGGGGTAATTAGTTTTTGTTATCCAAAGTATTTTTCATAATAATTGGGAAAAACCAAAAAAGACAAGAAATACTTTTTTTTTTCAAATTACAGAGCTTCGATTTCATTATTTTGGCTTATTTTTTCTACCATAATTATTGTTCAAACAAAAAAAAAACAAGAAGAGACCTTTTTTATTGAATTTTTAATTTTGTCGGCGAATAAAAATTCGGTTGTTTGATTTTCTTTGTAATTTTTTTAATAAATGAGCAAAACTGAAAAAAAATGTAAAAAGGACGGGAATAATATTTACGAAAAAAAAGGATTTATTATAAAAAATTTTGTTTTTGTTTTTTTAATGTTTTTTAAATAAAAACATTCAGTTAAACTAAATATGTGGACAAAACCTGTATTTGTTTTACTAGACGTGGTTAAATTTTCAAAACATATGAGTCATTTTTAAGCTATTTATAGATATTTAAATTTGACGAGTTTTTTTACGTAATTTTAAATTGGTAGATACTATTTGTGAATAAAATTGTTAGACTTAACATAAAAACTTAGAGGATTAGTGTCATAATAAGTGATGAAAACAAATTGAATGCAATGTAGTATTTTTTTTTTGTTTTTACGAAAGTCATAAATATTACGACCTTTCAAAATATAACCAAACTCCGAATTGTTTTGCGTCAGCAATGGTTTATCGTTGATTACAGGAATAAATAAAATAAAGTTATACGTATTTCACCTTCTCGACTATTCACCAATCACAGTGGTCATACATGATTCCAGTATCAGCTCTTTTTGGATTCTGATATCCAGACTGTATTGGTTTTACAATAATGCTTATTTTTATTTTTCTGTGAACAACTTTTCTAATAAAAATTGTGCACATATTTTTTGGTCTAGCATTCTTTCTGAAAGGTCATTTTTGATTCTCATAAGGGTTTTCACATTAAAGGGAAAACCCAGAAAAAAGTGGGAATAACAAAAAAATTTACGAAATATACTATTTTAAAATCGTATTTATTACGACCTTTCAAAACAATTATTAAAAGTTGCGTAAAAATTTAATTTATATGGTATATCTACACATTCAATTTTCTCTCTACCTACCAAATTCTCATCTTAAAAGTGGCCCACCTATCGTGGTGATGCCCGTTTGATTGATTTTGGTTTTTTTTTTTCCCAGGATTTTGTCAGAATCACAAAACGAAGTGGCCTTATATTTTATACTGCAATTTTCTAGAATGTTCACAAAAATTTTTTATACCAAAAATCGTTAAAACATACTTTCCAAAAACGTAGAATAATTTGGTTATTGCCCAAACTCTTTTATTACAATGCACTTACAAACGACTTATTAACTCAGAAATAACCTTCAGTACCCCAGTCTTATACTCAATATTTTCCACTACATCCCAAAATGTTTACTTATTTTTACTAAATCAATAGTGATTGACTACTCATTTTTAGCCATTTCTATGTATTCAGCATCCACCCGTCCCTCTTAAAGATCAAAAAGAAAAACCGATAAGCAACAGCATCTTAAAGACCACATTCATTTCACCACTGCCCTCGCATATATCCGCATATTTTCAAAATGTTACACCTTGGTATCTTATAGCTTTAAAGATTTGTAAAACTCAGCGTACTATTATTTTTTTTGTCCGGTTTCTCTAATAATTTCAAAAAAAACCGACAATTTAATATTATTCTGATCAAAGCAAATCCCATGACCAAATTCGTATATAGACAGAGGAAATAGACAGGGAAATACTCCATCACCAAAATCAATGGGACTTCGTCTCAATTACTACATCAACTATTCTTATCCATTCTTGCACTCCTAGGTTTTTATGATCCTCTACTTATCTAACCACCTCTTCTGTAGTCTGCTGGTATAAGGCTCTATACACAGGATTAAATTCGAATTCAGTGAAGATTTCAATAATTTACCTTGAGGAAATTTCGTGGCCTATTCACGAGAAAATATATTTTCTTTTTACTTTTATCATTTCGGTGAATATCAATAGATCGATAATGATCTGTTGTTTTTCATAAAAAAAAAAAAAACGATGATCGAAGTTAAACTTTTTCTGTCTGACATTAGACAAAATGATAAACCCGTGTAATGTACACCTTAATACGTTTCGAGTTTCCAAAATCGACTTCAGTGAGAATATTAAAAAAAACAACAACATCAACACATTCTTTTTCATTTTACTACTCGCGCGTACCTATAAATCCCATAAATTTATATATAGACTATAGAAATAGACCTAACAATATTTTATATAAGAAGGTTTTTACGTTCCCGTTACAAAAATAACACCATACTAAAACTTACTAACCTTTTCCATGGATATTTATTATTCACTGCGTATATATATATATTGTATATTTTTTTTTTAAAAAAAAGTTTTTTTTAAATTATGTTTTACTTTTGTTTTTTTATTTATTCAATATACTTTAATTTTTTGATATTATTCAAAAATATTAAATAATATTTTAGTGTATTTTATGGATATTAAAATAGCTATGTACATTTTTTTTCTCTAATTAAAACACAAAAACGTGCAATATTATATTATTATTGTTGTATTTTAAAAGCAAAAAAAAAAATTAAAACAACATTAAATATTTAATTTTATTTAGAAAATTCATATAATATTTTTTCCAGTCAAAAATTCAATATAGAAAGTTATATTATGGTGTACCTTTCAAAATTTCGATTTTGCAATTGGTTTTAATACAGACAAATTTAACAGAATGTACTTAATTAAAAATTTGGTGACAAATTTTATTATCCTAAACAATAGAGTATAGCCTAAATTTTCGTTCCCCGTCGATAAAAACCCATCGTAACGTCCGGAAAATCGTACAAAAAAATAACCATAAATAGATAATAATAGTATTAACTCTTAAACACGAAGAACCGTGTTTCATAATTTTAGCGTTTACAATTTTAGTGTTTACAATAACACACTTATAAGTTTACTATATATAAAGTAACATTAGCCTATATTTAAAACACGG